ACCCTCAAACTCGGCTCCATTTACCTGTTGGCCCATACTCGACGCATTGTCATGGCTTCCTCGTCTCCTACGACGTCAATTCCGATCCAAGAACCAGTGTTTCTTCAATTTCTTCATGATGTTCACCATGCTTACCTTCTACTACATCGAGCAATGGCGCTACTACCACCCACTCTCATTCCCAACATTGAACCTACTCCTCTTCCCAGTACAGACGTATGGAATCAACCTGATGGCCTACGACCACACTATTCGGACCAGACCAATGCCTTCATTGACAATGCCCCCATCCCATCGCCGGATCTGGAAGAAGAAGAGACACTTATGGATGAACTGGTGGAAACCCATCTTCCCGAGCCGCACCAACATGTTGCTGCTCCGCCTCCTGATGTTTTACCTGCACCTTCGAAGCTTTCTACTAGAACACCATCACCGCCAAGTCGCAAACAGAAAGCCAAATCTGCTCCAAAGGCTCCTGCCAAGCGTCGTCGCCGCCGTGACCAATCCCGATCCCGCTCCTCGAGCCCATTATCACTCTGGACCTCTGAAGACAAACAGAAACTACGCACTCTGAAGGTTGACGAAAAATCTCGATTTTCATGGAAGGTGATCTCGACCAAGATGGGCAAGTCTGAAGAAGATGTTCGCTCTATGTGGAATAAGATCAAAGACCAACTTGGCTGACCATTGACATATGCGAATCACAAGGAAAAGGTACGTTGCGGTACGGTATTACTGTTTCACCAACCCGTTGGCCTTCATTTTGGGAATTTTCTTCTTGTTTATCTTCAGAACCATGGACGCTGTTGTCCCATTGAATTCTGACACGTCGTATCACACAACCCGCCAGCCATTTATTATGTCTCTCCGCGTTCACCTGGACCGCTATTGCCAACAGCGAGCTATGTCCCACGAGAGGATCTCACCTACACGACGCTCACGCTCTCCAACCAGGACGTCATCTTCCGCTATGGGCTCTACGTCATTCCGGCACCCACCCAACCGGTCTTCGCCTCCGACACCTCACCGACCGGTTATTTTCCAGTTGGACCTGAAGCCGATGCAACAACTGGCCGTACGCAACCCTTATTACAACATCTTGACCCCCAATGTCGCGGGCAACCTTCCTACGGCCACCTATGACAGCTTGTTCCAGACGTTCAAGGTCATCTACCCGGACTATGCTCGCAGTCATTTCGTTTCAGACCTCAAAACCGTAGTCACCGACACACTGCTACAACGCTGGTCCATACACCTACCAGCGTCGGAGTTCTACATGATGATTGACACCGATCAAGGAGCTCAGATGCTTGACGACCTTCCTCATTCTCTTCTGGATGTTTTGAATTGGTTCTACCCGAGATGGAAAACTCATCAACATCTCGATGCCTTCACGACCCGCGAGTGTTCTCCGTTGCTGCTGACACCACATCCAGATGCACAAGACACTGGCTTTGCTGTACATGTTCAAGTGATTCCCCGTGGACATCCATTCGTCACGGCCACCCGATACACTAAAGCCGCTGAGTGATTAGCTGTCTTGATGGATCTTGACACGGCTCACGTCTATGAGGAAAAAGACCAACATTCGTTGTGATGTCCACCACCCCGGTTCTGATTTTCCCTTGTGTCATCCTTTTCTCGTTTTCCAGTGGGTGATATTCGTTATTTATTCCTTCATCATTGACCTTCCCCACGGCCTTTTGGCTTCAGTTTAGTATTTCCCGCTATCATATTCTTTTGATCGTACATGATGACCTCCAACACGGATGATCCTGCTCGATTGGTCTCGCACGGTTTACCACCTACATCCATACATGGCCTTGCCTCACACTTGCCACCGGATGATCCCACCTCGGCATCCTATATTCCTCGTGCAGCGAGAATGATTCCGACCTCTACCACTGTCCACTCCGTCTTCATCAAGAAGCTGAGCTATCCTTTGTCTAACCGTTCAGATGAACTTTGGATCGTGGAAAGGACACTTGATGGTCTTGAAACGTGGAAACCAGTGGAAACATTCCTGGAGAACATGCACCTCACCAACGACCAGGCAACCTTGCGCACTACAGCTAACCATTGGCGCAGATACTATGATGTACCAATTCAACCATCATCCTCCTCCCCTACGGCAACTACTGTTCCCGTTTTACCACACCCTGAACACTCCAACGTCCATGTCTCACAGCCGTACGAAGCGATACCGGACCACCTCCATATTTTACAGTCATGCTGGGGACGCTCCGCCCAACACCATTCTCAAGGAACCACTACCTCTTTATATTGGCCACCTTGGCGGTCTACACCACCGTCTTCCCCACCGGCAACACTACACCGTACTGTATATCTCACTCGCCCCGCTGTCCCTCCTCAACAAGTACATGGTCCGTTGGATGCGAACGATATTGACCCGATGGATATGTCGGATTCAAGTGTGTAATATACCACATTCTTTGTCGGCGGAAAAAAGACCTGTGATTCATCGTCTCTTTGTGTGACCATTTACTAGGTACACCGTTTCTCTTTTATTTCTAACACTTTGTGCTTGTTCCTGTGGCTATTCCAACCCATTTTGCAGCTTGGGCTTTGCGCTTTATCCTCGATACTTCACATTCGACGCGATGGCTCGTTCTTCTCGACCCAATCCATATCGCGCCACATCTACGATTGAGACACCGCTTGGTACACGAACCGTTGGGTGGATTGCTGGACATCGAGGCCTCCCTGGTGATGTGAACCCTCCTCCAAACAGACCTGTCCTTATCTTGGTTGACTTCTCTCCCTTACAGGCATTGACTCACCGAAGCAAACCTGACCGTGAACACTACATGGCTCTGGTGAACTCCAATTTTAGACATGTCAGTGGCTTTGAACTTGCAGCTTTGTTTACCTGGTCACGTCAGATGGAACCAGTTGAAGCCGGCCTCATCCCAATTGCCGAACTCCGCTTTTGTATCTCCAAAAGATTGAGGTCCCAATGGGACATCCAAATTGATCCCTCGAACCTGGAGTTTCGCTTTTGCGACTTGGACGGTGATACATTCCAAGTTTCCAATGATATGACGGTCTTGCAGCTTTTGGAGGCATACCGACCTGAGTGGCGACTTCGGCAGTACAATTCCCGCGAATCCTCTTTCCTCATCCCGGGTACCAGACAGCCTTTCGTACTACGCTTGAAATGCTACAAAATTAGCTCCGGTGTGATCCTGCCCTGATGCACTAGCCGGCCAAAAAAGACCATGCTACAGGGTTTTCAATTCCTCCTTGACACCCCACTAACACAAAGGATTTTTCGATTTCTATTTTATTTGACTTGGAGCTGTGGCTTCTCCGTCGCAACTGACCCACTTGATTGAGGACTGGATTTCACTTTTTTCATTTTTGTGAATATTATCAATTTCGGGATTGGCTTTCTTCTGCAATTCTTGATGCTTCAGCCGTTGTTGCACTATTTCTCGTATTTGTGACAGTTTCACCCATGGAACACAAACGAGACGCGACCGTGGCGGGCTTGTCTTGGCCTGCGAACTCTACTCGTGGACTCGCTCCTACCGACCCAGTTCAAGTACCAGACGCCTCGACTTCTGCACTATGTCACTCAGGAGCTCCCGACACTACGACCAACCCTACTCCGGCACCTTTGGTAACTGACAGTACGGCACCTGCTACGGGTACACTGGCCCATTCTGATACATATTCAGGACCAGCACCTCCTGGCGTTCCATTTCCGACAGACTCAAGTTCTACACACAACTACTTCCATCGTGCTCAGTTCTCTTCTCGCGTGGTTCACCAGATCCAATTCAAGGTCATTACCCACTCCAACAACACCAGGGAGCTATTCATTGAAGAAATTCCTTTGTTAGGGCATTCCCGATGTCGTGACCCTGAACACTATTTCTATGGTCTCTCCGGCAACTGGGAGTGGTCCCTGCGCACAGCGGACTATTGGCGACATCATTTTGAGATTCCCCTTGTACATGGACACCATCCTTTTCACAATGTGCCCATTGAGACGACATCTCCTGGAGATGAACCAAGGCTGACCACCCGGATCCATGAATTAGCCAAAGATCTATCTGACACCTTGAAGGCTGCTACGGCATCGGGGGAATTCGATCAGACTTGGGCGATGGTTGAACGCATGAGCTTCCACGATGCTATGGAAGTCCTTCTACAAGCTCCGAATTCCTCTTCTGACTGAAGTGACCGCCCTTTTGTACATTAGGTTATTACAGGTTCACTTTCACTGGTGTCTTGCCGATTCCGCCAGCGAAGTTCTTCCAAAAAACCGACCTCGCTACATGCGAGGTGTGTGTGTACCATCTGAACAGATGTAAAACTTCTGATTGGTTTTCACTAATTTGCAGGGGGTGGATGCATGGTCTGGCAGTCATCCACCAACGAAGACACTGCCTTTCCATGGTGATATCGATCTGGGACGCCAGATCGACGTACCTGCCAATTTGCAGATCAGTTTCAACTGTTGATCAAGCTGTTACACTGCGTTGTTTCGAATCTACACGGTTGCCACAATCTGTATTGCATGCATCAGAACCTTCCTCAGATTTTCGCCGAAACCATATCGCCGACAGTATTATGTTTTTTGACTTATTTTCGCCGAGACCCTGTCGCCGACGAACTATGGGTTATTTTGGGAAACAATCGCCGAAACATTATTTTGGATTTCCACATGCTGGTCAAAACTCTATGGAATCTGGTTATGACTACGTTTGACAATTTCGGATGCCCTACATCGTTTGCGAGAAGTACCTCATGTGGCTCTTTTATTCTTCTAATAATCTAGGCTGGTTTGCATGTTTCAGGATTCAGTTCCTGCCGGATCATATAATGATCCATTCTTGTCTAGTGTGTGTCAACTGTGTGTGACCCTACTTTCGCCTGTGTGTGTGACTCGAAAACGCGTGTGTGCGTGACTCAACTTTCGCCTGTGTGGATGACCCTAACACCGTCATCGCTGTGCAAACTGTTCAAACAACAGGAACACGGGACCTTGCTCATGGCGCAGCGGAAGGCCTATGACCAAAACATCAGAAGATAGCAGAAGAGATAGCGGGGTTGGCCGTGGAAAGTGCAACCACACAAGTAGAAAGACAGTAAACAGATGTGACTTAGTGGTGCCCCCAGGGCTCAATGTCCTTGCTGCCAGAGCCAGAGGCAAGGTTGTAACTTCACTGCTTTACAGCATTGTAGCAGCTTTTGAGCTTTGTGCCAGGCTGAAAAGAGCCAACCATTGCAGACAAGCCCGCCTTTGCAGACGAGCCCACAGGCACTTGAAAACATAGCAAGCCTCAAACACCAAGCCAACTTTCCGGAAACTTTGGCAAATTTCAGAGCACCGACCTGTGTCTATGTGGCCCATGTGGCCCATGTGCAAGGCAGTTGTCTCAAATGGGAGGGTCTCTGCCTCAACACTGAGATTTACCCTCTGTCATCAAACATGGCTGGGAAATCCACCCTTAAAATTGATGTTTTAATATGTTTTAATGGGAGATTCACCAAAGAATTGCAGATTTTAAAAAAATGCTGTCTTGATATGTCTTGATCAGTTTCTGATTTGAGGCTCGCCAGGTAGCACAGCCCAAGTTTGCGAGAGGTGCCCCACAGGCAGGCACAGCCATGTGTACCAGGGATGGTTCAGGCTCATTTGATGGTATTCAGAACCTGCCCAATTTGCGCAGTTGAGAGATGGCCAAAGTCCATCAATGAAAGGATTTCACAGAGGATAAACATGGATTACCCTAAGTTGATCATGTTGATCTAACTTGTGTCTAATCTAAAGCCACCAGTGTTGAAGCGAGCGCGGAAGTGGTAGAGTAAACGAACGACGTACAAGCGTTGAAGCTCAAGAGATTGCGGAATCTGCCACTTGGGTCCGCCTGCTGTTTCTGCGCAAACATCAGCAAATACAGATACGCATACATTCTATTGACAACAGTGCACCGTGAGGTGCTGGAGTTGCATGGAATATTCCACCATTCTTGTTCTTACAGTCTTTGATTTGCTTGCGATTTCTTGTTATCTTGAGCAGTGTGCAGCAAGGAATGTGTCTTGAGAGGCCCGACATTTCCAACATTTGAAGATATTCGAAGCATCTTGCAGGCGAGATCTTCGAAGTCTTTGCCACCGAAAAAAGAGGTCCGAATGCCGATTGGAAATCATGATTTTCACGAGATTCCAGTTTCGACCGTTTCAATGAATCGGACATTGACATCAATTAAATAATATCAGTCCGCACAGTTGCTTTTGGAGGTTGCTTTAGCCATGGTCGTTTGAGGCCTCGACAGGATGTGAATCGATGGCCGGAAAGGCTGGCTCCATCCATTACACTCAACCCCAGGTGCGCACTGGAGTCATTGGAGCCGCATGATCCTGCAGGTCCTGCAGGTTTTCAATGTGACACAATACCTGGTGTTGGAATGCAAATGGCTGGTTACTGTAGGATCTGTAGGATCGGATCTGAAACCAGCCACTTTTGATCCATTTTGGGGGTTCAATCATTTCGATGCAACCCATATAGGTAATGGGGTGCACTCCGAAGGTAACAAACCATTGGATTTTGGGGTAATTGCCCTTTCTTGCAGAAGCCCACGTACAGAAAGGTCACACATTTTGCATTGTTGGTTATTGACCCAGGGAATTTGATGCACTGCACCAAACTTTAGCACGAATTCTTAGGTTAGTGAGACAACATGGGCAAGTTGCTGCCATAGGTGAGGAGATTTAAGGTTCACATATTTGAGATGAATTCTGATATTAGGATGAAGCCAGGATAAGTATTAGCGTAAATAATTCTGATAGCAGGACAACTGGCTGATCCTGCAACTGCAGTGAAGTGACAACAAAACATGCGGCGACATGGTGACATGGTGCACCCATTGGTAAACCCCCAGCACAAAGATGGCTTGTAGATTTATATAGATGCTCTTACTGGGAATGTCATGAATTTCATGGACAATATCTATTCAGCACCCGAACCGTTTGATTTCAGGGATCGATCAGTGAGAAAACACATCCCAAATCTTGGCATTCGAGTGTCGTCAAAGATATGGTTGGAACTTTACCCAACTAAACCATTGCCTAAGGAACAGGATTGTAATTACAAGCCGTAATGCTTTAATCTTCCCGCGGTTCAGGTTCAAGCCAGACTGATGGAGGCAGTGACTGCAAAGCCGTAAAAAAGACAAGGGATTGAAGTAGTCGCAGCAGATTTGCCAGGAACCACCAATGCTGAACTACAGCGGACGCCAGGCAGCGCATTTGTATAGATGCTGTTTAATTTAGTTGCATCCAGGACCGCTTTTCAAAGCAGAAAGATTTGATTTGCCATGTAAATACTGGGTCCTGTACTCTCAATGCACAGATTTCATTGAAGAGTGGTGCTAATTACACTGAAGGAAGATGTGAGGCGTTTTTTTATGGGCGTCGTCTGTGCGTGTCAAAGACATAGAATCTGTAGAGCTGTAGAACACTTGGTTTCCGCCAGAATTGCCTCAGCGCGTTTGTGCACTTATGTGCACTTACGCCTTGCTCAGGGCTCCCTTTCCTTGTTACCAGACTTGCCCGTCCAGACCTTTGAACGTGTTTTACACCGATAAATTTATAGACTGGCTGGTGGTTTGGAACATTTTTTAGTTTTCCATATATTGTGAATTTCATCATCCCAGCTGACGAACTCATATTTTTCAGAGGGGTTGAAACCACCAACCAGTAGTAGATGACGATAGCTGATTTCTCGCTTTCAGTTGAGAGTTCCCCCAGGTCAAGCCACATAGAGACGTCTGTGCCGCCCGGCCTGACGAGATGGAGGCAGAACGCGCGGCTGTGAAATTGATATAAGTTTTTGGATGGATTCTATGGATTTCTATGTTTTTCCATGGATTTCTATGGACTTTTATAGCTGTGTCAAGTTTTGGACAGGTTCGATGTCATGATCAGCATGTCACGGTCCACTTTTCATGGAGCCAAGCTTGACACAAGATCAGGGATTCCACAGTGATTTCGCTGGCTGCCCTGTCGGTTTCTTTGATGGAGCCTGCGATTGCTTGAGCACTCGGACTTAAGCCAAGGACATCCAAGGATAGTCCATGATTATAGTACGTCCCTGTTGTTCTATTGAATGTCCCGTGGTGAAATATTTTTGACATGTACTGTGATTCCAATTTCCTCTGCGATTCTGGATGACTCTCGGCCAGGCTGAGCACACAGACTTGCCGCAGGCGAGAGCATGAAGCATGCACTCCATGATGGCACGACTGTGTGGAATCATCAGACGAGAGTATCTCGAGAGTCTCCTGCACGGCATTCCATTTCAACAGAAGACTGAGACTGCAATATCCGGGGCACATCTAGATCTCACTTCAAACATCCCCAAGGGAAAGCAGTGTTCTGACATTTTGCGACAGGACGATGTGCAAGAGGTCAGCAGTCAGCTTCGTTGGCTTTGAGAGTAACTGGCAGTCGGTTCTAGTTTTTTTCCCGTTATCTTCAGGTTTTCAGGCTCTTTCAGGTTTTCAGGAATATGGCCACCCCACCACACATATCGTGCAAAATCACCTTGACTGGGCTATCTGGGGTATGGGTGCCGATGCATCGCGATGCATTGCTGCCTTCAAGTGTCATTGTGGGAGGCGTCGAACTTGTCGCTTCAAGACTGGGCAGAGGTGCGAGATCACAGCTTTCAAGTTGGCCCGTATCCCGCATACAAAGCACTTGGATACTGAACCAATGTCAGTTCAGTGTCAGATCATAGTGTCATAGAGGAAAGGCTCGAACTTACGCTCCATGATAATTCAAGGCTGGTTGGTGGTTTGGATCATTTTTTATTTTCCTATATATTGGGAATAATCACCCCAACTGACTTTCATATTTTCAGAGGGGTTGAAACCACCAACCAGATGATAGTTCAAGACATTGGAATCCATTTTTGCAGCTTTCCCCGTTCCCAGGGTCATCACTACGGTGTTGCTTGGCAGCATCGTTTTGTGCCGTAGAAGGTTGAGGCCTGGTGGCAGATGGTCCTTTTTATGGTAACTGAGGACAAAGACAGTCGGAAAGAGGTGGGCGAAACGCGCTGGCTATTGAATTGATTGCTCTTTTTTCATTGCTGAGATAGATTGTCCATGATTGTATATGATTGTCGGATTTTTTTCGCTTTCCCTTGAGCTGCTCACATTCGCAGAGTGAAACATTCGTTGCCCAGGGCCATACCACGCCAACATCTGGGACACAGACGCCAAGGACGAAGGCAGGAAAGAACTCCTACGAGCTCCAAATTCATCGAGAAAAGATTTTTTAAATGAAATGTTTACCTAGTAGGTAGAAGCTTCTTGAGAGTAAATATACGTGTGCAACTTGAGGCCCTCTCCGAGCCCAACTCCGACTCTGGCCCAGAAACGATGGAGCGGGTGTTTTCCTTGTCTGCATTGGATTCACTTCTTCAAGATCCAGAGGGCAAAGCGGATCTCCGGCATCAACTTGAACTTGATGAACTGGAAGATCGAAGACCCAAGTACACATCGCGCCACTTGAACAGACCTGTGGTGGTTGTGTCCTCTGAAGTGAACCCGTGGTCAAAAACAGGTGGCCTTGCGATGGTGGCAGGTTCGTATGGCTATGAATTTGCCATGCGAGGACATCGCACAATGGTTGTGTCGCCTCGCTATGCCGCCTACGATGGTGCTCACTACGTCGGCTACACCAAGATTTGGTTAGATGGAAGAGAGCACGAGGTTCAGTTCTTCCATCTCTATCAAGATCTTGGTGATGGCAACGGCACAGACTACATCTTTGTTGGTCATGATTGTTTCAGGCGTGGGGGTCTGTATTGCGACCCTCACACTGGCAAGGAGTACCTTGACAACCTGTTCCGCTTCTCTCTTCTTACCGTTGCTGCGCTAGAAGCCCCGCTTATTTTGAACATTCGGGGCCACACCTTTGGGCAGGACAGCTGCACCTTGAAACAGAGAGCTGCTTTTGATTATCGAACTATGTAGACCAAATAGATTGCAGCAAGCGGAAGGAAGCAGACCTTTAAGTTCGATATCATATATCCGTAGATAGCAAGGCTAATTTAAAATTTAAGGGCTGCCGCCCCTGCCGCCGGCCCCGGACACGTATTTCCATTCTGACCCAGCGATGTCTCAAGCGAATCTGCACCTGCTTGATACCCTGGGCGCTGGTGCGTTCCGGGGGATCAGCAGATCAGTTTCGGAGATCGCAGGGTTGGAGGAGGACAGAAAGACCACCACAACAACAACAACAACAACAACACCAACACCAGCAACAAGAAGAAGAAGAAGAAGAACAGGAACAAGAACAATCGACAAGGACAACGACCATGACAACGACAAAGGCAACAAGAACAACAACAAGAAGAAGAATAAGAAGAATAAGAAGAATAAGAAGAATAAGAGGAATAAGAAGAATAAGAAGAATAAGAAGAATAAGAAGAATAAGAAGAATAAGAAGAAGAAGAAGAATAAGAAGAATAAGAAGAATAAGAAGAATAAGAAGAATAAGAAGAATAAGAAGAATAAGAAGAATAAGAAGAATAAGAAGAATAAGAAGAATAAGAAGAAGAACAGCAACAACAACAACAAGAACAACAAGAACAACAAGAACAACAAGAACAACAAGAACAACAAGAACAACAAGAACAACAACAACAACAACAACAATAACAAGAAGAAGAACAGGAACAATAAGAAAAACAATAACAAGAACAACAACAGTAACAACAGCAACGGCAAGAGCAACAGGAACAGTAACAGCAACAGGAGAAGCCCAGAGTGCCACGCGTTGCCTTCTGAAGTGACTAGAAACTAGCTCCAAACCTTGACTTTGTCTGCCGTTCTGCACTGCCAGCTTCCAACTTGCTTGCTGCGTCTTGCAGCTGGCTGTCGTCTTGCACAGCTGGTCGAAGGACCCTGTCGCAGGGCCAAAACACCATGGCAGTGAAGGACGGATCGGGCCCGCGGCCAGCAGCCCAGAGTGCCAAATGTTGCCTTCTGAAGTGACTGGAAACTAGCTCCAAACCTTGACTTTGGCCGTTCTGCACTGCCAGCTTCCAACTTGCTTGCTGCGTCTTGCACAGTCACAGCTCGGGTCCAAGGACCCTGTCGCAGGGCCAAAACACCATGGCAGCGAGTCCGCGGCCAGCAGCCCAGAGTGCCAAATGTGCCTTCTGAAGTCTTGCACAGCTGGTCGAAGGACCCTGTCGCAGGGCCAAAATACCATGGCAGTGAAGGACGGATCGGGCCCGCGGCCAGCAGCCCAAAGTGCCAAATGTTGCCTTCTGAAGTGACGAGAAACTACCTCCAAACCTTGACTTTGTCTGCCGTTCTGCACTGCCAGCAATAGCGGGGCTAATCGCAAGGGTAATAGCAAGGCTAATCGCAAGAGTAATAGCGGGGCTAATCGCAAGGGCAATAGCAAGGCTAATCGCCTCGGGTAATAGCGGGGCTAATCGCAAGGGCACTAGCAAGGCTAATCGCAAGGGTAATAGCGGGGCTAATCGCAAGGGTAATAGCAAGGCTAATCGCACGGGTAATAGCGGGGCTAATCGCAAGGGTAATAGCAAGGCTAATCGCAAGGGTAATAGGAAGGCTAATTGCAAGGGTAATGGCAAGGGTAATAGCAAGGGTAATAGCGGGGCTAATCGCAAGGCTAATCGCAAGGGTAATAGCAAGGCTAATCGCAAGGGTAATAGCAAGGCTAATCGCAAGGCTAATCGCAAGGGTAATGTGCAAGGCTAATCGCAAGGGCAATAGCAAGGCTAATCGCAAGGGTAATAGCACGGCTAATCGCAAGGGTAATAGCGGGGCCAATCGCAAGGGTAATAGCAAGGCTAATCGCATCGCAAGGGTAATAGCGGGCTAGTCGCAAGAGTAATAGCAAGGCTAATCGCAAGGGTAATAGCGGGGCTAATCGCAAGGGTAATAGCAAGGCTAATTGCAAGTGTAATGGCAAGGGTAATAGCGGGGCTAATCGCAAGGGTAATAGCAAGGCTAATCGCAAGGGTAATAGCGGGGCTAATCGCAAGGGTAATAGCAAGGCTAATCGCCTCGGGTAATAGCGGGGCTAATCGCAAGGGTAATAGCAAGGCTAATCGCAAGGGTAATAGCAGGGCTAATCGCAAGGGTAATAGCGGGGCTAATCACAAGGGTAATAGCAAGGCTAATAGCAAGGAGGGTAGCAAACAAAAAGTCAGTCCCTGGGAGGTTTCACCTGTTTCTGTCACTGTTGGATTGTCGCCAGGATGTTCTGTTCATCGCCAACGACTGGCAGACTGGTTTGTTGCCGGTCTACCATCTCTACAAGTACCGCCGCAACAACACCTACAGAAATTCCAGATGCATGTTCGTGATCCACAACATTGGCTATCAGGCAAGAAGCTCAATATGCACGACTGACTGATATTGATGCTTTTACACTGCCGCAGTAGTAGGATCTACCCTACGGCAATCAAACGTGGCAATGGAGAATCCCTACGGCAATCAAACGCGGCAATGGAGAATCACCCATTTATAGATGATTTTCCCAGCCATAAATCTCCATTTAGTTCAGGTATTTCCCAGCTAGACATGTTTGATGACACCGGGTACTGTATGATGAATTTATTGACATTCGAGTCGTCCACTGAGGGCAAGTATCGCTTGAGCAAGTTCCCAATTGACAGCTATCTAGGACTTCCACCGGATGTCCAGAGCTTAGAAATGCGGATGCAGCTGAGAACAGACGCCGCTCATCCTGGCATCACAGTCAGTGTGAAGAAAAAACCATGTAATATAACATGACAATTCATGACAATGGATCATATCTCAAACATTTTTTCCCCACCTGCCAGGTGAGGGTTGTTAGATTTTATCAGAGCTGTTCTCCTCCTCCTCCTCCGCCTCCTCTGCCTCCTCCGCCTCCTCACCCGCCGCCTCCTCCTCGCAGTCCAGATCCCAGTGGGCACAGCCGGACCTCCACCGCGAGCTCCAGATCCCAGTGGGCACTGCCGGACCTCAACCGCGACTTCCAGATCCCAGTGGGCACTGCCGGACCTCAACCGCGAGCTCCAGATCCCAGTGGGCACTGCCGGACCTCAACCGCGAGCTCCAGATCCCAGTGGGCACTGCCGGACCTCAACCGCGAGCTCCAGATCCCAGTGGGCACTGCCGGACCTCAACGGCCAGATAGAATGCCAGAAGATATGCCAGATAGAATGCCAGAAGATATGTCAGATAGAATGCCAGAAGATTTGCCAGATAGAATGCCAGAAGATATGCCAGAAGATATGCCAGAAGATATGCCAGATAGAATGGCAGATAGAATGCCAGAAGATATGTCAGATAGAATGCCAGAAGATTTGCCAGATAGAATGCCAGAAGATATGTCAGATAGAATGCCAGAAGATTTGCCAGTAAGAAAACGTATAAATGTCATGGTGGGGATCACACGAAGTAAAGCAATTGTTTGTATCAATTGTCATCTTCATCCTTCATGATCCTCTTATAGATTCCTCTTATAAATTCAAAACTTTCGTCTCGACATGAGGATGCTCCTATTTTATTTTCATGTTCTGTTGTACAGCAAAGACTCGACTGAGGCAATTGACCTTCTGCAGGGTGAGGACTTTATGCAGCGTCAGCATGGCATTTCTGGAGCTGTGACACTCTTAAGAAATCCTTCCTGCTGTTCAATGGAAACAATAGTAATGTGGAACAGCCAATGCCATAAACCATCCCCAATATTAGCCTAAATGGGTGGTAAATATCATCCCCAAATGGTAGGTTTATTCTGGGAAACTTGGTGAAGGATGTTCCGAGACCAGCATCCGCAGGACTTGAACTTGCGCAATGATTGCATGAACCTCATGTCGGCTGCAATCCTGGCAAGTGACAGAGTTCTGACGGTCTCACCAAACTATGCTGCGGAGATTCAGAGCCCGGAAGGAGGTCAAGGACTACATGAAATTCTTCAGCAGAAGGGCCACCAGCAGCGCATGGCTGGCATCTTGAATGGTATCGCAGATGAATGGAACCCAAAGACAGACCCGCATATTCCGACCAACTATAGCCTCAGAAACTTTGATGAAGGCAAGGCACTGTGCAAAAAGGAATTGCAGAGATCCTTGGGTTTACATGAAGATCCTGGAGCTGCTTTGATCGGCTTCTGCGGCCGTTTGTGCTACCAGAAGGGTGTTCACCTCATCACACAGATCATCCCGTGGTTACTCACCTACGAATCCAGTGCAGTGCTAGGACGCGTGCAAGTCATTCTGATGGGCAAAGGTGAAGACACCTATGCAAACCAGTTGTCGGATGCCGAGAATCACAACAAAGGACGGGTCTGTGGCTACGTTGGATTTGACCCAAAGATCGAGCACCGCATGCTAGCAGGCTGCGACTTCCTCATGATGCCGTCCCAATATGAACCATGTGGCCTTCCACAGATGTATGCTCAAGCATACGGAACTGTGCCAGTGGTCCACGAAACTGGAGGTCTGAAGGACTCTGTCTCCGGACTTTGGGATGAGCACAGGGACCGCGAAACTGCAACAGGGTGCGCACCTCAGACACCCTTACGGTCACCCTTATGCTATGAAACGGCGAGGGAGACTACCTTATGTTCTGAAAAAATATTGAGCAAGTATGAAATGTGAAGAGCACCAAGAGTACCAAGAGCACCGAGAGCTGTTTGGATCCATCATGCATGTTGACATCATTTGCACGATTTCAAGAAATGACCCAGGTTCCTGTTCTGTGGCTTCGATGAAAATCATTTGAAGGAGCGAATGTATCAGGCACCGGTCCTTTTGCTTGCGGCACTTAGGACAACTTTCATGGACGTTGATGACGTTGATATTTTGTACTCCATGCGTAGGATCTCTACACTCACGTACATTCATCCATACCCATGAATCTGTGCCCTACAGTGCAGTTTTGTTTTCCCCCACCAACATGTGCGGCCTAGTTTTGCACCCCAGTTTCTGCTTTGTCTTGGTTGCAGAGGACTGCCACGACTGTTATGAATTTGATTTCAACTGGGTTCATAAGAACAGTCACCATACAGTCAATCAGAGTCACATATGCCGCGCTGACTGGCACATCATCTACCTACATCTACCTACATCTACATCTACAGCATATTTCATGGTTTTTTGCTGAGGCCCTAGAGGTGTTCCACAAGAAGCACGACCTTTTCAGACAAATCCAAATGAATGGTCGGGGCCTCGGGCCGACATCGACCCACTGGCTCAGAATTGAACTGGCCTTGCCTTGCGAATTCCGGGATTGTGAAAGTATTGCAGCATTGCATAGTACGATTGCATAGTATTGAAACATATTGAAACTCTTTCAGATCATAAGATGCTGTTGAGACTTATACACTTAGACCATTTTGATTCTGAGACAGCTTGTAGTCTTTTGTCTATTGGATTTGCTTCAGCACAGCTGAAGCAAAGCATTGATGACACTCTCGATGGCCCGATGACGAGTCGTTTCTTCCATCGACTCCAAGGTCTTCGGAAAAACTACTACTGGCCTCAGGACCGGAGTCCGCGAAGCCGCGACATCTCGACAGATAGATTCTGATGCTCCTTTAGCACGTGCGTGGATGTGCAAACTTGTGTATATATATAAAATGAGACAATATCCAACATATGTACACACAAGTAAGCTAATGTATATGATATTGAATATACATGTGACCTACATTAAACCAATGTCATACGTTTTGCATCGTTTTGCCGTGCCTGGCAATGTCTTGCCATGTTTGGTTCAATTGGTGGTTGCCGGTTGTAGGCCATTGACGAGTACGAACGCCAACTTGATTGGACTTTGGACAGTGACGCAGCCGTGAGCTAGAGCTCAGCTCGTCTCGGTCAGGTGCATTCAGGTGCTGAGGGCGGTGCTAGGTACCTTTTGTACTGGCACAGCAACTACAACAATTCACAGGGGTCTTCCTCATGCTAATGATGCCACTCATTTTCCATTGAGACAGGAACATCATATGATAATTATATATTATATATATATTATATAATATTAATATATTTTATGTTCTGTTTGAACATCAGCGTTGAGAGGAAGTCCTGCACAGTGCCCTGGGGGCAACGTAGGTGTTAACAAAAACGCACAGCGAAGTTCAGTGTTCACGGCATCCACGGCACGGCCTCTGTGGTGACACAGTGCAAACACACTGTGCTCCGTGCCGCGGCTTCGGAATGTTTAACGACAAGTTTTGCGACTACCTTTGGTTTTTGTGGATGATTAACTGATGTTTCCCCTTTAACATTTGAAGACATGAAGCCATCATGAAGCTGAGCCGTGTCCAAGATTTTAGAATGGCGGGAAGAGCATAGCTTGCATGATGGGGTGATGCGGACAGTATGAATACTCCACGGTTGCTATAAATTGCGTGGTTGGGTTCTTCACTTGCTTCGTTTTGCTTCGTTGATTCCGATCCCCATGCAAGGTCCCAAAGAGGATGCTGTCATTCCGCCGGGACAGAATTTGAGATCCCACTGAGTTTTATCTCACTTTCTCCATCGAGTCTTCAATAAGTATACTGAGTCTGTTTCAAACCCTGAGAGTCGCGCGAGAAGTGTCCCGTGTTTCGGGGCCTGCACCGAATCAACAAGCGAATCAAGAAGTCAAGAAACAAAACTGTCCAAGTGACATGTAAATCACATCATGCCTTCCTGCCGACCACAACTCAATCTAGAAGAATCCAGCACAAGGCCTTCTCACTTGTGAAGCTGTTTCTACTTTGTCAGCAATACCAGGAGCCTTTGCGTGCCAGGGGGAGCTTCTGTCGCAAGATCAAGTGCCTATTTAAGGCCAGACATTTTTTGAAACGGCCGATGTGGTCGACAATGTCCGGTATTCCAAGGTATGACCTTTGGTGCTCCAAAGAAAAAGGTTGGTGCTTCCGTGTGGTACGTCGGAACACCGGACTCGCGTAAGTTCCACCCGAACTTGGACCCCGAAGAGGAGAATTCCCAAGTAGCAGACCCCGTGGATGAGACACGAAAATGGCCGTCGTTGTATGTCGTGGTTGGGGTGTTTGAAACCAATTCAGACTTGGTTGGTTTAGCGGAGACATGTTGGTTGATCCATTTGGCAATGAGTCGACTGAGTCGACTGAAAACGACCGAAAACGACCTGGAGACATGGAGACATGGATAGTGTCCACGCACATGGAGAGTCAAAGCTGAAATCGGTGAGTGAAGCAAAGTATGCAATAGTATGCATACATAGCGTTGGAACTGGTTGGAATAGGTTGGAATTGGCAACTCTAGATACGTACATATCTCTGAAGACCATTCCCCTGCGACGGCTTCTTTGGAATGAAGTGTGACATGCCAACCAGTATGGTTTGCTTCCTCAAACATAATTCAAACATGTTGAAACTCAAGAACTTTCTGAACTTTCTGCGAACATGTTGTGGTGGCACGGTGGCACGTCTCTGCGAGCTATGGACGGAAGCAAGGACTGCCCGAGTGTTCCTGCAATGCTTCGTGTCTCTCCGAGTTTTGCTCAGGATTTGTGACGACTACGGCCACACTGCGACATGGATGATGAGAACCTTGACAATTTCAGCAACACTACAACCCCTGTGCGCCAGCATTGCATGCTGATCTACTTGGACATGACATTGCAAGATCTTGCAAGGACAATGCAAACATCCAGTGACATGACAAGCATGTGACTCCATGCATAGACGACACAGGTGGAAGCTTGCATTCTCCAATTCTCGCAGAACATCTCACTTGACTGAAATCCTGAGCAGGTCGATACTCGAGCTAGAGACTTTTTCACAACCATCACCAAAAGGGGGGTGCCTGACCAAGTCTGCAGCGGCAGCAGCATGCGACAGCCGCCTATGATGATCCAAAATGGCATGATGATCCATTTGAATACGGTCGAAAAATGATGCAACATGTCTAAAAAGTCCAAACATGACTAACCAATACTAACCACTACATTTGGGGCCCATTCATCCCATTCCGATCTGTTTTGGACCGTTTGTTTGTTTTCGGCGTTTTTTTGTCTGAAGAGACTTGGGACTTTGGCCTGGCCAAGGTGCAAACACAAGCATCATGGGAAGAAGCTCAAGCTCAGATGGTTCCAATCTGAGAATAGGGGGTTTCATGGGTTTCTATAGATGGGTGTACCATGGTGTACCCCTTTATCGCTGGATAGTTTATAAATGTTTATAATGGAACATCCTACTACTAGTAATTAGATGATTTAGGGGTACCCCCATTTTGGGAAACCTCCAATGGGAGTGTGACGTTTGTCGAAGATGCGAGTCATCAAACGCCATAGATGAACAGATATGCCCTGGCAGAGCTCAGCCTGATCATGGTTGATGGAGTGCAGTTGTAGCATCGATGCCAGTTTTTCGAATGAAGCCGTAGAGCTTCATCCAACATTTCCAAGCCTTTTTGGAAGCATCGACTTTATGGATCTCTATGGATCTTTGTGAGAAATCGTGAGCCTAACAGCAGACCATCTTCAACGCTTCGTTCGACCCGCGTCAGACGCTGTTCCTGGGCCTATGGGGCGGATTCTTCGCTGTCACTTTGATCATGGGGATTTCCAGGCTGGGCAGCTGGTCAGATTGGTCAGTTGGTTTCCTAAGTCCATGGTATGAAAAATGGTATCCCCAGTTCAACTGTCCACTTTCAAAATTGGGATTTTCCATGAAATAAAGTAAATAAAGCATCCAGATATTGGGGTACCCCCATAGTACCCCATAGTATCTTAAGTCATAATTTAACATCAAGTCATAGGATGTCATAGGGGTATCTACAGATATCTACAGTATCCCCAGTTCTCATCCACTTTCAACATGTTTTGTTTTTTGCCATGACATAACCATAAATAAATATAAATAAACCATCCAGCTAATTCATGGGGTACCCCCATGACTCTAGAACCCCCCCATTTTTTCGTCAGAAAATCAAGTTCTTCTGTCGCAGGCGGATTTGGTCCCCGGAGTCCATGAACAGAAAGTGGTGCACTGAGGATATCTGTGGGTACCTGGTGGTTTGGGGTACCTGGTGGAGGTCATGGAAATCCCCATTTTTTTACGATGAGAACTGGGGTCGAACTGGGGGTCCTATGACTTACAAAACCACAAAAAACATATCTAACAGGATTTCCCGATTTGCGCGGCTTGCTGAACGTTGGAACTTGCTCCAGATGTGTGTTGTTGTCGCAAAACTTCCCAAGGCTCTCGCAACAGCTTACTGTCCTCAAGAGCAGCAAGAACGAAACTTAAAGAGACACTGAGATTACCGTGTGATTACAGTATTGGGACAAAGATCCAGGATTCGTTGTGTTTTTTGAAGCCTGTCAATGCTTCACTGAATCTTTTCGAGGTTGCACTGGATTGCTGCCGAGGTACTGGAACGTTTTCATGTTTCTCCTGATGCTCGCATTGGTGGTGCTATATGTTTTGCGTTCTGAGTGTGATCCTAAGTCCAACTCATCAAGAGAGGTCAGGCACTCTGCCCGATACACTGATGATTCTAAAGATTTTTACACACACACACACACATTTTGCGACACTTGAAAAAGCAACGATTTTTTTTGAACGCCTCAGGACCAGTGAATAGAGATCATTTCTATACTGGATAGAGAAATGCTTGATGGGATGTTGTTGATTTAAGAGATCCCAGTTGAATCAGTTCCGACTCAAAACTCAGATCTTAGTCTAAGGGAAGGAAAAGCTCGAAATGAAACTGCAAGGAAATAAAATGAACAGAAGGGAAGAGAGCAGCAACACATAGCGAGGACAACCAAGGGGTCAACAAAGAGTGAAAACAATACTTTCCTGCAAGACCTGAATCTTCAAGATCCATTCAACAAGGCGCATGCATTTCATAGCGGTCATAGCGTAGCTTTGACAAAAAAATGATTCTCATTCTAGTCATTCTAGTCATTCGGATCTCGGTCAGTCCGAGATCCAGGCATCCTCAAAGTTCAAGAAATCAACTTCTCTGACGACTGATAGCTGCTATGGGTGGCAGCGCTCATCCAGCCTGTCAAAAGGAGAGCCTTATATAAAAAAGGGTGGCTTTGAGCCCTAGAAGTACTACAGAACCAGCAGTTTGTTGATAGCATGAAACCACGCAACCCTGTGCTACAGCGGTGCAATGCTACGGGGCTGGGGAGGGGGTGCAATGCTACCTACCGCACACAAAAGCGGGTGCTTTGGCCATCTTTGGCCAGTACTGTGGATGGTTGCGAAATCCTGCACCAGTTGATAGATGGTAAACATAAACATCCCATTTATCCCATTATTTATAGGGTTTCAGCCATCCTTTTGGTGGTTTATCGGATTTTGCAACCATCCACAGCAGTACCCAGTACAGGATGTAAGTCCAGGACGCTGGGTTCATGGTGAATTCCACCGCAATTGTGCGCATTTTGCAAAACGTGTGGATACGAATGAACACCGCGATCTCTAGACTTATTTAATCTATTTTAATCTTATTTATTTAGTTTTATCTTCTTTATCTATCTAACATATATAGTATATGAATTACAATATATATTTATAGTTATTTATACATAAATACATTATATATATACATACAGAGTTTGGATATATTATATAGTATGTATCATTCAATCATGACTTGGCAAGCGCTCCGCAGCAAGATTCCATTGCAGGAAGGTGCAATTAGATGAGAACTTGTGCCATCCTCAGTGGCTATGCCCTGTTTGGGACGGTTTTTTTCTTGACCCCCCAGTCATGGTTGGTTAATGGGATGGGTTGGTTAACCATTTTATAACACTGTTTATAACATTGGGTTTGCCACATTATGAATGGTTAACCATGGTTAACCATGGTTAACATTTTTTTGTTCTAGTTGAACGAGTTTCGAGTTGTTGCGGCTCAACATCTATAATTACTTTACTTCATGGCCGAAACGGGCCCTGCCATAGAACTATGGAGCTAAGATCCTGAAACACCCTGAGCAAAGCATCGAAGCTGCAAAACTTTGATTTTGTATTGTGGAAGCACATCATTTTTGGATATGTTTGGTGCCCCTGAGCCCTGAGCGACACGGACGTGTGTCCAATTCCTTTCTTGATTTGACATAGCGCATCCCCTATCATCATCGGCGTGTTGCTGGTGGCCACTATGGACAATGGACACGAATCCAGTCACGTTCCGAGGTCCTTCGTGGAACTCACAGCGGTGGCCTTCTTTGCCATTGAGGCATGTGGATGGTGCCCAGTGGCATTTTTCCTGACTTTCATCAATTTTCATCATGTTCTCCACAGATTTTCCAGGCATTTATCACCTGGTCGTCTCCTTGGAGATTGGATTGGTTAAAGCCTTTCCACCAGACATTCTGCTTCCATTAAGGCTTCACTTCTCGAGTGGTGGCATCGATGGCATCATCGCGTTTTTCTTCAATTACGTTGCCAGATCCTTGCGACTGTGACAATCCTTGAGACCCAAAAGCGCCATTGCCAGAAATCACAAAAACAGAGTGGGCCGGCACATCCGGCACTGCAGTTTGTGGCCTGCTTGGTCATTCCGTCGGTTGTGTACCGAAGGCCAATCACAGGGTTCTCAACGCTTCTTTCAGCGACTTGATACTCAATTTGCCGTAATTGCTTGAGAATGCTTGAGAACTGTTTGCTTTCACAGAGAACTATTTGGAGCTGCCCCTGCAGTCTTGCAAGCAGTCCCTCGCACTTTTCCTTCGGCTTTTGTGCATCAATCCGGGCACAAGTCTCAGTTCTTTCTTTGTTCTCTGTCCACTCTGTCAGTCTCTGTCAGTTTAGCTGTCCACATCAGTTTTGAAATCCAGGCTGCACAGATCTGGTGTGAGTGGGTGAGTTTTCATCGTCGAGGAAGGCGAGGCACTTTTGCACTGAATTTATTTCTGAAAAGTCAATGAACTCTTCCAGTGGAGCAGCCATGGCGGACAAAAACAGTGAACAAATGAGGGAAAACGGCTTGACCGTCCTGAACCGACCATGGACGGCACAAGAGCAACTTGGAAGGCTGAAATTCTCTGATCACATCCTTATGTATGCAGTTGGGGGCCACAGTAGCTGACATGGTGACTGGAGGTGTCTTTATGCTTTCCAAGCGCAAGTCTGACAAGAAAACAGACCAAGGATTTTTTTTTTGACTTTCAGAGTCTCTGCATCTCTGTTTCGATTGGAGCAATCATTCCTTCAAGTGCATGCTTCAATTCTTCATTTTTGTGACATGATTGACATGAGGCCACTTTCCTTTCAGGGACATTTTCCATGGGCATGTTCATCAGAGAGATGGAAACTCTCGATGGGGTGGATCCCAACTTTTTAGATGGCAGCGAACCACCAGGCGTCGCGAGTCGGAACTTTCGATGCCGAAAGCCGACGAAAAGCATAGCATGGCCATGGGAAATCTCTGCCCCAAGTCATCACAGCAGGTGAGAATGCAACTGCCTACGAAAGGCCCAACGTTGAGGGATGAATCAGTGATGAATTTTGTGAGCTTTGCAGATGGGATTTGCACTTTTGTAAACATGTTTTTCAGGTGGTCGCTCTTCGCTTCCTTGTACATGATGTTCATCACCAGCAGCAAAGTAGGCCGCTCCTTGGAAAAATTCGATACATCGACACATCATTTTTTTGCGATTGACGGTGTGGCAGGCTTTGGGGACCTGCACCCAAGGCCTGGTATTTTGCGTGGCCATTCTCTGCAGAATACATTGGAGGGGAAACCTCTAGATCATGGGGGTCATGGGGATTGTGAGTTTACATCACAAGAAAAACCATGGCTTTCAAAACTCAAAGGGTAATCCAGTAATCCATGACGGGAATTCCAGGATTCCCTCACACGGAGGTACGTTAGTACCATATTCTTGGCCATACTAGTATAGTGGGGATATTCAGATATTCCCTAAAATAGGGCCAATCCAGTAATCCCAGTAAAATCATGTAAAATCCACAGCTTTTCTTGGAGAAATATCTCATAATATCTCCATCTGATGGTTTAAACATGTTAACAGTCCCTAGGGCCATCCAGCAATCCATGACTGGTGGATGACTCGAGTAGGAACCCTGTGGCGCAAGCGAGAGACCAAGCGATGGTGTACCAGCGAACCGGGACGACTGCTGTGCTGGTGTGGTTTTTGTTGGGCAATCAGATTCCTAGCGAAGATTTATGATCATCATAAATAGATGGTTGGGCAATCAGATTCCTAATGAAGATTTATGTTCATTTCATAGATCATCATAGTTCATTTCATGACCTTTTCCAGATTCCTATTCGACTTTTCAGAGGCTTTCCGATAGCTTTCCCAGGTCGTTTCGCTGGTTGGCACCGGTGCCTGTGCCTAGCTCCTAGCATCTCTGCAATGTGGGGGAATGGGGGGACTCTCGGCAATGCGACGACTGTGAGGTGTACTTGCTTGTGGGCGTTCTTATGAAGTGCCGCCACTCCTGTTGATGTTTCAATAACTTCAGATGAATTCAAGATGAATGCAATGCATGCGAGACTTTCGCTGACCGTTTTGCAGAGTCTTTGTAGTTGAATCTGACGGAGCGGAGCGCTTCATGCCAGGGTGCTGCAGAACAATGAGACAGGAGGGCTCGCCCGACCGCGATACCCCAACAGAAATGGTTTCAGGCAGGATACAGGACATCAGTGACGCTTAGTTGGTGTATAGATGTGTATAGTATCTCACAATATCTCATAATTTTGTAGAACTGGTGACTGGTGCATGTCCCCATGGAAGCACATGGAAGCAGCAATGTTTGAGGCATATCCTCATTGCGGGCACACCATCTTTGCAGGCTTTTTGCCTCTTGCTTTGGCGCTTTTTTATGCTTTTTTGGTTTGGTTTTGAGGTCTGTGTCTTTACCAAAGTGGCTTTTCCATCTTGGTTAGGTATTGATCGACTTTTTGCATGAGTTCTTTCACAAGGACAATCAAGACAGCACCGAGGACGGAAATTCCATTCCGATCATTTCCGATCCCCTCGTGGGCGGCGGCAAGTCTCACCTCCAGAGCCAGTTACGAATTGCAGTTACTAATGATGTTACGAATATACTTATTGAAGTACTTATTGACATAAAAATTGACTTATCTTGGAAGTTTTGTGCGCCAAATGGAATGAGCGCCAAACTTATCTTGGAAGTTTTGTGCGAATGGGTTGACGCAGCTTTTGGGGCCTGTCCCTGCTGCGCTCTGACCCACCCAGGAAGCCTTTTGGTTGCCAACTGGGATTTGTAGCTCTTTTAGCTTTGAATGGCCGGCCATATGATTTGAATCCCATTTAGGCTTTGATCAAGCCTGAGCAACCGTGGTTGCTGACAGTTGTGAAGATGGTTCCCAGCAGGAAAATTGAATGAGCGCAAGATCCAATGAACGCAAACATTTCTTGAACGGTTCGAATATGCGCCAAATGGAATGAGCGCCAAACTTGTTCATTGAAACAGAAATAGATTAGAGCAAGGTGATTTGCAGACTTCAAAACATTGCCTAAAGCCGGTGTAGCACTACACAAAAAAGTTTACATCAAAGCATTTTAGTCACAGTTATAGTATGTGATAGTAAGGGTTGGAATTGATGAATCTCTGGCGTTTCTTAGGTGCAGCAAGTCCGGCAAGTCGACAAGGGAAACTTGAGGCTTACCATCAGATAATCAAACTTCCCCATTGATATATTGCATTTCGCATGAAAATCGCCATTTAGTTCGGGGATTTTCCAGCCCGCCACGTTTGATGACACCAGAGGTTTATGATGTTGACACGGCTGTTCAAAAAATGTGAGGACATTGATGTGGTGATCCTTTACGTGGAGGGCCAAAGGACAGGTTTCTGCGACTGAAAAAGCGCCAGGGATGACGGTGTTGTATTAGGTACCTTCTCAAAATCTTGGAGCATTTTTTTGTTTTGGAAGGGCAGCTTGAATGGCTCTTCTAAGCATCATCATCCATGTCAATGCTAGATACGAGGAAATCACAGACAACATTCTTTGACATTTTCTGATTGTGTGTTGCGTAGAGTCTAGATGTCTAAACTGATTCGATAGACAACTTGTCCTCCTTGGAACTTCAGCAGTTCTCATGCATTTGCCACCTCTGCTCTTGCTGTGTTAGGAATATCATGCAACAACTGGCCCAGCGCCTGAGTGTCTTGGCATGTCTTGGCTCTGTCTCTTGCTGTGTCATGCTGGCGCTTGTAGGCTTGTAGGGTAGGCTCAGATCAGGTGTCGGTGGCGCACAAGACTTGCGAATCTTGCAGAAGGCACATTGTCGATGCATTGATAGCTTGTGGGTCTTTCTGCTGAGGGGTGAGGGACTGATTGCCACTGCTTGCAAACACCATGTCATTTTGTGCGCCAAACCAGGCTCAGCAGGAGTTCTAAGTGAAGAACTGTCAGTGTCAAACTTCTAGGACTGCTATAATCTGCTATAGCTTGGGGCAAATTTGAGCGATGCCGCAATGTTGCCAACACCTGCCAAAGTTGCTGCTTTGCCGGCTTTGCCAGTCGGCAGGCCTTGGCATCCGGCCAGGTCGATGCGTCAGGGGAGAACCAACAGCACCAATGGTTGCCGCATTCGCCTGTCTTGCTTCGTTGTTCTTTGTGCGAGAAGAAGGTTAGCCAAGCCACAAGTGAATCAGGTTTGCGCGGCAAAGAAATCAAGTCAAAGTGCTGGCCTTGTCTTGGCAGAGGAACATCTTGAAGATCCCCGACTTGGCATCTATAAGACAAACACAAGAAACGAAGAACTTGAACAGATTGAGACATACAAACAATATTTGGAAGAAGAAGCTCTCAAAGCAATCGGTGCTTCTGCCGGAACACCCTGTTCTGTAGATGTACATTACAGCTGGGCATGTCTAGAACGCCTTTATTCAGCTTTGGAACTCGGTCGCGGAATGATTCTGGGAAGCATCTTGCTACCAGCGAAAAACGTGTCTCCAGAGCAACTTGGATTGGTACGACGTATTGGAGAATTTGGATCTGGATTCAGTCAATGTGGAACCACCTGTGGGACCCCAAAATGTAGCAACGCTGGTTTCTTGGTGTTTCAAGCGACTAGTAATTTGATCGATGCGGGTCTTGCCATCAAAGGTTCGCGGAAGAATTTCTGCAGATTTGTGGTCGCTTTTGCATCGAAGAAGCTCTCAAATCTTAAAGGTCCATTTCTGGTCATCAACGAGATTGCATCAAGCCACAGTCTGGGACAGATTCTTCGAACTGCCTATCATTTTGGGATCGACTCTGTGATTCTTTCCACAGCTGCCTGGCAACTCTTGGATTCGCGCGCGATGCGTGTTTCAGTTGGCTGGGGGTATCACATGGAGTTTCATGTGGCATCATCTCTTCATGAAGCCTTGAGAGAATTGCAGTATCTTGGCATCGGCCTTTTTGCAGAATGCAACGAGAGCAAGGACTTTGCAGAACCCATTGGACCTTCAGCAGAAGCAGACTGGGCTTTGCTTTTGGGTTGTGAGAGCTGTCTTGATAGTGATGCAGGCAATGCACTTGAAATCTCGCATGTCAGAGTCCCGTGCCATTTGTCTGGCACCATGGACATTGCTCATGCAGCTGCGATTTGTATGTATGAGCTGAGTGGCTCAAGTTCGTTGAAGCAGTGAGATTTAGTATGTCTTCAGAGTCAGAGTTACATCAAATTACTTTGTTTACATCGGACATCAAGGGGGGACATCCCCTTGATATCCACTTCAAAACAGGCGGCCCTGCAGTACCGGTGCATTCTGCCAAGCCTCCGCTTCTCGTGGCCACGATCCTCCCTTCTTGTCGATTTGGAGTGCGGAGTCCAGCGAAGAGCAACGTCGAAAATGGGGCAGCTTTTGTGGTGGATATTGCGAAGGTAAAGGTTCCAATGGCAAAACAAGTTGTATCAAGTTGTCCCTGAAAAACTTGCACAAACACTGTGTCGATTGTGCAATATTCACTCAATATTCAATCCAGGGTTTGGTAGTTGGAAGGTCACCGAAATCCCATGAAATCCTTAGCGAATCGCTTAGATTCGCACAGCGCAGGTGTGGATGGTTGAGGGCACAGCGCTGAAGCCCGAAGATCTCAACCGAGTACGATTCCAGGCAGGGCATGCCCCTGAAAAGTTGATAAAGAGGTTTTGGCTTTTGGTCAAAACAGATTTTGTGAATGTAAATTCATTCTTTTGTCACTCATTGCATTTTGCACAGGTGAACGTGATGTTCCATCAATTGCTGGGCACGTTGGCCCAAATTCCATTTTCAGGCACACGGGTCACTTGTCTTTGGAAAAAGGCGCGCATGGCATTGCAGAGCATTCGTTGCCAACATTGGTAGCGGAGCTGGCGGTTCGGGACATTTGCATCTACCCGATCCTTTGCCGCTGGCTCCAAGCGACTTCATCTCGGTGTATTACGTGGGCATCTTTGAGAACTTGACCTATGGTGGCCCAATGGAAGGCAAAGGGCTATGATGGTGGACTAGGTGCCACGTCGGGCTCCCAGAGCGTTGCGGCAGCTTCTGGTGTCCCTGGGGATGAGAATCTAGGCAGTGCGGATGGGAACACTCCTTCTTTAGAACCTGGGGAAGCTAGCAGTGGTAGAAGTAGCGTTAGAGATGAGGCAGGAGAAGGCGGCATAGAGAATGGGCATGAGCATGGTTGGTATGACAACGACAGTTGGGGTTGGGGTCAGAGATGGACTGATTCCAGCTGGAGCCAGAACCGCGACTATGGATGGTCGTGGTGGTCTGGTTGGCATGATGATGGATGGCGTCCCAACCGTGACGAGCATGTTGCTCGGGCTGAGGAGACCACATGGGTGCAGAACGGAAAGTGGCAAGGTAGGACTGGACACGGGGCATACAGCCTTGGCACGAGTGGCAGCACTCGTGGTGAAGAAGGTGAAGGGCAAGATGAGCAAGGACGAGGCAGTGGGCGTCCAGGCGAGAAGATTCTTGTCCCGGAGTTCAGTGGAGATGGGCCTGGGAGTGAATTGGGTCGATCGGCTCGCAGCTATTTGCGACGAGTTGAAGCTTGGCTGAGGTGCACGAAGATGGCAGAGAAAGATCGAGCCGTAGCGTTGTACACGCACCTTTCAGGCAAAGCCTGGGTTTTTGCTGAAGAGCTGGACATGGATAGGCTCTCAGGCTTGGGTGGCATCGAGTACTACCAGGACTGGGTGCGAGTGCGTTTCATGGAGATGGAAGTGACAAAGGTGAGCAACGTGATGACAGAATTGTTCCGCCGCTGCAAGAAGCGGCCGGAACAGTCGGTGAGGGACTTCAACGTGGAGTTCGAACGACTTCAGCTTCATCTACGAGAACTCAATTGCGAGTTGCCCAGCTTGGTCAAAGCATGGTTGTACCTGGACAAATTGAGACTTTCAGAAAGTGAAGAACTCTCTTTATTGTCCAGTGTGCACAATCAGTACGATGTGAAGCTTCTGCAGCAGGCGGCAATTTTGCATGATCGAGGTGGCCGACGGCCGTGGGAGAAAGGTGGATCGAGATGGAACTCCAATGGGGGTGCCAAGCATGTCCACATGACTGCGCTGGCAGATGAGGAAACTGACGAAGAGGCTGACGGCCCTGGGGCAGGAGATGATCTGTCCGATGCAGAGCTGGTCTCAGAGGGCATTGCAGAGGACTTCCACTGCGCTTACATGGCATTTCAGGATGCGAAGTCGAAGTATCGTGAAGCTCTTCGAGGGCGAGGTGTTGATCAGGCTGAACTCAAGCGCCGTGGAGAAGAGCGGTTGAAAGCTGCTAAAGTCAAGAGCTATTGTGCGGCTTGCAAGAGGAAAGGGCACTGGCACAAAGATCCAGAGTGCCCATTGCGTGGGAGGACCACTTCTTCGCCGTCATCCACGGTAACTGGCGACACCAAGGTGAAGACCATTCAGGAGTGCCACAACATTCACCATTGCTTCATGACGTTAGATCTGAAGGCTGGTCACTATGAGATTGAGGACGGCGAGGTGGCGATCACTGACCAGAAGGGCTCCCTGCAGAAGTTCCGCAAGATGCCAGCGCCGTTGCTGGCGATCACAGACACAGCCTGCACAAAGACTGTTGCAGGTCACGAGTGGTACGAGAAGTACTGCCGATGGGCAGACACCAGGGGCTGGCAGGTGGAAATCATTGAAGAAAAGGACAAGTTCAAGTTTGGAGCATCGAGGGTGCACGAATCGCATTTTGCGGTCTGGTGTCTCTTTGCAGTGGAAAAGAAGCCCTTCATGGTCAAAGTAGCAGTTGTACAGTGTGATGTGCCGCTTTTGTTGAGTAGGTCTGCGCTTGGTAGGCTTGGCATGATTTACCATGTGGAAAAGCAAAGAGCTGATCTCACAAGTTTGCAACTTTTTGGTCACCCGCTGGAGATATCCCCATCGGGCCATCCTGCACTTTGCGTATCCGATTTTCCAAACGAGTTTGACATCTCAGCTGTGCACTGGTCAAACGACTTGGAGGTGCGATTGGTGGTTGGCGGATGTGACATTCAGTGCGTTGAGCCATACAAGGTGCTTGCAGCTCAATCCGATGATCAGCCTAGTTTCAAACCTATTTTCTACCCCAAGAAGATCGATCTTGAAGTTGAGAACATGCTGATGGGAGAAAACTTGTCTAGGGTGTCCTTTTACGCATGGTGGAAGAGTGCCAATCAAAGCAGAGATTTCTGGATCGAAGATCGCAATCATCTTGTCAGAGTGCATGTTGTGCCAAGAACCAAACCTTTTGATCCATCACTTTGGCAAACAAGTTTGAACGAATTGAAGACGAAGCTTCTTGACACTTTAGGAGATCACATGCAGGTGGATGTCATACCATGTCATGGCGAAGGGCTTGTACAATTTGCACATCATGGTCCATGGAGGTCACATCACAATCATGAACTTGGCAAAGGTTTTGATCGACTTTGGATTGGACGAAGCCGTTTTGAGAAACGAGTCACGCGAGCCCCCGAAGAAAGCGCTCATGTCTGTGCTGCAGTCGCCATGGAAGATGAAGCGCGACGACATGGTGAGGGAGCTCGAGAGTTACCAGGTGGTGATCCACCCGCGGTGGAATGTGCCGGAGCTTCGACAGACCATTGTCGAACAGAGGGAGTTGCGCTTTCCCAAGAAGGAAAAGAATCCGGCGACTGGCCTCACCAAGATGTCGCTCAAGGAGTTGACCGAGACTGCCGAGGAGTTGGGCCTCACCGTGCCACCGAAGCCGACACGGGGCCTTCTGCAAAAGATGATTCGAGATCAAGTTCAACCTCCTGGAGAGCAAGTGATGACGTTCGGGAAGTACAGAAGCTGGTTGTTCCAAGAAGTGCCGGAGGTGTATATGGACTGGGCGGTGAAGGAGACCAAGGCGAATGTCAACGCATCTCCCGACCTCAAGCTCTTTGCGACCTGGGCCGCAGAGGAACTTCAACGCCGGGCCGAGAGATCCAAGGCGGGAGGTTATCTGGCGGTGAGAGAGGATCCGGAAGTCAAGGCGGTGATCACACCACCGGATGTGTCGTCAGTCCGAAGCTGGAGGTCTTCACAGTCGAGCACCCCATCGGTGAAGACGAGCGAGAAGCGTGCACTGGTGGAGAGCGACATGGAGGAGGTGAAGGCAATGCAAGCAGATCTCAGCGAGGAGGATGCAAAAGAGTTGATGGATTTGGAGACGAAGTTAGCAGCAATTCGACAGAAGAATCATCTTCCCCCTCGTGGATCTCCGCAATGATGCAGAAAGCCAAGGCGTGGTGTGGAGGTGGTGAGACAAAGTATGAGGCGGTCCTTGAGAATTCGGCGACAGTCGGGCTTGGCTGCGAAGATGGCCAAGAGGCTATGTTGACAATGTTGCATGAGAGCGATAGTGAGCTTGATGGCGGGCATGTGGAGGCAGTGAATGACAACGGCGTCGGGTCTGGCAAGTCTGAGTATGTGGACACAGTCGGGCCTTGCAGCGAGAAAAAGTATGAGGCGGACAATGTGTATGTGGACACGGTCGGGCCTAGCAGTGAGGCAAAGTATGAGGAGGACATTGAATATAAGGCGACGGTCGGGCAGAGCAACTATGAACCGACGGGGTCGTCAGTGGCCAAAGAGATGCGTGAGCGGGCGGTGGCTGGAATTCGAAAGCGTCGGAATGCCAACCGGAAGAAGTTGATCGGCATGGCAAACAGTTTGCACCAAGTCTTGTTGGCCTCTGCATTTGTGGTGGGGGCCATGGCAAACAACACCGTGGTGGAGCCGAGCATCAATCTCATCGGCAACATCAAGGACCAGTTTGTGGGAGGTGGTGATGAACACCCCAGCTGTGCAGAGATTTTTGCTGGGTCGGCGAACATCACTGGTGCTTTTGCTCAAGCTCGTCAAGGGGTCATGAGGCCAGTGGACATACTTTATGGACAAGATCTTCGCCGGTCAGAAGTTCAAGAAGAAGTTTTTGAAGAGATCAAGGAGAAGAAACCAAGATTGCTGTGGTGTGCACCGCCGTGCACTGAGTATTGTGCTTTCTCCAGGCTCAACTACACCAAACAGGAGCGCAGACGGCGGAGGAAACGAGAGAAGGTGTTCCTCGAGTTCATTGACCGGGTCATCGTCCTGCAGTTGGCGGAAGGAAGAGATGTGGTCGTTGAGAACCCCATGACGAGTGACATGTGGAAGGAACCGCTGATGGCGCGATGGTGCTCAGATCGAAATATGAGCTTCTTCCGGACCGATCTGTGCCATTTTGGACTTCTTTCCACAGACGGAGCCGAGAAGTTGCGGAAGCCAATCAAGTTGTTGGCATCAAATCCTGTTTATCAAGAACATCTTGGCCAACTTTGCGATGGTGATCATGATCACAGAGTCATACAGGGCAAAGAGACGAAACATTCTGCTGAATACCCAGAAGGCTTTGCCAAAGCCGTGGTGCGGGCGGCAGACAGTGCTCGCGCCAAAACTGTCTTCACTGCTGAAGATGTGGCCATCCCCGATGCGGCTGACTCCGAGGCTGATGAGATGATCAGTCGTGGCAGTGAAGACATCACTTTCAAGGGCACTGTGAAATCACAAGTCGCAGGTGCTGTTCGACGGCTTCACCAAAATCTTGGACACCCACCCAACAGGGAGCTCATCAAGCACTTGCGTCTTGGAGGAGGTGGGGAAGAAATGATAGCTGCAGTAGAAGCCATGAGATGTCGCACCTGCCAGCGATGTGCTGATCCAAAACCTCATCGAGTATCCAAACCAGCAGCTCTTTTGGACTTCAACGATGCTGTGGCTTTGGATATCATCTTCCTGGACACGACCGAATCAACCGGCAACCTGGCTCTGAACATGGTTGACATTGCATCTTCCTATCAGGTCGTGATCCCAATTCCTAATCGAAGATCATCCACTGTATCAGAGGCTTTTTACTGCCATTGGATTTCATGGGCGGGAGTTCCTGGCAGGCTTGTATTGGACTTAGACACCTGCTTTCAGGACAGCTTCTGGGAGCTGACCTCAGATCACAGCATTGCCATGAGGGCAGCGGCCGGGCAGGCTCACTGGCAGAACGGCGTGGCTGAGCGGTATGGCAGTGGATGGAAGTCCATCTGGACAAAGCTGTGCGCCCAGCATGGAGTTCAGGATCGTGATATCCTAGATGCAGCTTGCGCAGTCAGTGAAGCGCGAAACACTCTGAGGAATAGAAGCGGGTTTTCTCCAAGACAATGGGTCTTTGGGACAAATGGCAAGCTGCTGCCCAACATGGAAGACGATGAGGACTGGAGTGCAATCAGTGCAGTGACAGCTGACACCAAGATGGGCAGAAAACACTCCTTGAAGATTGGGGCACGAACTGCTTTCTTTGAGCTGCAGAATGTGGACTCCTTGAAAAGAGCTATCTCTCACAAGACGAGGGTACAACCTAGAGACTATAAGCCTGGAGACATGGTCTACATCTACCGCCAAGACCCGTCAGGGAAGAAAAGCAAAGCAAGGTGGATTGGGCCGGCTACGATCATTGGGGCGGAGGGAAGCAACTTTTGGACTGCAAGAGGAGGACGCTGCATATTGGCAGCCCGAGAGCATCTCAGGTCAGCTGACCATGAGGAAGTCTCCTTTGCCCTGCGTATTAAGGCTGCGGTCAACGAGGTGCAAAAGACCCTTGACAAGGAGTTCGAGGACGTTGTTGAGGATGAGGCAATGCCTGAGATTGACTTGAGTGGGGTCGGGGACGATGAGGATGTTGCCATGACTGGCGGAAGTGGGCCAACAGGAAGCAACGATCCTGATCCCGGCCGAGAACGTCGTCGTAAGGCTGAACAAATCGAGGTCCAACACAAGAGCATTGTCAAACAAGCCAGACTCTTGGACGACGTGCCTGCCTCAATCAAGCAGAACATCCAATCAGGCAAGAAACAGGTCTTCTATGTCAACAAGAAACTGGTTGGAGATGCCTTGGAAAAGGCCCTCGACAAAGAGCTCCCTTGGAACATGATCCCTGACAATGAGAAAGACATGTATCGAGATGCAGAAGCCAAGCAATGGAAGGAGCACATCGATTTTGGTGCTGTGCGACCACTCACCTTGGAAGAAACGAAAGAAGTGGAAGCACGAGTCAGCAAAGACCGCATCATTTCTTCGAGGTTCCTCTATAGAGACAAGAACCGAGCCAAAAGGCGGCTTGACGACAACATCGAGTGCAAGCCGAAAGCTCGACTTTGTGTGGGTGGCCAACGAGATCCTGACCTAGGAGTGGTGGAGATGAGTGTGGATGCCCCGACAGCCAGTCGGCACAGCATCTTGATCGGGCTCATGGTGGCGCTGGCCCGACAATGGAAAGTGGCGGTGGGAGATATCAGGGCAGCATTTCTGAACGGAGTCGAAGCTCCACGAGATCTCTACTTTAGGCAGCCTGTCCGAGGGATTCCTGGACTTCATCCCCGGCAGCTCATTGAGATCATCAAAGGGGTCTTTGGACTTGCGACCTCTCCCAAACTATGGTGGATCAAGCTGTCAACTGACCTTGTGACGTTGGTGGTGGAATGGAACAACGAGATGTTCAAGATACAACAAAATGAGATTGACCCTTGCGCTTTTCGGGTCGTCTCTGAGAAAGATGGACGTGTGGCAGGTATGTTGTTCACACACGTCGATGACATCATGGTGATGGCGGAGAATGGGCTTGACGGCGCGATCAAGGATGCCATCGCCAAGCACTTCCCCATTGACGAGTGGGAGTCTGACAGCTTTGAGTACGTTGGATGTGAATACAAGGTCGAAAAAGACAAAGTCACAATCACGCAGACCACATACGCCAAAACACGAGTTGAGAAGGTCACCTTGCCTAGTGGCATCAATGACGAGGACGAGGCGAACCCAGACCTCATCCTGCAACACAGGAGCACTGTGGGTGCTCTATCTTGGTTGGCCAAGCAAACCCGACCAGATCTCCAATTTTCAGTAGCTCAAGCTCAGCGCATTCAGAACCACCCAACATATGGTGACATCAAGCAGACCAACAAGATTGTCGAGATGGCCAGAAAGCATGCTGATCAAGGAATAGTATTGAAAGCTATTCCTGAAGAGCATTTACACGTCTATGGCTTTCATGATGCTGCTTGGGGAAACGTCCATGTGGATGAAGTTCCCGAAGTTTCTGCGGAGTGGGAGGGCAAGCATGCGCTTGGATCTCAGTTGGGATCCCTGGTGCTGATTGGCGGCAAACGATGCCTGGAGAACCAGGAAGCTGCATGTTGCGTAGTGGATTGGAGAAGTAAGGCATCGACAAGGGTGTGCCGATCTACGTTTGCAGGTGAAACCATGGCGTGTGGCGATGCGCTGGAGGGAGCCTTATTCTTGCGTGGGCTTCTGGTGTCATTTCTTCATGGGAAACTTGTGAGTGAAGGTGATGCTGGGAAATACATCCCGATTCACTTGTTCACCGACTGCAGATCTCTCTTTGACCACTTGCACCGAGATGGCATACCAAAACCTCCTTCCGAAAAGAGACTCGCCATCGAGTTGGCGGCGATCCGACAAGCATTAGCCATAGAAAGCAAACACCAGTGGTTCAAGAAACATGGAAGGGTTCCGCTCAGACCAGATCGTCCTTTGAAGCCTCCAATACATTGGCTTCCTACAGACCAACAGTGGTCTGACATCCTCACGAAGAAGATGAGTGGAACTGCTTGGTGGGCTGCGCTTGGAGAAGGAATGATCCGTTTTCCATTGACGGTGCCGAAGGAGAATCCCGCACCAGTGTGAATGTAAATTCATTCTTTTGTCACTCATTGCATTTTGCACAGGTGAACGTGATGTTCCATCAATTGCTGGGCACGTTGGCCCAAATTCCATTTTCAGGCACACGGGTCACTTGTCTTTGGAAAAAGGCGCGCATGGCATTGCAGAGCATTCGTTGCCAACAGATTTTTATTATAATGATTTATAATGTGTGAAAGGTTTCTGGTTTTAACATGTTTTAATTGCAGACGCAATTCGGTGCAACCAGCCTTGTGTCGTAAATGCCTATTACATGTGAACCCTGGCGGTCCGTGTATTTTGAAAGGACGTTCAGGCAGAAGGCTTGTGGTATTCAGTATTCTGTGAAAACTGCAGCGCTGCCTAATATACTTGTATTGTCTCCTGGATGAGTGCATCCTTTGTATTTAGGCCTGCTCGGCAGCCTTTTTGATGCCGAATATGTACGCTCCGGACCCTGAACGCGAGGAGCGGCCGAGCACTCTGCAAACAGGCTGTGGCTGATGGGCTCGGTCCTTAAAGCTGCAGGATGTGAGTAACATCATGCGGGCCTTGACAATGAAGCAGTTCCAACCTTAGTTCAGTCGTGCAATTTTTTCTGCTGCAATTTAAAACATCTTGGAGCTTCAGGGAGGACTCATGAGCAAGATTCTCAGGCACACGTCGTACGTGCACCTGGTATGCATGGTCATGAAGGCTTGGTTACCGGTTCACTTGCTGCATCAGAGGCACAGCTGTTGTTTCAGCTTCGTTTTCAGATTTGGCATGTTTGATCACCCTTTCAACAAAAAGGCTGTCCTATTTGTGCCCTTTTGGATTCCTTTTGAGTATATTATAAATATTTATAGATATTTATAAATATTTATAGATATTTATAGATATTTATAGATATTTATAAATGATGTTTTGCTTTACCTTAAGATATCTTAAGCTCCTACTTCAGATATTCAGCAAGATATTCATCAAATCGCGCAATGTCACTCCGCCAGGCACATTCGGTGGAGGGATTGATCTCTGTCGGAGTGGCGCGCCGGGATGTCGTCAGTGGGATGAGTCCTGCAAAGCAGTCATGACGTGTCATAATATGTTATAATATGTCACAATATGGTCAATATATATATAATTATATATATAATATTATATAATTATTTGATATTTAATATGATATATGATGATATATGTATTTTATTGTATTTTGAGAAAATAATGGCTCTTAGGAATGACGCATCTAGGAACTACCATAGGAAACTGAACATGAAAGCCCATGCAACGCTTGTTCTTCTCTCAGAAAGCTGCCCCAACGTGATGTGATGCGCAGTGAACATGGGTGAAATCTATGGTGAAACATCTGAAAACGAAGTTTAGCGTATGTATATATATTGTTTGATCATACTGTTGCCATCATGGTTAATTACCATCATTTAGAGACATGATGAGATATTTAGATCTACTATACTCAAACATCAAGAATATCATAGAATATCACTATGGAGGTTTCCGAAAAGTAGGGCTAGCCCTTAAATCATCAATTTTTTCCATAGATTTTGTCATTTTTCATAAACTACAAAACCATCCAGCTATGTTATGCCCCTCACGACCAGTGCTGTGCCGCGGCGCCAGCCTCCTCAAGACGTGGTCTGCTACGATGATCTCCTCCAGGGAATCTTGGGCAAAGCCGCTGAGGCGAGGATGGCCAGCAGTCGGTCACCAGTGGGTCACCAGGTCGAAATCCCAATGGAAATCCCATGGAAATCCACCATAGAAACCAGCCTAAAAAGTCCATAAAAGTCGTAAAATCACCGGCTATTTGATATTATTTGATGACATTTTTAGTATGACATCTGGCTATTTGATGCTGGATTCTGATCTTCACCGCCGATGGCAAAGGTGCGTGGCTATCTTGCTTTGGCCGCAAGCCTCTTGAAGGCAAGGCGTTTAAGGCGTTTTCCGGGCTGCAAGGCTCCAGTTGGCTGTGTCAACCAGCGCCATGAAACGAAGATCTGGCCGCCTGGCAGACCTCCAAATTGGTCTCCAATGCAGAGATCAACAAAAAGGCAATCCAGTGAATGTGCTGTACACATTGGACAGCTGTATTTTTCTAGACTTAGACTAGACCCCAGCTGCTGGTTTAGGGCCACATTTGGGCGGAAGACTACGCTTCAAGCTTGGCCATGACGATTTTTGAGGCGTGAGGCTCAGTCATTTGCAAAGCACGGAAGGTTTCCCAATCGACTGGGGACATTCATGCACTTCGAGACATAGAAGTTGCATTCCAATTGACAGCATACGCACATGATATACAGATTTTCTATGCTTCAGGTCGATCTTCCATCGTCCTACAAGACTGTGCCTTTCTGCGAAGTAGCTGCAGACATGTGTGACAGGACTTTGCGGAGACGCTGTTTATGATCCGAACTCCCATTTTTGATGAGTTTTTTTGGAACGATCCAGCCGAAATCAGGAGCGGCTACAGAGCTTTCCTCATTGGCTTGGCAGAGGTGCGACATGCTGCGACCACGAAGAACGGACCAGTTGATCCCAGTTCCATTTTGTGTTACGCTGCGGTTACAGAGGAAGCTTTGTTCCCTGCAGACAAGACAGAGTATGCCTCATTCTTAGCTCATCTCTGTGTTTCTGCTTACACCGGTTGCGAAGTCCATAAGTCCAATGATTCTTGCTGTTTTCACCTTTTTGATCCTTTTTGCCCTTGGTATTCTTTGGTGAATCTGGCGCAAGCATGCGCAAGCGGCATTTTGCTCAGCATCGCAAGCAGCTGAGGTACTTTTCCCAAACAAATACTATCGCGTTGGCTTGCAGCAGGACAGAGAGGTCAAGGCCAGATCTCTTGCTCGGAGCTTGACATAGCTTGACCAATATATTATATATATTTCACTGGCCGATCATCCCGGCCGAATGGCCAACATATGCGATATTTTTTTCCCAATGCACATTTCGCGATATTTTATTCTATTCTGCTGTTATGTTTTCATTTGCTCAAACATTTTGGAGTTTGATGATTTTGATGGCTTTGGTGTCAGGGTATCGTCATGGCCAAAAAAAGAGAGGAGCGCAGTGGCGATTCGGAAATCAGTCCCAGCAATGCGAAGATATGCGAAGCTGCGAAGCCAATGCAGTTCCCATAGGATCCATGTATGCTATATATGGATATATATATATATATGGTAACATTTACCATCAATATACCCCAAATGTTAGCATATATACCATACATGGATCCTATGCAGTTGGGATCTGAGGACATCAGAATGGCTTTACCTGGCAGAGCACTGAAATGGCCAGTGCCCGAGAGAAACTCGTGAGAGCGCAACATCAGCGGCAGCGATTTTCGCATTTTTCGCGCCATAAGGACACCAGAAGCATGGGCAACAAACGCAGGACCTGTGCAGGCCACGTGGCGGAATGACGGTTTTGGCGGTTTTGTTCGTCAAGCCGCACCGGAGTGAGGCTAATCCCGGCCTCTCAACTATGAAGGCGGCAAAGGACAAGGAGGGATGGGTCTTCATCTCAAAGTTCTGGGATGATGACCCCCAAAAGTCCCCAATGATATCACGCATTTATCTGGTTGGTGGTTTCAAACATTTTCTTATTTTCCACAATATATGGGATAATCCTTCCCATTGACTAATATTTTTCAAGATGGTTAAAACATGTTAAAACCACCAACCAGTTATCCATATTTATCCAGCAGAAATGCGCTGAATTTTCCGAGGTCCGGGATCATTTCACCGAGGAAAGCGACAAGCAGGCGCTGGCACAATTCGAGGGGCGGCAGATGGACATCAACTGGACATCAACGCCATTCAACGAGATCAGACAGAGGAACCATATCATGCACACTTCGAACAGGACGCAACGTGGTTCTTGAACATGCCCTCCGTCAAACATGGCTGGGAAATCCTATTTTCATTATTTTCATGGCAATTTCAATGGGACAATCATCTATAAATATGGGGGATGTTCCAACAAGTCATGACATGTTTGATTACCAGAGGGTGCCCCATTGGATCCCATGAAACATCATGAAATGGAACTGGGAGATACTGGGAGTTCAGCGTCAAGACATGAAGGCCTACTTGCACGAAAAGCTTGACAGCGCAGCAAAACGCCGTGCAGCACTAGGCGATGCAATGGCGGCCACCTGGCGGGTCCCAACTTTGGAATAATAAGGAGGTTTCCTACGGATAGGATTTTCATGGATTTTCTATAATTTATAAAGCATCCTAGCTATTGGGGTACCCCCATGACTATGGAACCCTCCATAATGCTGACAATGAGTCGTCTAGCCACATCCGAGTTTTCTGCATCTTGCACTGACCACCCAGATTTTTGTCAGGCTTAGTCCATCGCGCCAAGCTGAGCCGAGTTAGCGTGGAGGTCCCCTTGGCCGCCAGCTGGATTTGTGCCATTTGCCCGGTGGACACAGAGTGAGCCTATTGGCTGGTACCCTCTGGTAATTTAACATAGCTATGGAAAATCACCATTCTTAATGGGAAAATCCACTATAATTGGCAATTTTCAATAGCTATGTTAGTTTACCAGAGGGTACTTTGCACGTGATAACTTCAGATGCTCTGAAAAGCCGACAGAACTATATGGATGAGAGCAACGATGACTTCTTCGATACTCGTTTCCGACTCAGCATTAGTGGTCCCAAGCGACTGTTTGCCAGTGGATAACCACAACACCTGCATCATTGAGTCAGCTTTTTCCAGACACCCAGATGGATCTGATTTCTGAGGTGATGAACTGGAGGACCTTATGGAAGATCCCACCTCGGATGTGATGCAGGCAGAAAGTCACGCCACGGGGGCCCCATGGGGCCCCACGTTTCTGGAAATTAAACATAGCAAGTTACGTAAGATGAGACATTTGTGTGGATTGTTTTGCACCTCTTGCAATATCCCACACCATGATACGATAGAACATGATAGAACAATGTTATTTGATTAATTTATTTATATTATATACGATACTATACATACGATATTGACTTTATAGTATTTTTTTCCTTATGTCAAGTATCCCTTCCTTTTCAACTTGTCTAAATGTTTATCTATTTTTTACTTTTCTATAAGGTTTATTGCTAAATGGCACCACATATTGTAATAGTTTCTCTCTGTAAACTGCTTAATCTTTCCAAAGGTCTGTAGGGGGGGGGTGTCGAAAAACGGAAAAAAACAAACTAACTTTTTTTTTTCCTTTTTTTTCCCGTTTTTTTTTCCGACCCCCCCCTTCCGACCCCGAAAGGCTGCTACTTCCGAGAGACCTGAAGACTTAGCTTTCTTTACGATCATCAATTTACTATCTGACCAGATTGACTGGCCAGAATCAATTCGGTTCATTCTAACCGGACGTTCTAACCGGACAGTTAACCGTCTTGCCGGACCATCTAAGCGGACGTCGCTCCGGACAGTCTGGCTGAACGGTCTATGCACTGCTTACTAAACGAAATCGCCATCATCAGGAAAACACATATAGTTTTAACAATGTTGCAGGCTTATTGTCCCTAAACTAATGCTAACTACAACCCATCTCATCTTGGATGAGGTACATATGCAATTTGACAAACCATGAGGAGCTGTGTTCTGCATATGTATGCTCTCTGCTGGTGCAGCTTGTGTGTGCAGCTTGGATGTGACACCATTGATAGGTTCACAGTTTGCTTGCATGGCTGGCTTGCAAGAGAAAGATGTACATGGCAATGCCAAGTTCAGGTTGACTCCACTGACAAGAGCACAAATGCATACAAAATTGATTGCCACAGGTTTTTGCATCAGACTAAGTTTCTGGAATGGATGTGCTTGTGATGGGTTGAAGGTAATCACTGCCACGTGCATGTAAGATTGATTTTGCCATGATGTTCTATGATCGGGTACAAGTGATCTTACATATTCCATGTGCACCGAAACGTTGGAAAACATGGGTTTGCACAGAGTTATTTGCTCCATGCCTTTCCATGACCACTCTTAGTTTGTGATGGAATTAGCACTTGATTACAAGACTTGGTAGAGCCATTGAAATCTGACCTCACATGTGTGTTATTCATTTGTGGTTCCTGTGATTCATGCCAACTATATTGATTCACATTGGAGAATCCTGGGACAAAACCTGAGTAATTTTGTGAGGTTTTAACCTTTGATATAATTTGTGCAACTACAACTGCTTGCATCCCTTGCAATGTGACAGGCTGTACTTCAATTTTTGCTTGTAGAAACCACCAAATCTAAGCAATAGAAATAACCGTTGTATGAAAAATGGTTATGGTGATGTCAAAACGGGCATTTGTTTAACATATAGGTTCACATGATTATTTCATTGATCATTCTTGGGTCTTGAAATGCAAGTGTGTACTGTATATACATCTATTTTTGTTTATAATCATATGAAAATACAAATATTGATTTGTTGCTGCTTGCCATGGGTCTATTTATAATCTGTTTGATGAAAGAAAAACTATTTGGAACCAAGGATTTGGGCCCTACGTCCACCCCTTGTTTGTTTTTTTGAAAACTTTACAGAACCAAACTGAATACAAAACAAATAACAATGCAACTAAAACAAGTAATACAGAAGATATTGAAACATGTCATGAACAAAATGTTACGAATTATGAATATAAACAAACATAAACTATCAAAAAACATCACAAAACACTGTAAAAAGTGGGGCACAGCGTTACACTCTCATCACTCTCCAGATTTGGGGGGTTTGATAGTCATGGGAGGACCCAAAAATTTGGATGGTTTATGGATGGTACCATGGGGTACCCCCAGAAATCTGGAACTCCGCGGATTTCTCGTCACAGGATCCCTTTGAGAGAGCCTTGCTTGAAAGACGCATGGAGGACAGCTCTCACGCTGAAGTTTTTTTTGGGGATCATGCTGAGTTTTTTTTAAAATGTGCTTCGAGGCTAAACGGCAAATCCTGGATGAGAAAGAGCAGATGGATGCGGAAGCTCTTTGATGCTGAGATTTGCTTCAATTCTGAGGGACTGGGAAGGGACTTGATCTGAGGCTGCAGATGACATCCTGTATGGAGAGAACGAGAGTAGGGAGCTGAAGGGTAATGAATTATGTAAACGAATTACACTGACGCTGCTGACGCCACAGTTCAAGGCTTACTCAAACGGCTTGTTGACATCATAGAAACTTTTGGCACGCAGGAAATCTGAAAGTCAAGTGGTCCAGATATGTCCAGATGGGCTATATCATTGTTGTAAGGTATACGGATGGCACTGGTGCATATCCACAAAGCCGAGGAGGCCTGTGTCCGGTGTAGCCGGATTTGTTTAAACTTGGTTACATCGACTCGCTACATCTGCATCCCAGCATGCTGTTTGAATTCTGATACTGTGAAGATACCAAGATTGAACCCCCCCACCTTTCCCCAGATACTGAGACAACGTCGAACCAGGTTGTGATCGTTTTTCTTTGTTGGCAGCTGCTATGGCTACACCATTTTGTATATGTTGTATCCATAGATCCCAAAATCCGCCACTAAGAGTTCGGTGATTCTTCCTTTACTCGAAAAAAGTGAGGTATTAAAACTATAATTTTAGGATTTTCAATTGCCATGTTGGACTGCCGGAGGGTGTCATGTACATTCCATTTTCTGAAATACGCGCTCCATTTCGCTTTCAATCCTTGCAAGGCCAGATATCAGAAGAGAATGCCAGACCCCATTGTGCAGAGAGAGGCAAGGAGAATGTGCGGTTTGAGGTTGCAGGAGGCTAAACAACAGATCTACACAGAAATGGTGGTTTCCACACATGGGGGTACCCCAATAATTAGCTGGATGGTTTATTTTAGGGAAAATCCTACTAAAATGGATGATTTGGGGGTACCATTATTTCATTAAATGTACTCTGTTGTTTGCACGTCTCCAGCCTATCTGAGCCTATCCCCAATATGACTCGCTCCTTCCCACCAGCCGACCAGATCCAGGATGAAATGCTGTGGGGAGCGCCTGTCCCACCGGCTGAAACGATCTGGGCAAATGCCAAGGAGGGTCGTGCCAGATCAGAAGCGCCCATGGTTGGAAGGAAAGTGTTTCGAGGATTTTCGAGGTCTCCAGATCAAGGCCCCCCGCTTCCCAATATGCCACTGTTATCTACTCTTCGGCGAAGATTCTTTTCTAATCTCGACCCAGTTCGATCGCAGGAACCACCTGATGAACTGCTGGTGAGATGCTTAGTGCACCAGTGACTCAGTGCTGTTGAATGTAATTAACAACTGTAACAACTGCATCTCCTTTGCATCAAAAGTCCCAAGTAAGTCCTTGTCGCTTAAAATTATGCAACTTTCTAAGATGTATTCCATATTCAAACTACATCTAACATCATCTAACTACTCGAACCATGCAAAATCACAGTTTGTCTCCAGCCCACCTCTAAACCTCGACTTCTAGCTCCAGGTTCCGTGGTTCAGTGGACACCTTTGTCCTCAACTCTTCCAGCCCAAAACCGTTGAACACCGTTAACTAGGGTTAACTATGGTTAACTATGGTTAACTATGGGTTGACTATGGGTTAACTATGGGTTAACTCTGGTCAAGTATGGTTGTATAATGTTGTATACCTAGGTTAAGCATGAGTTAACTCTTACTGTAGCCTTAAAAGGCCGGCCTCGGTCAGGTTCGTGGTGACCATGTCATCTTGGTGACTTTGGAGAGTGACCTTCCAGAGGCGCATGAGATAAGTATAGGGTAGCTCCAAAAATCCATTGATGAAGCATCATTTCCCCTGCTACATGGTGAACATTCTATGGGTGAAAAGCGGTGTTTTTCCATTTTCAGATAAACCCAGACATATTATGACTGGGGGAATGGTAGCATCGTCGAAACTGTCAGGATGCGGTCAACGATGAGGAGGACACACTGGCCAGTGGCAAGCGAAAAGCGTTGCGCCCGGGCAGGACGACGCACGCGCGTCGAATCGTCGAACGCGTGTGGACATGTCAAGCCATGATGCGCCATGGTCGTTGAACCATCAAAATATGGGGATATGATTGGAGATAACTGAGTTTAACTGATAATTTATTGGGTGGTTGATGATGAGTTCCCGGATTGTGCTAACCTGGTTATCCATGTTATCATGCGGAAGATCACAGTCCAACGGGGAATGGAGGTACTCAGAGGTATGGAATGAGCATTTCCCACCAGAAACCTGGCTGCCTGGCAGGATGATGCCCTTGAAATCATTCGTGCAATCGATGAGGCCAGAATTTTGCAGAACAAACCATGGAAAACCGAAGACTCAAACTCCAGATGTTTTTGTGTCATACAGAGGTGTTGTTGAACCGAACAGAATTTCAGAATGACTCTTTCGTTCTCGATGTCTTGCTCTGGAGTCACTAGTCAACGTTAATGCATGTTAATGTGGCGTATTCACATGTATTCACTATAGCAAGCCTGTCCCTTCCAGTCCCTGACGACGAAGGGAGTTTGGAGTGGTTGCTGCCCGATCCACATTTCCTCGAAGCCTTCAGGTGCCAAAAGAAGAGACGTCCGCTAGTGGTGGTGTCTGAACGAGTCCTGCACTTGGTGGGTTCTGAATGAACAACTTCGATCAGTTCATTGGAAATTCTTCTCTGTGCACCTCCCACTTGTTTGCCATGGATGTGATTCTAGGTTCCATTTGATTGGGCTCGAATCATGCAAGAGCCTCTTGTCTATCTGGTCTTGGGGCAAGAAGCTCAGACAGATTCAAGACTGACTGCAACCGCGTGAAGAATGAATTCCGATATCTTACATCTACATACATGGACATGTTGGTGTTGCACGATGCGAATATATGTATGTAATCTTTTTGATAAGCTAGATAATCATAGATAATCGACATACTATACTAAAGAATATGTTGGGATGGCCGAGCAGAGGAATCTGCATCTCAGGGTGCCGTACTCTCCCTCCACCTTGGAACGAGCTGGATATTTGCAGGCCAGGGGTACCCCCAAATCACCAATTTTTTTGTGGGATTTTCATGGATTTTCCATGTTTCATGGACCATCCAGCTATTGGGGTACTCCTATATCTCCTATGGAAAGCTCATGAAAGCCCCATGGCCCATCTTCCAAAAAATAGGGACCAGTTCTGGGAGCTACGAATAGAGTTTCCCAAGCGCATGCTAGTATGTTTTTTCCCAAACAGTGTGTCCACACTGAGGGGTTTTTACGGTGAGAGTAAAGGCCGGTGCTTGATCAGGGTGCTCACCCTGGGCCGCGGCATTTTTCCTGTAAATTTCCGTGTAAAGTGGCTCTTCGGATGTCTCTTGTGAAATGTGGACATGCGTTTTGACTGTGCAGGCTCGCACAAAGTGTTCGTCCGCATTCTGGGCTCAATCTGGGCCGCGGCATTTTTCCTGAAAATTTGTGCTTAAAGTGGCTCTTCTGATGTCTCTTGCGACATGTGGACATGCATTTCGACTGCTCAGGCTCGCACAAAGTGTGTGTCCGCGTTCTGGGCTCAATCTGGGCCGCGGCATTTTTCCTGCAAATTTCTGTGTAAAGTGACTCTCCGGATGTCTCTTGTGAAATGTTGAAGTGCATTTCGATTGCGCAGGCTCGCACAAAGTGTTCGTCCGCATTCTGGGCTCAATTTGGGGCCGCGGCATTTTTCCTGTAAATTTTTGTGTAAAGTGGCTCTTCTGATGTCTCTTGTGAAACGTTGAAGTGCATTTCGACTGTGCAGGCTCGCACAAAATGTGTGCCTACGTTCTGGGCTCAATCTGGGCTGCAGCATTTTTCCTGTAAATTTCTGTATAAAGTGGCTCTTGCGAAATCTTCACATGCGTTTCGACTGCGCAGGCTCGCACAAAGTGTGGTCCTAGGTCTTGGCATCGGTCCCCCTCCTCAACATCATCATCCCCCACATCATCATCTTCCTCCTCCTCCTACTCCTCCTCCTCGACTCAACATCATCATTCTATTCATTCTCAACATCATCATCTTCCTCCCCTTTTTACATCCTCATCCTCAACTTCATCATCCTCAACTTCACCATCCTCCACCTCATCTTCCGCAACATCCTCCTCCTCCACCTCATCTTCCGCAACATTGTCATCCTTTTCATACTCCTCCTTAACATCATCATCCTGCACCTTGTCCTCCTCCACTTCATCTTCCGCATTACCATCCTCATCCCCATCCTCCTCAACATCATCCTCCTCATCCTCCTCATCATCCTCAACATCAACATCATCATCATCCTCCTCCTGCTCCTCCTCCTCCTCCTCCCCCTCCTCCTCCATCCTCCATCATTACCATCATCGATCATCATCAGCATCAGCATCAGCATCATTATCAGCATCATCCTCCTCCTCCTCCTCCTCCTTCTCAACATCATCATCCTCCACCTTTTCATCCTCCACTTCACCTTCCGCATTATCATCCTCATCCTCATTCTCCTCAACATCATCATCCTCACCATCAACATCCTGAACATCATCATCCCAACCTCATTATCCTCACCATCAACATCCTCAACATCATCATCCTTAACTTCATCATCCTCAGCAACAACATCATCATCATCATCACCATCATCATCATCATAATAATCATCATCATCCATCAACCGGCATCCATCATCCATCATGATCATTATCATCATCACCATCATCACCAACATTACCATCATCATCATCATCATCATCATCATCATCATCATCATGATCATCATCATCATCATCACCATCATCATCATCATCACCATCATCATCATCATCACCATCATCATCATCATCAGCATCATCCCTCATCCATCACCCATCATCCATCATCCATCATCCATCATCCATCATCCAACATCCATCATCCATCACCCATCATCCATCATGATCATCATCCATCATCCAGCATCCATCATCCATCATCCATCATGATCATCATGATCATCATCATCATCACCATCATCACCACCAGCAACATTATATTGCATTATCCACCCGCTCCCCCCACACTGTTTGGGGTCTATTGCCGGGATAGTTTTTATGTTTTTATATAAATTATATATATATATGTTTTCATGTTTTTCACCGTGACATGGACTGAGAAGACTTTGGAAACGACTTGTGACCAGCTTGTGACCGTCATTTTTTGGGGTGAATCTGCTGGAATCTCAGGCAAAATCCATTGTGATCTACCAGAAGGATATACCCAATGGGTCAGATGCTCCACTGGTCGATTCACAGGCACAAAGCGGAGTGTGACAACAGCTGGAGATTCAGGTCACCAGTTCCAACCTTGGAAAAATACACCCACAGGCCATTTTTGCTCAGCGCCTGCTGGAGTCGCTCTTGCGTGAAGCAGGCTGCGTGTTTTCCGTTTGTCGAAACATATGCAGACAGACTGAATTGTGTCTGCTGGTTTGTATTTGTTTGTGCCTGTCGTGCTACTGCTGTGCAGGGGCAACAAGGACTCCTGTGATCATGCACATGCACATGGAGGATTGCAAGGGATTGCGAATGCAAACAGTTTGTTTGCATTTTTTTGCACATTATTGTTTCAGCAGTCCCTGAAGGACAACACCGAACTCCTCCCAGACTCAGCTGAAGCACGAAAAACGAAGGAGCTCAATGGAGTTCAGAGGGACTTTGATTAGAGTTTAGAGAAACTGAGCAGGACTCTAATCCTGTGCCACGTTCACGAAACATACAACGATGATTGAAGTCACGTAATTTACCATAATTTACCAAGTCTAATGTGAGAATAGGTCAACACCTATTTTCACCATATTTGAGTGAATAAACAAGAATAAACATCCATTCACCATGACTATCTATGACTCAGGGTACCATCCGGGTGGGTTTTTGACTCATAGCAATATCACGCCAGGGCCTCCTAGAGATGCTGGAGTCAAAGGCGGAGCCAAGTGGAGAAACTCCACACAGTTGGGGTGTAAAGCCACCACTGTGCACATCATTGCACATCATTTTGGAGACTCTTGGCGATATGACTCAACTTTGGGTACTCCATGCACTCCATGCTGAACACATGTGACAAGAACCGATGATCAAGATCTCGAAGTGATATTGTGGATTCTCACAGTTAACTGGTGCCAGACACGGGAAGACGATGAAGATGAAGGGCCAAGTCAGCCAAAAAAGGTTGAGGCCAGAGTCCATGGCTGTGCACGGCAGGGTCAAGACTCAAGACAGAAAGCAGAACTTGGTATGTTCAAAATGCCGTTTCAATCATGACAATCGTATGATAAGGCTCGAGAATTATATATGAGGGTTTCTATAGTCATGGGGGTACCCCTTTATCGCTGGATGGTTTCATGGAAAATCCATGAAAATCCCATTGAAATTTGGATGAGAACTCGGTAACTAGGGGTACCCGTAGTTCAGGAAACCTCCATATCATATAATAATACAGTATAATCCCAATATTGGGTACCATATGTTTAATCTCAACATATAGTCAATCCCAATAGTATATAACAGGTACCCGTATATCACATATGTTTCCCCAAGATGATTCGCCATAGTTAGTGCGTCAGGTTGAAGATAGGCAGCAGATCATCTTGCAGCATCGCTTTGCCAGCAGCGTCCTGTGCCTTGGCAGCCAGCAATGCTTGGCGTAAAAAGACAGTGATTCTGACATCGTTTGAAGAACAATGGTTAAATAATAGGTATAAAGTATTATAAAGTATTATAAAGTTATACAATATAATTTATAATATAATATAATCAATATCTTACAACATAATATACAATATGATATACAACCAACTATTCAGAATAGTTTGAACAGAGTCAGGACACTTCACCGGGGAGGCACTTCACTTCACCTAAAAATATTTATCCCTGTGATTCTCAGCGGGTCAGGTTCAGCTCGAACTTTGTGACCTGTTTGATGGCGAATGTCATGTTTCAGCCTTGTCTTGCGGCCGTGCTCACGGAGATGGTGATCTGCTTAGCTTTGAGACGAGCTTTGAGATGTGACTCATCGTGCTCCGAGATTCATGGGAATTGTTTTCATGGTAATATGATGTGAAATTGATTTATGGAAGAATTGGAGTAATGTTAATGGGTAATATTAATGGGGTATTACTAAGTGTAATATCTGGGGAACTATTATTGTCGGGATATCCATGGAATAATGGCATGGGATCATCATTTCTGGCAGCGATTCGCGCTGTGCTCACCCTTGCTGTGAGTCAAAAGCAGCCTTTGTCGTCGTGGAGGTGCCTGAGGTATGGTTTCTCTGGCTTGTTTTGAAGCTTTAGCACCATGTGAGGCCTCAAAATGCCTCAACAGGTCTCAACAGAATCTCTGGAGCGAATCCAATGCGAATTCCAGGAAAGGCTTGACCTTTGGCCAGCTCTTTAGCTACATGATGAGGAAGAGGCTCCATACCTTTCGCAGACTTCGACATACTCCACCTGCCCATCACTGCCTTGACAAACCCAATTGCTTGAAAGGAATCTGATGCCGATGGCGCTCCTTCGAAAGACTACATCGCCCTGATCTAAGCTGCAAGCTCGTTCGCTACCATTGCGCCATTATGCCTTGATCCCTCGAGGCAAGAAGCTCTTGACTTCCTTGACTCAACTGTAGAGAACAGGCCTGCTTCCAGCTGCCAGTATGCCAACATACTGCCAACAGCTGCCGGAATCTCTTCTCAGCAAATCTCCACTCCATGACAGGAAGATTGAAGATCCAGAGGACAATTTCAACATGTCTCCACATGTCTTGAACTCCGACACACACACACACAATGTTACTTTGTCTAGTTTCGCCATTTTTCATGCATGTTCTACATATATGTTCAATGAATGCACAGGAGATTCCGCACACAGACCCCTATGGTCACCCCTCATCGGTTTTCAGCAGGAGAAACTGGAGCTGGTCTACGCACACGCGCAGAGGAAGATGGATGATTGGCGGTCCGCCCAATGGCATGTCTTTGGATGTCTTGTTGATGGGTTATTTTGGGGGGTTATTATTACATATTATTACATCTGTATAATATGATTATTATTGGATGATATGATTGGTCATAATCATTCATAATCCCCGACATAAACCAGATATTATTACTGTACCTTGTATTATCTGGTTTATTTATAGGGGATTATGACCAATAATATATCGGGGAAACCGTAGGATGCCGATCGACCAGTTGGGATAGGCTTGGGGTGTTGGGCTGCTCCACGCTCCGTATCCACGTATGCATTTCATAGCATTTCCAAGGATCCTATCAAGCGTTGAGGAATGTTGAGGATATGATGATTTTGGGACGCTTTTCGATCTATTTTGGCCATGTAATTTGAACTTCAAGGCAGCGTTGAGAAGTTGATTTGCAGCTTTTTGTTGAGGATGGTGTCCTTTTTTTGAATTCTGCACTGCTAAATTCTGGTATCTTACTGCATCATGTGGCAGCTACGCCCAAAGGCACCCACTGAGTCCCCATTCAGACACCATGATTTGTGCACAGTAAAAGACTCAGTTGTTCTAGGAAAGCTATTCAACTTCAATCATTGACCAAGAATGCCCACAGCAACTCGAGTGAACGACTCTTGTTGAACACCCAAAGTGCATCAAAGATCATCAAAGTACAACAAACATCGTGATGGTGCACCAGTTGCACAAGGCCTTGTCACAAGTTTGAATGAGCCCAGCGCAATCTGGCAGTCCTGAATCATTAAGATAGTGAATCTATGACAATATAGAGATTTAACATGATTTACATATAATACTATACATTACCATACTGTATAAAAGATATAAACTATATAAAAGTGATGTCAGGTAACAATGGTAACAGGTTTCCGGCACTGTACCTTGGTGTTTTTGAAGCCGGAGATTTTTAGTCGGATCATCTCATGAGGCTGGTGTTCGGATCCTTGTTGATTCGCTTCAAGAATCATCAATGTATAGCATGGGTCATTAAATGTCCCCATTGAACATCACCCAACCATTAGGTATATGGTCTACTAGATGGCTACTTTTTCAGGTGATGTCCAATATTCCCAAAATGGGACAGTTACCAACCCCTGTATAGGATATACCCTCTGGTAAATTAACATAGACCCTGAAAAATCCACCAATTTTTAGAGGAAACTAATCTTCCAACCCCAACAACTACCAGGGTCTATGTTAATTTACTGGAGGATATACCCTCTGGTTATTTAACATAGCCATGGAAAATCCATGAAAATCCCTTACTGTATGGAGGTTTCTAGCTGGGAAACTATTATCTATAAATGGGCCATCTATACAATGGCTATGTTGAATAACCAGAGGGTAGATGGATATAGATTCTATAGATGATGTAGAATATATGATATGATTTTTTTAAATATATCTGATGGATTCTGATGGATCCTGATGGATTCTTGAGACTTTCACCAGCATTTTTTCACAGATTGCTGCGCTTTAAAAAACTCCAGTTGCCACGCCAGGCAACAGCTCACGGATGAAGCGGAGAAGCGGAGGCCATTGATACAAGGACCAACATCAACAAAATCAGACTGAGATATACCCTCTGGTAAACTAACATAACTATGGAAAATCACCATTTTTAATGGGAACATCGACTATAAATGGTCATTTTCAATAGCTATGTTAAATTACCAGAGGGTGATATATTATGATATATTATGGTTAATGATATTATAATATATTGTAATATCAAGCCCGGATTTATTTTTATACATCAACAAAAATCATACGGCCCATGGTATCACCCCTTTTCATGGCGGTGTTTTTTTTTTGGACTCCGGGACTCCCAGGTACATCCCTGGGGACCCACCGTTCCAGCGCTATGCAGCTGCCTTACGCACTGAACAGCGATTGAGTTTTTCCATGGCCCATTGTATCAAAATAGATTCGATTTTCCCAGCGAAAAAACACATTCAAACCTGAAAATTTCGTCATTTTTATGGGATTTTCCATGGCGAACGGTGAATGTCATAAGCAGATGGTCAACCGTTGATGCATCATGGATACATGATATTCGCAACATGCCATGTGCGCCTAGACACTGGTGATGCCACCTGGAGCATCTTACGTTGTCTACAACGACGGAGTCATTTGCATGCAGGGGACTACAAGGCTTGCGTCGCGGTGAACAAAACGGTGAAAGATCCAACAAAACATGGACCTGTCAGTGGTTTTTCAGTGGTGATAAATATATGTTTTAAATACTGCTTGGTGGTTTGGAACATGTTTTATGTTTCCATCAATTGGGAAAAATAATCCCAACTGGCTAATATTTTTCAGGGGGGTTGAAACCACCAACCAGAATATGTTTTAATGATTTTTGATGGGACAATTCAGGACAGATCCCCTTTTTCGTGGAGTGTTTGCCCGGGCCCGAGATCGGCCACAGGACCACCTTGCCCAAAACAGGAGGCAAACGTGAGAGATTTGATGCGGGGCATCTCAGTATCCTGGAGTTCACACCATGAATCTCTGATATTCATAGTGATATCAGTATCTAAATATATGTAATATATGATATAGTGTAATATACTATATAGTATAATGTACATTGTAATATATATATATACATTATACTATATATATATGAAGTTTATGTATGTATGTATAATATATATATATATATTAATATAGATATTAATATAGATATTAATATATATATATACACACATGTAGGGGTTTGTTTCATTCTGAGATGCATTTTGACTTCTGTGGATGTTCCTTTTGCACATTCGAGGATCCCATCACCCACAGCCGTCCTGCGGCCTGACCAGCCGAACGGGGCGTGTCCAAGAAGCAGCTCAAAGTTGGCTGCAGATCAGCTGGCCTAAGGCCACACTGATGTGGATGATGCGGAAATGGGGATGGGTCAAAACCTATGAAGTGACCATATGACTGGGCGAACATCCAGCGAAAAACCAGCTATTTCACGATAGGATACCCCAAGGGGGTCTCAGGGTTTTGACTCATAGCAGAGAGATGCTGCGCAAAATGACCTGGACTCCAGTGGTGATTCCAAGTGTCACAGCAATGGAATCAGCTGCATATCCCAGAAAAAAATGGATAAATGGGGGTTTCAGGGCGTATATGTTTGTATGTTGCTTGTTATGATTTTGTGTTGGGGTTCAATGTTTCATCTTCGCCTTTGATGTTTTTTCAGGTGGGGTTTTGGGAGGTCATTTTGATGCTAAAGTGATGTGTCAATGTTTGGTTTGGATGAGGGGGACAATTGTTGAGGTTGTTGTGTTTTATGTTTATGTTTATGTTTGGGGTTAGAGGATGGGATCGATGTGTCCTTCGTCCGCTCTGTGCTGAAAATGATCATCCGCGTTCGACGTCTTGTCGGGAGACCCAGTTTCAGAGAACAAGTGTTGCAAACAAATCTCCAGACATGTGAAGCCTTGCGAAGCAAGAGTCTGGAAAGGGTCAAAAGGTCCCTCAGCCTTGGGCATGCAATGTTTGTCACAGCTTTCTGGCTGAAGTATTGATGCATCCACCTTCAAATTTCAGCTACGAAATGGGGAGGGCTTGGGCTACAGTACAGATTGCCAGCCAGGATTTTTTTATACAAACAGGAGGGGTTGTGCCCCCCATCAAATCATCATTTTCATTTTGTAGTTGTATACGTTGAGTTAGTTGAAGCATCCAACATAAAATCTCATTAGCATTTTGTAGTTGTACAAGTTGAATAGTTGAAGCATGGGGACATGTACATGGACACAAACAGATCATGAAACTACAGAATGCCATCTAGCAAACTGCACGGGGTCAACACTTGATCCAACTAAATTCAATCATTGACAACTACAAAATGTTCTCCGAATTTATGTTGGTCGGAACTTTGGATGGCAAAGACCCAACTACAAAATGTCATTGGGAAAAATCATGTTAGCAATTCCGACGTTCAGCTATTTTTTAACTTCAGATGCATTGGATTTTGTAGTACTGGTTTTGAATTATTTTCCGAGCCAGAAAGAGTTATGTTCTTCATTTTGTAGCTGCAAAAAAGTAACATGCACTGCATTTTTGTAGTTGTGCACCCTATGCATTCCGCTTTGTATCTACCAAAACCATCTGCACAACTCCTCCCCCCTTATCTGAACCCTGATATTGATGCCCTTTGTCCGCCCGCAGTCATTGGAACTCGTAGCAACTCCAACAATGATGTTGTCGTTCTATCGACTGGCCCGCGTTTGCCTTGTCGTTGTTTTGGTGCTGTGGAGCTCTTCGTGTTTTAGCTTGCCAGACGCAGCGCGTCCAGTGAGGACAGCTCGCCGTTGTCAACCCCCAGGTGACCCGCTCCTTCAAACTGTCAATGAGATTCCAGAGCCTGACAGGCGCTTGGTGGCACTCCAGCAACTGATGAAACTGGAGAAGGAGAATGAGAAACTGGAGAAGGACGTTCTGGTTCTGGAGAAGGAGTTGCTGATTTTCGAAAATCGCAAGCTCAACGAGGATATCATGCGAGCACAAGGACTGATGACCGCCCGACGCGTCTTTGAGCGGGTGGTCCAACTTGGATGGAACGAGCAGCTCGCAAAGCGCAAGGCCAAGGGCAAGTGCGTCATAGCGAATGCAGTGCCCGTTATCGCCCAGAACCAAAATGCCGGCCGCTGGTCGCAGACTCTCATCAAGGCCGCTCTGAAGTGTGTCGCCGGGCCGAAGCCTTCAGAAAAGACATTGCAGGACATGTGGACCGAACTCAGCTCCAGAGTCCACAATGAGGCGTGGGCTGGCGATGTGAAAATTGAGGACAACTTGTCGAACTCAACTCAATGTATAGCTAGGGAACTTTGCACAGAAATGGGGTTGAGAGTCATGGGGGAAGAGGAATAAGAAAGTTTCACCACGTGCGCACGTGTTGCCTCCCACGCTAAAAGGAGAGAGAGAGAGAAAACCAAACCGACCGTCCTAAATCGCAGGAAATTTCAATGCCCCTAGCTTGCAATATTTCCTTGATTCCCCCTTCAGAATCTTCAGATTGAGGCTTACTCATCACCCATCACATCACCTGCTCCTTTCCACAAAGGTGGTTGAGTCCTCATGCTGTTATTCAATCACGTGACTGCGAGAAGTCATCACCAATTCGTCAATGTTAGATGGGGTGCATCCAAAGGTTGCCAAGGTTTGGAACTTTTGCGCTGTTAGGATGCTGTATTTTCTAGGCATAAACTCTTGCCTCCTTCTCTTTCAGCAGTATTTGAACCTGCTGGTTTTGGGTTGCACAGGTGTTTTTCATTCAGAAACATCTTACTGTGTGAAGTCCATGAAAACAAATGTCCCTTTGCTGAGCATTGCGTTGGAGAGCTTTGATGAATGAATGCATTGTAAATACCCTCTGGTAATTAAACGTAGCTATTGAAAATTGCCATTTATAGTGGATTTTCCCATTAAAAATTGTGATTTCCCATAGTCATGTTAGTTTACCAGAGGGTACCCGTCAGATTGCTCATTTTCCCAACCATGACTATCCAGACCTTGATTGCCCAACTTGTCCAGTCAGCTTCCACACTGAGGTTATCAAGACAATACTGTTGAGACCTACAATGAGGTCTTGAAATGGAGAGAGAAATTGAAAGGTTGAAATGGAGAGGGGTTCAAACTTTTGATGTGGGAAGGTTTAGGTGCAATTGAATGTTATGGTGAATTTTTGGATCCATAATTGCCAACCGCCTTTTAAGGAAGAAAACACAATCCAACTAATCGCATACTGTAAATGTCAACTATTGTATGGTTAACGCATCCCTCCAACTAATGGCTTAAATGCCAACCATTTTGCGGGGAAACATCCAGGGTAAACATATGTCTTTGTGCCCCCCACACACCCGCAAACCACACATACGACTAGATATTCCCCTTTAACCCCCCTTGTTCATCCTGTTTGTCAGAAGGGATACCGAACGACTGCTGCGGCCTTTGGAGGGAATGGTAAGGGTTATTGTTTTTTTCAAGGGAGATTTAAAGACACCACTGGGAAGGAGCGAACCACTCTTTGTTGTGGAAGTTTCCAAGGCATACCGCTAGTGGTGTTGGTTGATTTTACTTTATTTGTTTAATTGATGTTTATTTCAAAGGCAAAACCTATCCCGCTAACCCCAGCCATCAAAGACGTGGTTGGCATCCCAACAAACAACAAGCAATGACGCCCACCACAACGTCGATGTCGATGAGTTCAACAGTGGCAGGAACAGTATTTGAACATGTGTCCTGAAATGGCTGTTTTTGAACCCTTTCCTCATCATTTTAGGACACCTCATGTTTTTGACAGTTTACCCAAAGATACTTAAAGACATATCGCCTTATATGTGGTAATTGATGGAAAGAAGCAAGAAATGGGCGAAGACGTCTTTGACCAAATGGTTGAAGCACTGCACCAGCATTAGCAATAGATGAACTGAATGATACAGACAAACCTATCACAAGTCAAGTCAGGATAATTGAACACTGGTGGGATGGAATAGGAAAGTGGAAAGCATAAATGATTAATTCATAATATCTTAACAAAATATATTATGAAGTAATCACCCGCCCAAACACAAACAAAAACCCCAACAGTCTAAACAAATCCTACCCCCATTCAATCCAAACATTGACACATCACTTTAGCAACAAAATTACCCCCAAACCCCACCTGAAAAATCATCAAAGGCGAAGATGAAACATTGAACCCCAACACAAAATCATAACAAGCAACATACAAACATATACGCCCTGAAACCCCCATTTTTCCATTTTTTCCCAGACAAACGCAGTCAGATCTCGTTGACGCAGCTGGAAACTGTTCCATGACTCGGATCCAAGACAACTACACAGGCAAAGATGGTCAAAGATGGTATGGAACTGGAATCGAAGACTGAAGGCCTAAAGTCTGCAACTTAAACATATTCTTTGTGAAAATGCGGCGGCATCTCGACTTACATCTTGTGCATATGGAAACCAAAAAGACAGCAACAACATTTCTGGTCCTGTGATGCATGCAGAAATAACATGCAATGGAAAGAGCTCCTGAAGTGCCTCTCTATGGCCAGCTAATGATGGTTCACCGTGAAAGGTTCTGGTGAAAAAGAGCATGACCAATGAAGGGGCGTTGCAAAAACGTTGTTTTGGAATGTGGTTGTTCAAAATGTTTTGAGTTTCCTTTGCGTTCATGGTTTTTGATGGTTTTTGCAAAGCTGTTTAGATTGGACTCTTGTGCCAGCTAATGATGGTTCGACGAAAACATGGTTGTCTTCAGAATGCTCCTCAGTTGCAAGACAGGTTTATACCTGTCGCGAACCGCAACTGGGGTGGCAGATTTCACCGCCAAGGCTAATGTGGTTTCCTCTATATGGGCCAGGCCATTGGCGGTCGAATTTTTTTTCTGGCACATTTTTCGAGTCCCTGAGTCCCTGGCCCTGTCAGGTACAGCGTTTCCAAAAGAAGAGCTAGGTGGGACTTGCTGTCCCGGCTGTTCGCCCGGCTCCACAGTGAGCACTATGTCACTATGGGCCCCAGGTCGGTCTTCTGGAAAATGTGGACGTGTCATTGTTGCTAACTGCACAAAATACATCAAAATACATGCCCCTAGATGATCCTAGATGACTGTAGTATCATAGTATCTACATCCCCTGTGACAACATACCTCAGCTACCCTCAGCTACACCAAGCCACCGATCCCGTCGCTGGTCTGCCGGAAGATGCCGGGGATGAGCCTCTAAAATTGGATAATGCTGGATGATTTAAGATATTTTAAGATATTTTAAGTATATTTTGATTTATGATCGTTATTAGCATTACATTTCGTATTCTGATAATTAGTATAATTATATGAATATTGTAATTATCATCATTACAATCATTTACGATAATACTCATAATAGATAACTAATAAATAATACTACTAAATACTACTAATAATATTGCTATCATTGTCACTATTGAGGATGTCTCGACATGACAAGCTATCACCGTTTATTGTGGCATATGCCCAGAGTATGCCTGGAGTTGGTCCCGGTCTCCTCGTTCGAGGTGTGACCTTTCCACGATTCACGGCATTGACGAGTTCATGCAGAGCTTAGGCTCTTGGTCGCAGCGCTGTAGCAGCACGGAAGCATGAAACCCACCGAAAAGAGTGTGGATCAAAATTTAAGCCCTAGGGGACCACAGATTTTAGTATATGTTTATATTAACCATCTAATTATCTAATTGTAGGGCTTCGCACACCGGCGATGCCCCAAGGGTTGTTGGTGTTGTCCAGAATGTCGCCCATTTGCTCTGCTGTTGCTGCTGCTGCTGCTGCTGGTGTTGTTGTTGTTGTTGTCGTCGTCGTCGTCGTCGTCGTCGTTGTTATGGTGGTAGTGTGAGTGGTGGTGTTGCTTCGGTGCATCTTGCAACCATCTGACTACACAGCTCTTTTCTCATTCGTTTAGGAGCCAAACATCATCAAATAGGTGTTGTATTTACGTTTTTTCGAGACGCTCGGAGCAAAAAACACCCTAAATACCGATGTTTTTGGTGTCTCAGGAGCCAACAACCACGGTATTTACGATGTTTTTTTTGTGGACAGCACCAGCAAAAGCGCTGGTATTTACGCAGTTTTCATCATGTTGCAATAATTAGTTTTTTTTGCAAAAGGCACAAAATCATTACACAATTACACCAACAAACAGCAAAAAAACCACCAAAAAGCGTCCAAAATTGACCTTCGCGCGGACTTTGACCCCCAACGTGAAAACACAACCTGAAGGATTTTGGGGGGAGGGTCGTCGAGTCACCAATGAGCTGCCAAGCCATCGCCGGATAAAGCATGGCCATCATGGCCTATCGATCCTTGGAGAAAGATTCAGCTGGTGTCAGAAAAGTTACCACAATGATACCTGGCCTGTGGCAGCCAAGCGCCCATGGCGACATTGCTTTCGATCCATCGATGTCGGACACGCTGCCATCCAGCGCTGCAAAACGTAAGTCGCCACACTGAAACAACATGCCAGTGAGTGAAGGACGGATCGGCCCCGCAGCCTTCTTGTGCCGCCTTCTTCCTCTTGCCGCTGACTTTCTCGTTGCGTTTCTTGGCTTCAAAATTCAGCTGCCAGGCATCCAAACATTGCTTTTGGCACCAACAACAAACCAGCTGCAAAATGCATGTCCCAGGCCTCCAAAAGGCGTCCTGCCACACTAAAACGCCATCGTTTGCTTCTTCCATGTGTTGTCTTGCTCTTGGAGCTTGCTGTCAACTGTTCGTCGACACTTGCTTGCTTCTTCTTCTTCTTGCTTGCTCGCTTCTTGCTCTTGCAGCTTGCCTTCTTTTTCCATACCTTGCTTGCTTTTGCTGCTTGCTTTCTTCTTGCATCTTGCTTGCTGGCTTCTTGCGCTTGCATTTTTTCCATAGTTCTTGCTTGCTCTTGCAGTTTGCTTTCTTTTTGCATCTTGCAGCTTGCTTTCTCCTTCCGATGTCGTGCTTGCTCTTGTAGCTTGCTTTCAACTTTCAACTGTTCGTCGACACTTGCTGCGTGTAATCTCTTCTCTGACGCCCTCCCCCTTGCAGTCGGCTGGGTCGGCGGATTATTGGGGTAATTACCCATTTTTGACCCATACCCATTTCTGACCAGTTTTTTTTCTCCAGGAGAAAGCACGACATTTAAATTTATCTGATGTTCTTTTCAAAATGTCAATTTGGTGGTTCAGCAATCTTAAGTGACCTGATGACCGATGATTTCAGTTAGGTTGGATTTGGGGTCAGATGCCCAAGATATCCCAAGCTGAGGCTATGACCGTTGCATTGATGATGGTTCCTGCGAGCCATGTAGGATTCCCAGATGGCTCCTATTGATCCGAGGCATCCTCCAATGATTTCCAGTGATATCCTAAGGCACTGAAGAAGAATTGCTGACGCCTCCTTGTAGCAGCGGGCAACGCCAGAAGGTACCTGCGTAGCTGCACTTGTGAAAACGTCCATCCTTTTAGGCATCCTAATGTGGTAAACCCAATAGTAAATCTACCATTTTGGGATGTTTTATAAAACCCATTTTATGGTGATTTTGGGGATGGTTTATTATTGGGTTTACCACAATCATGATTAAGCGTTTAAACAAAAACACTGGGGATGGATCAACAATCAATACCCATGGCACCATTGATTTTGGTTGATTTCTAGTGTATAACTATAATATACTGATATACTATAATAACCATCCATTTTTGACCGCAGACCGCCATGTCTTCCCCTGGTCTGGGCTTGGTCACCTTGGTCAGGTCATTTGCACACGCTGTCAAGGGATGAGAAGCCACCTACCCTTTTGCGGGTCTGGATACAGGAGCACTCTCTCGCAAAAGGGCTGAACAAAGAAAAGTGTGCATCATCATCATGGATGAATTACCCTGATGATAACCTATCCAAAGGATTCCAAAGGGCTATTTGAATCTATTTGATTTTTTTGGGGGGGGTTCATCAGGGTAATTTTGGATGGGTCGACCCAACAAGTGCAGGATCTTTTGGTCCTCAAACCACAGCTCCGCCAATGTGTCTGGGCCTAGCAGCTTGGGTGCAGACATTTGGAGCTGTAGTAACTGCGCCGAACATTTTGTGCCGACTGGATGCAAAGATCCGGAGTAGTTGAAAGTAGTTGGCCAATCAGTCACTGTGTAGTGGCGGGCTTACAACCTTGTTTACACACAAGAAAAAAACTTAGGAAATTTGATAAGCAGGCTCATTAACCCGTGGCCCATGACTGGGATGAACATCCAGAGACTGAGGTGGACTGAAATTAAATCAGCTCAACAGTGATTTCGAGACGAAAGCATTGCTGCATGGTAAACGGTTCTTTTTCCACATCCCAAAATGGCCTCAGAAATTATGGCTGTGGTTTTCCAGGTCCTTCTTGTCGACCCGTTGGTTTGTCTCCGTCAAATTCAGAGGAAATGACTTGAATTCTGGCAAATCGTAATATGGGTACGAGTCAAAAAATGCAAGGTATGGATCAAGGCCCCGGGCACACACACGATCCATACCCCCCGATCCATACCTTGATCCATACCCTATGATACTGCATGATCCATACCCTTGATCCATACCCCTGATCCATACCCCTTTCTCGTTGAAGAAAGACTGATGCTGGCCCTAATGAGCCTGCTCCCGCTGCTGGTGCTGGTTCACTTCCTCTGTGTGCTTCTGGTAGTTGGAGAAATGCAACTAGCTGACTAGTACTATAGCAATATTGCAAGTGCACCTTGGAGGCTAGTAAGACCGGTTCTAGTTCCTCCAGGTGATTCTTGTATTTCTAGTGGCCCTGTGATTACAACTCCTTCTGTTGCTGCTCTGCCTGGCACGTGTAGAATTAGACTGGACTAGAAATACCCCGCTCTCTTCCTTCACAGCCACAGCGGGAAAGCCGGCCCAGATAGCGTATCCCGATCCATACCCGTTCCATGCCCGATCCACACCCGAACCCAGTCACGCCACAACAAATGCCAATATGAAAGTCCGATTCTATTACTACTTCTACTGCTTCTGCTGCTACTTCTACTTCTACTTCTACTACTGCTACTACTACTACTGCTGCTGCTGCTGCTGCTGCTACCGCTCCTGATATTCCTACTCCTCCTCCTCCTCCTACTCCTCGTACTACTCCTAGTACTTACTGCAGCTGCTGCTGCTACTACCATTAGACTAGTGTTCTTATGACTATTACAAGTACTACTGCTACTGCATCTTCTCCTTCTATTGCCACTACTGCTGCTAGTGCTGTTTGTTTTTAAAAACTGCTCCCTCTACTAGCAGTGGTAACAGTTTTAGCGGCAACAGTAGCAGGAGGAGAGGTAATAGCAAGTAAGAGTATCAGCACAGTTTGTATGCTATGATGAGCCCTTACAAAAGGGTACGGATCAGGCACCTTACGTAAGCACTCCCGATCCATAGTACCGATCACTGCGGAGCGATCCATACCCGATTTTTGACTCGCACCCATATGTACAATTAAAACGTATAATATACAGATCAATGCTCCTAGTAGAAAGTATCATAGACTATCACAAAGTGGTGTAAACTGTTGTGTGCATGCATATGTATATAGACACCCTTCATCAAAATCATTAATCTCTTCATTTTCTATGTTCTATGTCATTGAGGTGCAGGGCTCTTCCATCGCAGCTGCGGACAGGAAGGTTTTCTGAAGCCGCCCAGCGGCTCGCGCAACGGCGTATTTACGGGCGACAGCCCGTTGGATGCGGAGGGGACACCCGAGACGGCCAAGTCTGAGAAGTCTGGTGGTACCTCCAACTCGCGGCACATCTTCCGGTTTGGTGGTGATGGAGATGAAGGCTCCACAGAGGTGCAGAGGTAGCTTGCGCACGGCACACAGGTGCCTAATTTTAATGATTTTTAATGGTAGGACATGATTCTGATGGTATCAGCAATTAGATGATAAACACATGGCTCATGAAAACCTGAAACCAAGTAGAATCGACCAACACTTGAAACGCTATTTGACATTATTTGACACTATCTGACACTAATCATGATTTGATGATGGTTAACACCTATTATGATATCATATTATGACACGGTGTTGAAAAAAACACATTGCCAGGGTGAAGTGACCCAGTTCGCCGCTGCTGCAGGTGCTTTATTTCTTGTTTGCAAATGCCTTGGTCCTCGCCGCTTCTGTGCTTGCCACAGATTGCTGATTCGACACAGGGATGGAATCTGAAGTTAGTTGGAGGAATGATGAAACATGTAAACTTGACATTTGGTAGCCGTACCAGGTAGATGTCATACAATTGAATGTCATCACTGCAGTCAAGGGGACAATGCATCTGAGGCATGGTCTCTCCGCCGACAGCAGCAAAAGCAGTGGGTCAGTGAGCACAGTGCAGCAGTTTGACCATTTGGGCCTCCCAACGCCCGTATTTTGTCAATAGACCAGGCTTTCCGTTCAGATTGCAGGAAAAGACCATGGAAGGGCTCTACAGTTGTATTGAAGCTCTTGCCTCAGAATCCAGAGGCTTCGGCCACAGCCCATGGGACCTGATGAAGTCCAGCATTTCAACACAGACACATTTGCTTGGAACTGTGTACGGTGATGAGTCATGATGGATTCCGGGATGGATTGATATGCACGGTCCTGTTAGTAGGAACAAAACAAACAGTGTGTGCAAAATATTATACATATTAAGGGCTGCCGCCCCTGTCGCCGACCCCGGAAAAATGGGGAAAGAGGAAACAGCACGATTAACATTTCCCATATGTGTGTGTCGTGTTGTGTATGTGTGTTATATACCTTGAGCAGCCTTTGCTCACTTTTATATAACATCGCCAGCTTGCAAACCAAGAAGCAGGCATCTAGAAAAAATGTCTTTTTCCCAACCTTTTCCGCTTTTTCAATCTCCCATCAGCTCACCTGCTGCTGCTGCTGCTGCTGCTGCTGCTAACAGAAGAGTAGCGAGAGCACCTCCCGGCACCAAAACAGCAAGGCACGGAAGGACGAGAATCGCACCGAAAAAGTGCCTAACGTCCCTTCTGAATTCCTAGAAAAAGTGTCTTTTTCCCAACTTTTTCCGCTTTTTCAATCTCATCAGCCCACCTGCTGCTGCTGCTGCTGCTGCTGCTAACAGAAGAGTAGCAAGAGCACCTCCCGGCACCAAAACAGCAAGGCACGGAAGGACGCACAGGCCCTAGAATCGCACCGAAAAAGTGCCTAACGTCCCTTCTGAATTCCTAGAAATAATGTCTTTTTCCCAACTTTTTCCACTTTTTCAGTCTCCCATCAGCCCACCTGCTGCTGCTGCTGCTGCTGCTGCTGCTGCTGCCCAAAAGCACCTCCCGGCACCAAAACAGCCGTTGCTGCTGCTGCTGCTGCTGCTGCTGCTAACAGAAGAGTAGCAAGAGCACCTCCCGGCACCAAAACAGCAAGGCACGGAAGGACGAGAATCGCACCGAAAAAGTGCCTAACGTCCCTTCTGAATTCCTAGAAAAAGTGTCTTTTTCCCAACTTTTTCCGCTTTTTCAATCTCATCAGCCCACCCGCTGCTGCTGCTGCTAACAGAAGAGTAGCAAGAGCACCTCCCGGCACCAAAACAGCAAGGCACGGAAGGACGCACAGGCCCTAGAATCGCACCGAAAAACTGCCTAACGTCCCTTCTGAATTCATAGAAAAAATGCCTTTGTCTTTTTCCCAACCTTTTCCGCTTTTTCAATCTCCCATCAGCCCACCTGCTGCTGCTGCTGCTGCTAACAGAAGAGTAGCAAGAGCACCTCCCGGCACCAAAACAGCAAGGCACGGAAGGACGAACACGCCCTAGAATCGCACCGAAAAAGTGCCTAACGTCCCTTCTGAATTCCTAGAAAAAATGTCTTTTTCCCAACCTTTTCCGCTTTTTCAATCCCATCAGCCCACCTGCTGATGCTGCTGCTGCTGCTGCTAACAGAAGAGTAGCAAGAGCACCTCCCGGCACCAAAACAGCAAGGCACGGAAGGACGAACAGGCCCTAGAATCGCACCGAAAAACTGCCTAACGTCCCTTCTGAATTCATAGAAAAAATGTCTTTGTCTTTTTCCCAACCTTTTCCGCTTTTTCAATCTCCCATCAGCTGACCTGCTGCTGCTGCTGCTGCTGCTGCCCAAAAGCACCTCCCGGCACCAAAACAGCCGTTGCTGCTGCTGCTGCTGCTGCTGCTAACAGAAGAGTAGCAAGAGCACCTCCCGGCACCAAAACAGCAAGGCACGGAAGGACGAGAATCGCACCGAAAAAGTGCCTAACGTCCCTTCTGAATTCCTAGAAAAAGTGTCTTTTTCCCAACTTTTTCCGCTTTTTCAATCTCATCAGCCCACCCGCTGCTGCTGCTGCTGCTGCTGCTGCTGCTAACAGAAGAGAAGCAAGAGCACCTCCCGGCACCAAAACAGCAAGGCACGGAAGGACGAACAGGCCCTAGAATCGCACCGAAAAAGTGCCTAACGTCCCTTCTGAATTCCTAGAAATAATGTTTTTTTCCCAACCTTTTCCGCTTTTTCAATCCCATCAGCCCACCTGCTGCTGCTGCTGCTGCTGCTGCTACTAACAGAAGAATAGCAAGAGCACCTCCCGGCACCAAAACAGCAAGGCACGGAAGGACGAACAGGCCCTAGAATCGCACTGAAAAAGTGCCTATAACGTCCCTTCTGAATTCCTAGAAAAAATGTCTTTGTCTTTTTCCCAACCTTTTCCGCTTTTCAATCTCCCATCAGCTCACCTGCTGCTGCTGCTGCTGCCTACTGCTGCTGCTGCCTACTGCTGCTGCTGCTGCTGCTGCCGTACTGCCGCTGGCTGCTGGCTGCCGACTGCTGCTGCTACAGGCCCCTTCTCCTGCTGGTGTGCTAGTGCTGCTGCTACAACTCTGGTGCTGCTGCTGCTGCTACAACTCTAGTGCTGCTGCTGCTGCTGCTACTACTGCTGCTGCTGCCTTACTGCCGCTGGCTGCCGACTGCTGCCTACTGGCTACTATTGCCGCTGGCTGCTGGCGACTGACTATGTGCTGTTCTACCCTATAGAATAGAAGTGGTACTAGTCCGAAACCAGGGTCAAATGTATTATTCCCTAGCGCGCTCCCTCTTGCGTCTGCCGGGGTCGGCGGATACTATACTACCCGGGGTCGGCGGATAGTAGTATAGTATATAGTATATAGTATATAGTATATAGTATATAGTATATAGTATATAGTATATAGTAATATAGTATATAGTATATAGTATATAGTATATAGTATATAGTATATAGTATATAGTATATAGTATAGAGTATAGTATAGTAGTAGCAGTGCAGCACCTCTTCTTCCCTTACGCGCTCCCCCTTGCGTCGGCCGGGGTCGGCGGATATAGTTGCACATGGTCAAGTTGTTTTTGTTATGTACAGCGGGTCCCGCCTAAAACACATCGGCCATTGTTTGAACCTGCCCAACACCTCACTATAGAATATCCATTTGAAGGGATAGCGGGAAAGTGCCACACCCACTGTCTCGAAAGTTCATGGGATATCTTCCTCGAACCCCCGGAGCCAAAATTGTTTGGGCATCACGCAGCTACAAAAGCAGTCTAAAATAGACGCTTTGCATGCCTTTTCCCAATGTCATAGCGTTGGAGCATTTTAGAAGTAATTTGATGTAATTTGATGTAATTTGTACATACTTGAAATTTAATTCAACTACAGATCAGGCGAATTTGCCTGTTTGACACTGCTAGGAGGGCATTCCATCTGCGAGTGCCGGCAGTGCAGATCCCAAGTCGACCGGATCAATCAATCGGCTGTACACACGTTTTGTTTTCGAGGTTTCGCTCTCATCCACCGAAGAGAACCGAACCAATATGAACCAGTAGGAAGGGATGACAGGGGGTTTGGATGGGTTTGGGCATTGCTTATTATGGCCTGTCAAGAAAAACTGAGGCAGCTCCAAGCTAGAACCACCATGGCGAGACCCAAAGGCAATGGCCACGGAATCATGTGCAATCACTGAAATCTTGACGGACTTTACTTGTCAAGAAATCATGTGACCTGAGCACGTAGGGCTGAACTTCAAAGGCGACTCTGCGACTTTTACCGCCGTTGCTTTGCTCAAGGGCTGAGAGACACAGTAGCTGCTTCAGTAGCTTTTGGAATCCAATTTGATTAGCCAAAAATGTACAAATTGCTTTTGCTCATTCACTCCTCCTTCACTTCCACCTTGGTGGTGGCAGGCCATCAGAGCATATCAGAGCTATTTCGAATATGTTCGAATTATTTCGGTATGAAACAAACCCATGTTTTTGTTTTGCAAAGTGCTTTTGCAAAGTGCTGAGATTCGGAGATTCCAATCATCTTTGTTCAGATCAGCAGAAAAGCAGTACAGTACAACCATGTGCAACCATGTGGACCATGTGCACGGGCAGCCAGTAACAGAAAGACTCTGCAGAGCCTGCACACATAAACCTGCCCGGCGCCGTGGCCAAGATCGGCCAAGAAATGTTTGTCGCACTTTAATTCACCGAGCCTTCGAGGCGATGCTGTGTTTTTGTGTCACAAGCCGGACAGAACTTGAACAAAGAAAGTTATATAACGTTACACACAAATTCGTCAGAAAGTGTGTACCACAAATGGCCCATAATGGCCCTGGAATGATTCATGTTTCTTCATTTTTTCCCTTTTTGTTTTCTACCACTCGATCCTTTGAATATGTGTCGTTTCTTTTTTTGGTATTGTCTCAACATATCTCAGCGCAGCATCACTGTCCAGGTCATATGGAGCGCGTGAGGTCCTGGATGTCCCGCAGTGGGAGCCATGTACAGAATGCAGTCACTCGCCGGTCGTCGGACCTTTCGATGGAGGATGCTATGCAGGACGCCGTTGCAAAGCCGCTTCTTGTCCTTGGCAATAATTACAGTGTGGAAAAGCTGACGGAGGTAGCCACAAGCACCTTTTGGAGCCTCAGTTTTTTAAATGTCATTTCTATTCTTACGAAAGCAAGCCGGATAAGCTGGCTAGTTGTTTTTTGCGAACGTGAGAGTTTAGGGGTTTAGGGGGAAGCGTTGCCAAACAGGCCACTTTTTCCAGTCTCAGTTGGAGTTCAGGGTGTCAAGTGGGACTGTTTTGCAGGGTAATGTACCAGGTCGCAACTGGGTGACGGTGGGTATCGATTCCCCCCTGGTCCATGATATTGGGGGGTAGAAAGGTAGAAAGAAAGAAAGAAAGAAGGATAGAAATATAGAAAGATAGATAGATAGATAGATAGAAAGATAGATAGATAGACAGACAGACAGACAGACAGATAGATTAGAGAGATAGATAGATTTGATAGATTAGATAGATTAGATAGATTAGATTAGATAGATTAGATAGATTAGGTTGGATTAGATGAGATAGATAGAGAGAGAAAGAGAGGAAATGCATAGATATAGATATAGATAGATATAGATAGATACGTATAGATAGATATAGATAGATATAGATAGATATAGATACATATAGATGGATATAGATAAATATAGATAGATAGATGGATGGATGGATGGATGGATGGATGGATGGATAGCTAGATAGATAGATAGATAGATAGACAGATAGATAGATAGATAGAACGGTCGCGGCGGCTGGCTGGCTGGATGACATGGGTGTATGGATGGACGGATAGATCGTGCATAGCTTCATAAGGGGGGAACGAAGGCCAGCTCTCATAATGAAAACCCCTGCGCACAGCAAATTGCCTGCGTGTAAGACCCGTGTAAGACCTTCAACATTGAAATCCTCCAGTTGGAGCGTAGCCCTAACTGCACAGAAAGTTTTGAGGCTCACATCCTGGTGGCTTACGAATCTTCAGTCTCTCGCGCTAGAAACCGGACTGAGGGGGAATCGATACACCTGCAGCAAACTTCCTGCGCGCAACATCTTCAAGTTCTTCTGTTGGAGCAGGCCTGTAAGCATCACGACTGAGAGCATTAAACTTCCTGCGCAGAACACCTTCAAAATTGGAGTTCTCCAGTTGCAGCAAACCCGCAAGCATCACGACTGCGCGTAACACCTTCCAAAGGAACATGCCGTTCTTGGCTTGACGTAAGCTCAGCATGGCTCGAATATGGCCCCAGCATAGCCTCCAAGAGCCTAACATGGATCAACATAGGCCCGACATAGGCTCCATATACGCCCAACATTGTCCCGACATGATCCAAAAACGGTGTGTTCCTTTTGGGCCGGGTGAAGGCTTCAAAGGAACACGCCGTTCTTGGCTTAACATAAGCTCAACACGCCATTCTTGGCTTAGCATAAGCTCAAAATGGCTCAAATATGGTCCCAATATGGTGTCTAAAATCCAAGCATAGACCAACATAAGCCTAACATAGGTCCCACATAGGCCTAACACGGCTTAACGTGACCGTGATCTTAAACATGCAGGCTCTAGATTTGGTTCTTGGTATCTGCTTCTTTATTCATTGGTAGGCAGCAAGATGATAGCGTTCTGTACTTCGCAAAAATATCTGCCACGGCCCATGTATTTTTCCACGATCCCAGATGATCCCCGTTGTTTCAGCGTGTATCTCAGAAACAAATGACGTGACGGTTAATTAAGAACTCCAATTTTGAAGGTGTTACGCGCTGGAAATTGGCTGCAGTAGGGTATCGATCTCCCCTCGGTCTGGGTTTTCGTGGGTGTGTTAAGTAGCCAGTCAGAGAAATCGATAGAGCGAGATATCTTGCTTAAGAGACTAGAGATATGTAGCTCACCAACAGACTTTTAGGAAGGCGACGGCTGGAGTACGCGCAGTCGTGATGCTTGCGGGTTTGCTGCAACTGGAGAACTCCAATTTTGAAGGTGTTCTGCGCAGGAAGTTTAATGCTCTCAGTCGTGATGCTTACGGGCTTGCTCCAACAGAAGAACTTGAAGGTGTTACGCGCAGGAAGTTTGCTGCAATAGGTATGTTTGCCTCAATTTTTTCTGTGCAGTTAGGGCTACGCTACAACTGGAGGATTTCAAGGTTGAAGGTCTTACACGGGTCTTGCAGTATTAGATCCGATGCCTGACACGGTCTTGCTGCATGTCCCTTTGACTTGTCAAGCCGCAAAAGCAATCTTTTGATTGTTCGTCAATGGTCTTTGCTTCGGAGTTCCAACTGTCGCACTAGCCATTTTGAGACACCTAGAGTTTGGTTTGGTTTGGTTTTTCAACAGCCGGTTTTACCCATTCAAATTAGTGATTTTCCCATATTTTCCAACATGTTCCAATATGTTCCATATCACCAGACTGGTACCAGTGGTTAGCATCTTCCAAACTGTTCCTGCCGCTGGACGCCGTTGGACGACCAGCTCCAGGATCCAGAATCTGCAATCTTCGACATCACAGCGTCGCGGGATGCTGCGAGGCAGGTTCCGATCATCGGAAAGAAGCGCACGACATATCCGGAAAAAATCTGGGATATCCTGGGAGGGTGGGAATAATAACTATAACATATACATATACATTTACATGTAATTTACATATATACATACATATAAATATATATTACAGAAATATATTACACATATATATATATATATGTACATATATGTATATTTACATAGATATATGTACATACATAAATACATATATGTACATATATATATACACATACATACATACATACATGTATTTAGATACATATATACACACATATATATATTCATATATACATATCACATATGTATATATACACATACACATATACATATACATATATCATATCTTTAATTATATATATTCATATATTTTCATTTGCATATATATGTATACATATTCATTTGTATTTTTCACATATATATATACATTATATACATTATATACATATATATATATTTCATATCTTTTTGTATTTATATATATATATATACATACAAATATATACACATTTAAATACATAGAATTGTAGATAAAATCGTACATAAAATTATACATTCTACATAAAATTGTACGTAAAATTAAACATATATATCTATATTTACATGATCGAATATATATATATATATACAACATATTTTTACACACATATGTACGCACACCCACGGGTTTAAAGAGTAACCCCCATGATCTTTTTATACTCCCTCAGTGTTTTGGCTTCAGCTGCATGGCCTGCTCTGACTGCAGGGTATTCTTAGGGAACCCTGTTTGCGGAGCGTGCCGTGCTGGGGCACGCATTGTGGGAATCCTACGCTCTGGCCGGCTCCCTGTCTCCGAAGAGAAGCGGGTAGTCGCGCTTTTGCGTGGGGCTGCGGGGGAACTCTCCGATTTGTTGGAGGGATCTCTCCCGCAGAGGCCACACCTACCCAGGGGGAAACGCCTGGCTCTACCCACGAGCCGATCGTAAAGAAGGCTGCCAAGGAGGAGAAAGAGGGCAGTGAATACAGTTATACAGAGGGTGAAGAAGAGGAGGAACCTAAGGTCAAGGATTCTCCTGGTGGTGAGGCAGCTTCTACAACCGACAGCATCAAGCAGAAAGAAGACGTCGAGCCCAAGGAGAGTGAGAAGGAGCCAGCCTCCAGCCATCGGGAGGGAGAGCCCGACAAAAAGGATCCTCCCAAGAGAACGTATCCCAACTTTGACCCGCATTATCTCACCAAGAGGTTGCAACTCTTCCCCTGTGGAAAAGCGAGTGCCAGAGGCGGGCGGCCCGCTGTGGAGCCTACCAGAAGAAAGGAGAGAGGAGAAGTGTCGAGGAGAGACCGTAGAGCAGAGAAAGCGACAGGAGTCCTCGCCCTGGAAGAGGGCCTTCTTCACCAGACAGGCCTCCGCTTGAGCGCAGGCGGCAGCCCCGCAAGAAGCAGACAGCACAGAAAAAGAAGAAGAAAAACAACAAGGGCTGCAAGCGACGCGAGAGAGGTCGCGAGTTCAAGGCTTGGAGAGACAGTAAGAAGCCTGCCTGGCACGGGAGGTGGTGATCATGCCTCCCAAGGCCAAGGCGAAGGCTGCGGCCATGTTACGTCGTCCGGCAGGGCACCCACGGGTGGGCGCTCTCCGCAGGCCAGCCGGGAGGGGCGAGGTGCGCTCTCCCTGGGCCCAAGGATTGGAGCAGGAGCTGTGGAAAGTGAGTCCCACGGAGCTGGGTCCCGGCTCCTTGTTGGCCATCACGGAGGCCGACTACTTTGGTGCCCCGGTGAAGTTTGCAGGAGAAGTGACCCAACTGGTAATCGAACATGGGGAGAGCACGGTGCTTATGAAAGCACTTGGCACCGATCACGAGGGCCTTCTCAGAGCCCACAGTGCCCGGCCACTCCAGTTGTTCAAGGGTCACATTTGCCCGCCAGGGTGTGGGAAGCTGACCAGCGGCGAGTACTTGATACACTGTGTCAAGGGGCGTCGTCTGAACAAGGAACAGGAGGAAGGCTGGACAAGCAACCTGGAGGGCCACCGCCCTCCAGCCGAAGAAGGAGACGAGATGGCCGAGTTGAGAGAGAGGTCCCATCGATTAAGGGGAGGCGATCCGGGAGGGGGATCTACTATGAGGCAAGGCGAGGTCCCTCCCCCAGGGAGGCTAGAAGCAGAGGCATCAGTCGACAAGAAGAGAAAGAAGAAGGACAAAAAAGAGAAAAAGCGGACCAAGGAGGTTTCCGAGGGGAGGCACCCAGCGGTGGCAGCGCAGAAAGAGCTGAGGGACCTCTATGCCGGAACCGCACTGGATCCGCAAGAGAGGATTCGGCGAAGAATTCTGGGGAAGGCCCAGAAGTTTGCAGCCCGCAAGAAGCCCAGGTCAAGCAGCGGGTCTTCAGGGAGTTCAAGCTCCTCAACCAGCCCTACAGTGGAGGGTTTCGGGGATTGGAGTCGGTGTTTGCAGAGGAGAACAAGGTACGTGCGCTGGCGGAGCGCTTTCCAGGCGCCTTGACCCTGGAGGCCGTTACAGCCATGCGTCAGGCGCTGCTGACGACCTCCGGCGAGGAGTTGGACGATACCGGGGTGAAACCGGTCGCCCTCCTTTACTACCGGAGCGTCCTCTGCCGCCGGGCCACGGGGGCCCAAAGCAGGGAGATGCTAAATCTAGCAGCAGCGTTGGATCATCTCCTTCGCGGGAGAGTGGTGTGTGCAGCAGACATCATCTCCCAGAGGCTAAAGGCCCAGGAGGCGGTGACGCAGGGCACAAGCTGGAGTGTAGCGCTCAGGATGGAGGTGCCACCTCCAGAGAGCGGCAGCCTTGTCAGCAGAGCCGAACTACAACAAGCCCGGCGCGAGGATTACAGCGAAGCCCAAGCCCGGTGGAGGACTCAAGCGAACAGTGGGTCAAAGGGAGATGGAAAGGGCAAGGGCAAGAATCAGAAAGGACACCAAGAACCTTGGAAGAAGGACGAGAAAAAAGAGGAGGCCAGGAAGGGGAAAGGATCGGAGAGAAAGTGAAGATCACTCCCCGGTCAGAGGATCTGTGCGGGAGTGCGTCGTGGCCTATGGGTTCTTCTCCCAAGGTGAATGCGGGAGACATACCTAATGCAAGCAACACCGGGTGCGGCCATGGCCCTTTGAAAAGCACAGGCCACATTGGTCTTTTGGAGGAGGTGGCACCGCAGAATCAGTGCTTTTCACCTTCTATACCTTTTCCACCGGAACCCCCTAAGTTTCTTCAGGGTGGTTTGCAGAATGGCGACACGCCAAACAATAGTTTTTCCATTGATACGGATGGGACTGGCCATGTTTCATCAGGTGACCGCGAGACCTTGTCCGTCAAGCGGAAAAAAGGGGGTCTCGGTGACCTCGTTGGCTTGAGGGTTTTTGATTTAGGGTCCAGTGTCTACCAGCTACTTTTAGGAGTTTTACCACTCCGCAGCACGCCCATGGGCGATCGTGGAGGAAACGACCTCTTCCCGTTGCCCACTTCTGAAAGTAGTTTGAGTAGAATCCTGACCCGTCTTGATCAGCAGGGCCTTGGTTGGGTCCAGGCTATGTGTGTGGCATTGAACTCACTTTGGGGGGGCGACCTCCAGTCTTGTGGTGAAGTGGGACCAGTAGGGATTGCCTGTTTGAGGCGGTTGGAGGCACGTTGGAAGATTTTTCCTGGCGGGAATTCTTTTCTACGCGTAGCATTGACTACAAAGGGGATGAAGTTAAGTCTGCTCGTAGTTTTTCTTGGGAAAACATCAGACACGCCCTGCCGACCCAAATTGGGGTGGTGCCCCTGGAGGAGGTGTGCACTCTGGGCGCCCACCACTACGTAACACACTTTGACTCCTACATCAAGGACCCAGGTTCTTGGGTTCTGGCCAAGGCCCCAAGGGTCATGGTCCCTGACAGCTCGTGGGGTGAGGTATGTGAGGGCCTCATTCAGTCAGGAGTGTGCACCTTGCTCCCAGTTGAGGAGGTCTTTCACACCACTCAAGGGCCACTCCTGAATGGTCTTTTTGGAGTTTCAAAGGAGGAATGGGTGGGGAATACTGAGGTGTTCCGCCTAATCATGAACCTCATTCCTCTTAACCGTCTTGCTTTTCCTTTGAAGGGTGACGTGGAAACGTTGCCAATGTGGAGTCTTATGAATCCATTTTTTCTGCAACCAGGGGACAACTTATTGGTGTCTAGTGAAGATGTCCGCTGTTTCTTCTACACCATGTCGATACCTGAACCCTGGCAAAAATATTTGGCATTCAACAAAAAGGTTCCCGACACCTGCCTCCCTGAGCACCTTCGAGGTCGGGAGGTCTATCTGGCCTCACGGGTACTCCCGATGGGGTTTTTAAATTCGGTGTCACTGGCACAACACGTACACCGCAACCTTACCCTGTGGAGCAGCCGGCAGGGGCCCGATGATGTTGAGGTCAATCCTCCAGAAGGTGAAATCCGTAAGGATAGGGCACTTACAGTGAGCAACCCTGCCTGGAGGATTTATCTTGACAACTACGACCTGCTGGAGCGGGTGTCGGCCCTAGGTGTCGGTTCTCTGGAGGGAACCTTAGCTCCTGGGGTGCTTGCATTACGACAGGAGTACGAGGTCTGGGAGGTGCCCCGGAACCTCAAGAAATCCGTCAGCAGGCAACTCCATGCTGAAGTGCAGGGAGCACAAGTAGATGGCGTTCAAGGCGTCGCATATCCTCGAGAGTCAAAGCTGCTCAAATACCTGGGAGCCGCACTTTGCTTGGTTCGTCAGCGATTTGTTTCTCAAAACCAGCTGCACGTGGTTTGCGGCGGCCTGGTGTACTTCTCCATGTTCCGACGTCCATTGCTTGGCTGTTTAAATTCCATCTGGAGGTTTGTGGAGTCTTTCAATCATACGGGTTCACACCTCCAAGTCTTTCCGGACGAGTGCAAGGGTGAAATGATGAAGCTAGTTAGCCTAATACCTCTCGCACGCCTTGACTTTCGTCTTCCATTCCACGAACAGGTTACATGCAGCGACGCTTCATCCACAGGAGGTGGTATTTGTGCCTCCTTAGGGGGTGTCTCGATGGGGAGCGGTGGTTGCCGGCGGGAGCCTCCGTGGGGAACTCCCTGAGTTGCGGCAGGAGCACCAGGTTGTCACCATCGGCCTGTTTGACGGGATTGGTGCGTTACGCGTTGCTGCAGACCTTTTGGGACTACAAGTGTTAGGGCATGTGAGTGTGGAACGGGATTCCCATGCGCAGAGGGTGGTAGAGTCTCACTTTCCGGAGGTACTGCAAGTCTCCGATGTACAAGATGTAGATGAGGATATGGTGCGGGAGTGGGCACGTTCCTACTCCCAGGCTTCGGTGGTCCTGATTGGTGCAGGGCCGCCCTGTCAGGGTGTTAGTGGGCTCAACTCTGACAGGAAAGGAGCGCTGAAGGACGAAAGGTCCAGGCTTTTTGTTCACGTGCCCCGCATCACAGAGCTGGTTCGTCGGGTTTTTGTTTGGTGTCAGGTCCACACCCTCATGGAGAGTGTGGCATCCATGGATGATGCCGATCGCAACCAGATGTCCCAGGCAATGGGAACCGAACCCTGGAGGTGTGACGCAGGAACCATGACCTGGTGTCACCGCCCCCGCCTGTATTGGTTGACTTGGGAGTTGACTGGAATGGAGGGTGCCGTGCTCCACAGCAGCCGTGATCCTCGTGAAGTGTGCCTACACGCAAATCAGGACCTGAAATCGGTATGTCAGGAGGGGTGGATTAAGATTGACCCTACACGTGCGTTTCCCACTTTCACTACTTCCAGACCGCGTGACCAGCCTGGGCGCAAGCCAGCGGGTCTGAGTCAGTGCACTGAGGAGGAACTGGGTCGATGGAAGGCGGATCTCCATCGGTTTCCTCCTTATCAATATGCCAACCACAACCTCCTGGTTGGCACCAACAACCAGGTCAGGATGCCATCCGTTGAGGAAAAGGAATACTGCATGGGTTTTCCAGTGGGATACACAGCAAACTGTGTTATCAAGAGGGAGCGCACCAATACCACTCAACACAAAGACATCAGACATTCTCTCTTTGGGAACAGCTGGTCTGTTCCAGTGGTGGCCTGGTTGCTCTCACAGTTGTTTGGGCGGCTTGGCCTATGCCCCTTGTACAATCCACAAGAGCTGGTGGACATGTTGGCTCCTGCTGGGCAGACGTTCTTGCAATCACGGCTCTGGAGGGCTCCCTTGCGGCCAATGAGGGGCTCTCCTGTCGACCTTTCAGTCTCCTTGGTTCAGAAGCTGGCCAATCTCGTCAGTGTCAAAGGGGAGGATCTCTTGCTCACCACACCCTCCAGCCAGCTCTGTAAATACCATCGCCTTCGTGCCTCCATTCCGTCGCGCCTGTGGAAATGGCGCATTGTGACGGGCTGGTGTTGGCGTGGATCGAAGGAACACATCAACGCACTCGAGTTACGGGCTGTACTGACAACCCTCAAATGGCGGTTACAACACCGCCGCCATGGGGGTCACCGCTTCTTGCATCTGGTGGACTCGTTGGTGGTCCTCCATTGTCTCAGCCGCGGGCGGTCTAGCAGCCGCAAGCTGCGACCCACGCTGTCAAAAATTAATGCTCTCTTATTGTGTACGGCTTCCCAACCCCTCTGGGGGTATATTCATACAGACCTGAACCCCGCCGACAAGCCCAGTCGGTGGGGTCGTCGCGTGAAGACCAAGTTTAGAAATGCCTAAGAGACATCTAGAAGCCCATACACAATCTGAGAGAGCAAAGCAGAGACAGCGTCTTGGTTCACTTAAGGACCTTACAGTACAACCAGCTACAAGAGTGCGCTACAACAATGCGGTTGACCACTTCCTTCAATTCCTCAATACAAACAACCTGACACTCCCTAAACAGCGTCAGCACCTTGACCCTTTAGTCTGTGAATTTCTGGAGTACCTCTGGTCTCAGGGTTATGGCCGAGCCCGGGCCAGTGACGCGGTCGCAGGTCTCCAAGATCAGGACCCAAAGTTACGGGGGCATCTTCAAGGGGCCTGGAGGTTGCTTAAGGCGTGGAACCTCCATGAAATTCCGAGCCGCGCGCCGCCTTTGCCTGAGCATGTTCTACATGCCATGGTCGGGTGGGCCTTTTTCCACCAGCATTTCAGCTTCGGGGTCTCTTTACTTCTTGGCTATTATGCCATGTTGCGTACAGGAGAGTTGCTGGGCTTGAAGGCAAGTCATCTCCTATGTGACCCTAAACAATCCAATGTGGTGGTATCTCTCGGCTTAACTAAAGGAGGCAAACGTCAAGGTGCAGCTGAATCATGCGTGGTAGGATATGACATGGTTGTCAAGTTCCTCAAACAATGGAAACTATTAGCCTCTCCAACCATGAGTTTCTCCCCCACCCCGGCGCGGTGGCGAGCCTTGTTCAATGAATCCCTGGAGGCCCTGCATCTCCAAGATTTTTTATTTCGACCCTATAGTTTACGACGTGGAGGGGCTACTTGGTGGTTCTCTCGTCACCAGTCCTTGGACAAAATCTTGGTACAAGGTCGTTGGCAGGCCGCAAAAACGGCACGTATCTATATTAATGAAGGCCTTGCTGTGCTGGCTGAATTACAGCTACCCAAAACCCTCCCATCCCTTTCACCTTTTCTCACTGTCTTTTCTCGCTTCCGCTCCTCTCCTACTTTCCAAACACTTGAGCCTCCGTGCAAACACGGAAGTTCTGGGGGACGTGGTAGGAGGCCTAAAAAGGCCAAAAAGAACAAGAGAGCTGGAAAAAACCATGAGTTTTGAGTGTTTCTTGTTTTTCCTCTTTTCTCCTGGATGGACGTTAATGACTTTGACTTAATGGATTGGTGGGTTTGGCTCTTTCCATTAAGAGAGTCATGAGAATTTTGTGGCGCTGCGGGTTTGGCTGAGCCCACAAACAAGGAAACTTTCGTTGGCGGATTATTATTCTTTTCAATTTATAACAATCCAGCTGCGGAGTGATGTAAAAAAGAGAGCTGGGTGGTCTACTCTTTGTACGCACGCCCACGGGTTTAAAGAGTAACCCCCATGATCTTTTTATACTCCCTCAGTGTTTTGGCTTCAGCTCCCACTCCACCCTCCCACGCACTTCGGGAGGGTAGGAGGCCTAAAAACGCCAAAAAGAACAAGAGAGCTGGAAAAAACCATGAGTTTTGAGTGTTTCTTGTTTTTCCTCTTTTCTCCTGGATGGACGTTAATGACTTTGACTTAATGGATTGGTGGGTTTGGCTCTTTCCATTAAGAGAGTCATGAGAATTTTGTGGCGCTGCGGGTTTGGCTGAGCCCACAAACAAGGAAACTTTCGTTGGCGGATTATTATTCTTTTCAATTTATAACAATCCAGCTGCGGAGTGATGTAAAAAAGAGAGCTGGGTGGTCTACTCTTTATATATATATATTCAATATATATATATACACACACACACATATATATACCATGTATATATATTTTTACATATACATGTATATGTATAATATATATATATATATATATCAATAGATACATATATTTGTACATATATATATATATTTACTTATATATGTATCATCTTCAATGTATGTTCTCGATGTATACTATACCGGACTACATATACCTATACTTTTGTGTGTGTTGTTTGGTCAACTTCTATTGTTTATACAAGTGATATACTATAGATGATATAAATTGATATAATATAAATACATTATGTTTCAATCTCTCGACAAGGTCGTGCTAGGGAGAATTGTGAAAAATGAATTGATATGAAGTGCACTCAAAATGTGACAATGCAGAGTAGTGGAATGACAATTGAACAAATCTTACCGATGATACCATTCCATACTCATTAGTACATGACATACCTGAACAATATCGATGAAACATAACATGACTTGCAAGAAGCAACCGTGCTCAGCAAAAACTGGCAGATTCTGAAGTTTTTTGACATTTTTTTTCACCCAAGACTTGCCAGGTTCGGATTTCGTGGGTTTCTGCTTCTTTGCACGCTACTGGCTTTCTCAGTCTCCGCAACAACCATCGGCTTGTTGCTCGGTGGCAAAAAATCCTGTTTGCATCGTTTAGACGTAGGGATCTCACTTTTTGTCCTCTCCTTTTTTTGCATTGAGCATTGTCAGTCCAGGGCCATGAAAAACTAGTTTGTGCTAGCTGAATGTTTAGCAAGGAATAGGCACCGGGACCGTTGGAAACCCCGAAGCTTTCCAGTTAGACCCCCCTCTGGCCTGGCTGCAATACCCCTTGGTCCCCCTGGACCACCTTCGACCCTTCTTAGACGCCCGCTGGACCTGCCCCCTGGACCATGGGTTGCGTTCAAATACAGGGTCATCATCAACAATTCATTTTCAGCATTTCATCGTCAGCATCTGCATCACCATCATCAGGTGGTTTTGGGACAGGTACAGGTTTCTACGTCTTTATCTTCGCCTTTCTCGAGCATTGTCATCATCATTGTTGTCGTCGTCGTCATCGTCCTCGTCATCATCATACATCATCAGCATTCTCTTCAAATTCATTCGTGGCCATCATCGTCATCGCTTCATCAGTTTCCTCCTTTTTCGCCGAGCAATCTCCGGTACTGTACAACATCAGTAGTGTCCTGCTGGCTTTCGTACCCCTGGCAGTCTTGAAACTCGCCACAGGTGGTCAGAAATGGGTTGTGGTTCAACTTGTGCAGATCTCAGGGCCCTGGATGCATGAAACCGAGCATGCAGGGAGCATGGGAAGCGCACGCGAACCAGGTCTGATGTTTCTACAAAGACATAAAATGCTCGCCATTCTGTGCGCTGGTGCTTCTTTGTGTCTAGACTGCAAGTTATGGAAGGCCAATTCGTTTGAGACATTTTGCTTTCGTGCCTTGTTCTCTCAGGCTAGTACTTCTGATACTTTATTTGCTTGTCGCTTGGAAGAAATTCGCCTCACATGATCCCACTCTGTGTGGTAGCCACTGGGCGCTTTGATGCCATCCAAAATCTGGCAGGATTTCTTCCTGCCACCGCACTTGCCTGGCTGTACTCTCAGTTTCATTTCGATTTTGCGAAGTTTCCTTGTGTCACGGGCTGTCATGTTTCATGACATTTTATGACCACCATCCATCACCAGAACCTTCGGGGTCAAGGTGAGTATTGCGCCCTATACCATGGCGACCGCTTTCTGGGACGAGGCCCGGCCAGGGCCCGGCCTGGGCCCGGCACCACACGCGGGACGCGCGCTGACTGCCCAGGTCTCTTGCTATGTGCAGTAGGCGGGCTTCTTGGAGCCACTGTCTTTCTGGCAGACACCTTCCCAACGGTGGCGTCCCAAGGAGAACATGGGGACTGGAAATAGAATGGAAGAGATTGACATACAGCATAGAAAGATGTTGATCTATGTTGATCTGATTATATAAATTATATATAGATTATATAGATGATTGGCGATGTTTGGCAGCCGAGCTCAATTGCTTTCGGGAAATCTTGGGAAACCTCTTGGGAAACCAAGGCCCCATTGGTGTGACTTGGCAGTGAAGATATAGGTTGCGGTGGTTGAACGGTTTGACGGCTCTCCTATATTTCTTTCCCAGCAATTTGACCACTGAGGCTTACAATTTTCTTGTCCCCAACTCTCTTGATCGCTGTTAGACAGGCAGGGCAACATCTGAACCATGGCAGCCACGGCAGAACCATGGGGGGAATGGATCGCAGGCAACCAAGCCCAAGCCTTGTTTTGTCCTGGGCACTGGCTCGAAGGAAGCGAGTCTGCAGGAGAAGTTTGCATGGTGATGTCCAGAGTTTTACAGAAACACATATGATGTCACATATGTCAACACAAAGATTGCATAAATAGATATCAAATGAATGGCATAAACAAGGATCACAATTGTGTCGGCTTGATAAGATAGAAAATTGATGAACATGGCATGTCTTTGAGAAACCAGTTTACAGTCGAATCCATCGATTGATATGCGACATTTGGACAGGAACGTTTACGAATGCTGAAAATGGTTACTGGGGAAGAAAAGGCGTGGCAAGTTCGACGGCTTGAGTCAAGTTTCTTAGTCTCAGAAAACTAGACTTGCAAAATCTGAAGGTATTCCCTGCCACAAGCACTACAGGTAGCATCACTAGCTTCATGTTTCCGGGCCTGCTACCAACGTTCATCATTTGGAGCTGCCCTGAATGTGCAAGCGTCACTTAAGTTTTCCTCAAGCTCGTCTTCGGGACTATGCCCAAGTTAGCTGTGTCTTGATGACTCACCGAACACTCCGGACATGGTGTGACTGAAGTCATAGACTGGTTGGTGGTTTGGAACAGTTATTTATTTTTCCACATATTGGGAATGTCATCATCCCAACTGACGAACTCATATTTTTCAGAGGGGTATGCTCAACCACCAACCAGTCGAAGTTTCTGGCCAGGAACAGTGCTGTTTCTACAAAGCAGCAACCGTCGCATACCTCCTCACAGCGTTGACCTGCATCAATATTTGGATTCCTTGGGCAGCAACCACAGAGGCCGTCACGCAACGGATGAGGAAATGGATGGACATGGATGGACATGATGCAAATCTACAGCCTACATCCACATTATGTCTATACAATATCAAACATCATACCATCATGGCAAATGAAAGTTGTGTATATCTACACTATCATTGACTATCATTGCCTTAAACACCACGCTATGCCGTATGATTTTCTATTCTGCGAGCATTTCACATAGAAACTTCATCCAGGTCCAATTGACAGAGGGTATGGATGCCACTGAGCGCGAGATCACCTTCGTGCGCTGGTCCACTCCTTTGATCGTGGGCATCTCCAACTTGATCTTCGCGAGCTTCACGGGCTTGCGAGTCGCCTTGGACCAGGCGAGCGACAGATCAAAAAAGAGGCTGTCTCGGAAAGCCAAGGTATCATAAGATATCATAAACATTCACACACCATCCCGAAATCACCAGAAAATCACCAGAAAATCACCAGAAAATCACCAGAAAATCACCACAAATCACCATCAATGGGCGGTTTGCGGCCATCAAATTATGGATGGTTTACGGCATTGGGATTTCCACATGAATCAGTATGATGCTATACTTCGGCCAGGACTGTCTTGAGACCGTGATTGTTGTCCAGTCCCTTTTGTGATCCTGCAATGTTCAGCAGATTTTCTGCCTGACCTGTCAGACCTATGCTGGAACAGATGACAATCGAGCACAGATTATCTTGAGTTCACGAAGCCACTTGCAACCTGGCTTGGAGATCAGAAAGGGGAGATGCACAGCTCCATTTGACGGCTCCATTTGACCTGAATATTGGACTTTATTGGATTTATATTTTAATGATTGATCCTTGGATCTAGGATTTCTATGGTTTTCTGTCAGTGTTTTGGAACATGTTTGATTTACCGGTTGATGGTTTCTAGATGTTTCTAGAATGATCTGTTTGAAGAAATGGAATGGTACCCGCAGTGACTACATTAGTACCATCCCCCAACTAAAGTAGACCCTGAAAACGAACCATTCCATCCACGGGTTGATCACCACGTTCCCCCCCCCCCAAAAAAAAAAGTATTCTTGGGGTATACCCGAGTATTCTTGGGGTATACCCGATGTCCAGACAAACCCAAATATCAGATTGTCTTTCATATTTCAATTCAAAAAATCATATCCCCATGATATTCCCATTGCATTCCCATTCCGTTCGCATTACATTCCCAGTATATTATCACCATTCTATTAACTGGTAGTGGATGTAGTGGATGTAGTGGATGTAGTGGATGTAGTGGATGTAGTGGTGGTGGTGGTGGTGGTGGTGGTGGTCGTCGTCGTCGTAGTAGGAGTAGTAGTAGTAGTAATAGTAGTAGTAGTAGCAGTAGTAGTCGTAGTCGTAGTCGTAGTCGTAGTCGTAGTCGTAGTCGTAGTCGTAGTAGTAGTAGTAGTAGTAGTAGTAGTAGTAGTAGTCGTAGTAGTAGTAGTAGTAGTAGCAGCAGGAGGAGTAGTAGTAGTAGTAGTAGTTGTTGTTGTTGTTGTGGTTGTGATGGTGGTAGTGTGATTGGTGGTGTGTGCATCTTGCAACCATGACGATACTACACAGCTCTTTTTCTTTTTCGTTTAGGAGCCAAAAATCGTCAAATAGGTGTTGTTTTCGCATTTTTTCGAAATGTTCGGAGCAAAAAACGGCGTAAATACCAATGTTAATGTTTTTGGCGTCTCAGAAGCAAAACACCAGGATATTTACAAGGTTTTTTGACCTTGGTAGCAGTTTCCACAGTTTTTACAATGTTTTGTGGACAGCACCTAGCAAAAACACGCGTATTTACGCAGTTTCCAGCATGTTGCAATAAATGATTTTTCAAAGCAAGAAGCACACAAACACTGTAAATATAGCATGTTTCCACGCAATGGATGGAACGAGGTACCGTATTTGCGAACAAATTGATTTGTGGAATATTTGTGGATAAAACTTGGTGATCAGCTGCATGGGGTGCTTGAGAATCTGCCATTGTGGTCCATGATTTTCCCAGCTTCAAACCGCCGTTTTTGATTAGGATCTTCCAGGGAGTAAACCTGGTGAGTTATTAATTGAGGTTCGTGTGTTTGATGAGTCGTTCTGGTGGGATAAACTTGGTTACGGGATTCTTTCAGTCCTGGCAAACCTTATAAAGAGCGGGCTAAAGCCTTTAGGAGACGTTTCCAAGCAAAACCAAACAGGAAACTATTCTCTGCGAGTTAAATTTTGGGGGGAATTTTGAAGGCAGCTTTCAAGGACAGAATTATTGTGATGATGGGCCTGCGGCCAGCGGCCTGTACTGCCTAACGTCGCCAGCGGCCCGTACTGCCTAACCTTTCTGAACCGACAAGAACTTTTATAGCTCCAGAAAGCAGCTCCCAGCCCCAGGCCTCAGAAACGGCGGCTTCGCCACATCCAAACAGCATGCTACTGAAGGATGGATCGGGCGGCCCGTACTGCCTAACGTAGCTTTGTGAACCGACAACAAACTAGATCCAAAGAGCAGCTCCCAGGCCTCAGAAACGGCGGCTTAGCCACAGCCAACAGCATGCTACTGAAGGACGGATCGGGTCTGCGGCCGGCGGCCTGTACTGCCTAACGTTGCTTTCTGACCCCAAAAAATTTAATAGCTCCAAAAAGCAGCTCCAGCCAGGCTTCAGAAACGAACGTCACTTTTTGAACCGACAAGAAACTGCATAAAGCAGGTTTGAGGGCTCGGAAACGCCGGTTTCGCCACAGCTTTTCCACAGTCGCATATAACTCTGAGTTCGACGGTTCCAACGCTCCAAGTTTCCTGGTTCCAAGATTGCATGGATGGTCTTTTGATCCCAAGCTTCAAGGTTCCAAGCACTCAGGTTCCACTTGCAAGGGTCCAGCGCCTCGGGGTTCCAAAGTTCCAGCTGATTTCAGGCTTCCAACCTTCCCGGAAAAGGTTTGGGTTACAAGGCTTGAAGGTGTGATGGCGCAAGGTTCGAAGGTTGCGCAGTTCCAGGAATCCATGGTTTCAGGTTTCAAGGGTTCCACGGCGCTAAGGTTAGAGTTCCAGGGTCATGGGTTTCCAAACATCCTGGCATCCAAACCCGCCAACGGTTCCAGGATCAGGTTAGCGTTCCAACGGCAGAGGCTTGGATGATGCCATGCTCCCAATGCCCAAGGTCCCACGTTGTTACCACCAAGGTTCCAGACCTGCAAGGGTGTGAGGTTCGTTTCCAGGCGCTCCTGATGTACATTGCTCCGTCCACGCGGAGGACAAAGGCACGCCGCTCTACACCACCGCAGCTGCTCGGCATCCTATCTGGGCCTTTGCCTGCTTGCCGTGCAAGCCCGTCCCGGGAGATCAATATCCGCCTATGTCAAGTTGTAGATCCCCGCAACTCAGGCCATGCTTGCGACATGCGGAGCAACGCTGGGGAGCTTGTTTGCTCGGCTCAGCTTGATCACATTTGATCACGGCAGTCAGCGACGCACCAAGTGCCACCTTGACCTTCTTGTTCTGGCTTATTGCTCCATCTCTTTTCCCCCTAGCTCCGTCTCTTGCTGTCTATTTTCTTGCTCCCTGTTTTCTTTCTGCTTCCTGCCAGTCGACACTTGCTGCTTGTAATTTCTTCTCTGACGCGGTCCCCCTTGCCGTCGGCTGGGGTCGGCGGATATCAATTAGATCCCCCTGATATGCCCATGAGACCCCCATGATCTCCCAATTTTTTTTCCAAGGAACCGTGAGCTCATGGACCACCGCATTGCCATTTTGCGAGCACGGCTGGCGGCAGAGACCCCAGGGTCCCAGGTACAGAAAACCCGAGACCGGGCGCAGCAGCCGCTTGGCCCTGGCAGTTTTCTAGGGATTCATATAAGGATACCATTGGGATTTTTAGATATATTTTTTTGGGGATACCATGGGATAATACATCAACAATAATTTTTTAAATTCACCGATTTAGATCTGGATAAATTACAATGACATGACTGTGAGTTCACTGGATATATATATATATATGTATCTGTATATATATATAACGTATGTACATGTATATAAATATAAATATAAATATATATATATATCTATGTATCTTTAGTTAAATGTATAATATATATATATCTAACCAAAAATACATATATATATATATTATTTATTTATATATATATATATTATATTATATATATATATGTATATGGGGAATCATGCCCAAATGGCCGCAAATTCAAACTATTTTCAAGTTCGTGAGTTACTATAATTCAGCCAGATAGATGTCCTTGTCTTTCTGGTCGGTTTATTAATAGAGGGTTTCGCCCATTCAACAACCAATAGGTAGATGATAATAGATGATATACAAAACTGGGCCCTCTATTTTTCCTAAAAGGACAACATTGAGTTCATGAAATCCCATAGGTTTTTTTTTGTATGATTTTATGTGAATCTATCGATTTTCTAGGAAAATTCAATTTATGTTTTATTTATGGAATCTTGTGGAAAAATGCGAAAAAAACTTAGAACATCTTCGAACTGGATACAGATGGGATTTTGGATTGGTAGGTTTGCCGAAGGCCAAAAACAGCACCTTCTCACTATCGGTTTTGGTCAGGTTTTGCAGCCACATTTTTTCTGCTCGAAATTGGGTTGATGTACCCTCTGGTAAACTAACATAGCTATGGAAAATCACCGTGTTTAATGGGAAAATTCACTGTTTCTATGGCCATTTTCAATAGCTATGTTAAATTACCAGAGGGTACCTGAAAAGGGATAATGGAAACTCAACTGGTGGTTGGATGACAAAACCCATACATATTACAATCGGTGTACCACGGATGTGGGTCACGTCCTTTTCCCCAACAAGCGGCATGGTTTCCACTTGCTTTGGCATCCGCTGGAATCACCTTTCTGGTCCTGAGTCCTGAGGTATTTGATACAGCACACTGCCCATATGCGTCAGCTCTCCAACATTGTGAAGATTGTTGGCCTTCATCTCAGTCCGCTGGGCAGTGTCCCCGGTGCAGTGTCCATCTCTGTGGGTCAAAATTATGAACCACCGGAAACCGATAGTTTAATGATGTTTAATAGCAACATTCTTTTTTTGTGCATCAATTGGTCCAGCCATTTTGGTCGCCACAACATGGCAAGTTCGAGGCTGTGGTTTCATTGCCATTCTGGGAGCTTTATACATTGCTTTTCAGCTGACTGCTGCAGACAGCCATATAGCGGATGCTCGGACTCGCTTGGGCATTTCAGGAACAGCTGGTATAAAATGCTGAGAAAAAGGGTCAGTTCAGAAGTGTTCCTCTCGATGCTTTCTGAAATGGTACCAATGGGTATTTTTGAGCTTTGGTAGGTGGACAGCTGACAGGGATGCGGTTGAGAAAGTACCAGTGGTTTGGAACATTTTTTATTTTTCCAAAATATATGGGATAATCCATTCCATTGACTAATATTTTTCAGAGGGGTAGGTATACCACCAACCAGCATATGTAGTAGGGAACAGTTGGTTTTTCAGGGGATGGTGCGATGGTGCGAACACAACTGATTTGGTGCTGTGGATGAAAAGATGACACAGAACCAGGATATGGTGCAGAGCTTCTTGGGCGCCTTCTTTTTGACCTTCGTGGCGTTCATCTTTGTCTCCTTCAACCGCTTGTGGCAGGCGATGTCTAGTTGGCTGCAGGAGCGGCAAAAATGGCAAAACGACTGCTTTTTGTGCTGAGCTTGAGATTGGATTCAAAAATGGATCCCCTATTCAGGTCCTAATCTGCTGTCGGATTTCTTGTCAAACGCAAAATCTGACCACGAGATTGGAGAATTGGAGGTTTCCTAAAATGGACCATTTTAGTGTTGAACCCCCAATGCTTTTAGTCCATTTTAAGAAGCCCCTGTTATTCGCTTGCAAAACAGGACTTACCTCTGTGGAAGTCTGCTGTTGGTCTTTGTTCGTCCACCTGGGCACGTGCTGCTCTTCTTTGCTTAGCTTTGGCCTCGGCACGGAGCTGTCCATTGATCCATTGAACTCACGCCACCGCGACATCGCTCCGCTCCAGGTCGTACCTTTGTTTCCACTGATCGTGGTTCTTTCTGCCTTGAACCAGGTCGGCGTCAACTTCACATGTGAAGAATTGTGAAGTGTCTCAACACACTGACACCTTGGTGCAGGCGGTACGATGCGTTCGTGGCCATAAAGATGGACGGTGCTTGACGGACCGAGTGCACACCATGTTTGTACAAATGGTGCACTGGGAGTGGGTTTCGCTAGCCTCTTGGGCTGGAGACTCAGGCAAAGTGACAGAACTATACAGAACTGTAGCGCTGTGTTTTGGGGAGTCGCAAGCTAGACTTGACACCAGGCATACATAATGGCCGTTGTCATGATGTTGTACAAGGCAAGCTGGGTATATCTTTGCAAACCTTGGCAAACTGTTTACTTCCCGCGGTTTCCATTTTTACGTTGGCAAATTGGTGCCAATTGACCATGAATATCAATTCAATAGACATGAATTGACACCAGAAGTGACCGTGCCCTGTCCTGGCCGACTGGCAGACAACTTTGACAAATTCCAGGGGGTGGTACATGTCCCATTTTGGGGGTTTTGAACATCACCAACATAAGTATCTCTTCAGAGATGACTGATCATAATGATATCCCCATCAACATTTACCAACATTTACCAACATCTACCAACATGATTTACCAACATATTTGTTGCACCTCAAGCGCCGCGTTTTACCATTTTTGCACCAACGTTTCGGAAGGTCATTCCGCTGTTTATCAACGTCCTACTGGCCTGGCTGAACTCCGTGGTGGAACATTTGCCTTTCGCTGGAATCCTTGGCTTCACCTTTGCTGCTGGAATGGTCCCTTGGCCATGGAGCTAGTCTCACATTTAGAACTATTTACAGTATATGTGCTACACTATCAGACCCTATATGTTATATACATATACACTTTTCTACATTCTTGCTAAATAAATAAATATATATATATACACACACATACCTGTATAAAAATATATATATATATATATAATAGAGTCATTTTTCTCGCGCTGATCATCCGGAGCAACACTTCTTGCCGGCTTGGGGACCACCCAGCCGCCCAGCGCCTCAGGTGTTGTTTATGCTGCCCCCAGTACCTGGGCCACCGATCTATCTCTTTGGCGGTTTGGTGATCTCCAAGCATTGTCCCTATGGATTTTGGTGCCTCGATGGCATTGGCGATGGGGATGGGCCATGGTTTTTAAAAACGCCCTTTTTTGACGGAAAAAAAACCTGAAGAACTCAGACGTTGGTGTCGAATATTTGCAGAAAAACTGAGAGTGTTCAAGTTTCCAAAATCCAGACATCAACTTTGACCCATGCCCGTTAAGTGCATTGATTCAGACATCACTAGCTGCGGCAGTTTTCGCAGCGGCAGCGGCTATTCAATGGATGAATCCAACGGTCCGGTGAAAAACGGCGGTCCAGGTGGGGCTGCGGCATTTGCATTTTACTTTGTGACCTGTCTGCAAGGGCAAGGTATGGCAAGGTGCTGCAAGGTGCTTGTCGTAGCTGTAGCCAGATGGAAGATGCGGTAGGCTGATTTTTCAGATATGTATAGAGCTGCTTTAGCTGCTAAGGCATGACCTTGAAACTTTCGGCTTGCGCCATTCAGCAGAAGGGCATTGGTGAGTCTCTTGGATTCACAGGTTTTTTTTTGATGGCGCTGAAATCAGTGACCGACGTGACCGACGTGACCGACCACCCTGAGGCTTCTTGGAAATCGGCAAGGCATCCGCCATGCAGTTGGAGTGCATAGGCCAGTCATATGGTCAGTCATCTGATTTGGACCGGCTTCAGACTTTTCGACTTGGGATGGATGATTTTGATGATTTTGGATATTCGAGGTAACAACATGTAACAACCTTGGTGAAAATTAATCCCTTGGCTTATCCCATTTCAATCCATTGGCATTTCGGTACTTTTCGGTACTTTTCGGTACTTTTGCTTCAGCTATTTGGTGTATAAACAGATGCGAATCCGGCGTTGCTTCCGGCACGACTTGAGGCCGTTCATGCGTGCCATCGAGCACGTTCTCAGCAGGTGCGCAACTGTTGTGGTCAGTTGTCTCAATCTCCAAGCGACACCCAACAACACCAATCCAATACCAGTCCAATACTTGGATAAATATCAGATGGTTGGATACTAATCCTCTAGGTTTTAGATGGTTTTAGGAAATTAGAGGTTACCTCATATCCATGTCAGATCCATGTGTTTTCCATGTCCCCAGTCACATCCAATATCCATCGATCATCGATTTGTTTCGCGCCAGACCTGGGATGAGCTTTGGCAAGTGCATGATCCTCTGCGGTGGCCCAGATTGGCCAACCTCGGTGTTGGCCGGAATCCTGCGCTTATCATTGGTTCAGTGTACCATAGGCGGGCGAAATCCAGTGGCTTACGCAGTGGCACTGGAGTGGTTTGCGGGAAAACAGGACACCCCATGACACCCCTATATATATATATTTCATGGGAAAATCCATGGTTTCCGGTTAAGATTTTCCCTTAAACCAATCCATTGACTGACAGTAAGATTCAAATTCTATCACAATTCTTCTTCCAGACTGAAGCTGGAGCTTCCTTACCCCAGAATCACCCTAGTCGCAGACTTGCAGGAACTTTGCCGGTCATCCTTTCATTGATTCCACTGGCGTTGACCGGGAGCTTCTACTTGCGCAGAGATGAGAGCGAGGTGCCTTTAGCCATTTTTAGCCATTCAACATGCAGGTTGCATCAGGTTACCAGAGAGTAGTTTCTTTAGAGTAAGACATGAGCCAATCATTGTCGCCTTGGCAGGTGTGGGCCCGCGCCGGCAATCTGATGTGCCCTGGAGTCTGCAACTGCTTGTGCTATCTATATTGATACGGGGATGGGTCAACACCTATGAAATTGCCTAATATGGGGAATAAACATCCATTCACCAGCTATAGGTTACCATTCGGGTGGGCTTTTGACGACTCGCCACAAGATATCACAAGATGCAACCAGAAACTGTCACTTTTTGTCACCAGAAACACAGCTGCTCATAGCCCCAATGTTTTTCTGATGCAGATCATTGCAGACAGGTTCTCGCTTACAGCGTTGGTCTCAGTGACCTTTTGGACTGGAATGGGATGGGCAATCCAGGAGCCGATGGTGACGACCGTGGCACGTAAGAAATGGTTTGAAAGACCAGTCTAAACCCCTAAGGGTCATTACAAGTGAATTACTATCATTGAAGGACTTTGATGTCTTAAACCTAAAGTTCAAAAACAGTTATTATACATATATAATTATATAATCATAATATATATATATATTAATATATATCATTTACTGTGCATAACATGCTAAGATCAGTGACTTCGCCTCGTGGCTTTTTGGGGATGCAAGTCTGGATGGATTCCGGGCTTCTTGGAACCTGAAAAGATGTTTTTTTTTGCCACTGGAAAGCTCTTAGAAGCAGAGGGCTTCGAAGCCAAACATGTACCCTCTGGTAAACTAGCAGATCTAACAGTTTGCTATTGAACATGGTCATAGAAATAGTGGATTTACCCATTGATAGCATGGTGACTACCTTGATGTTACCCTCTGGTAAACATACACAAAACAATGGAAAATCACCATTTCCAATGGGTAAATCAACTATTTCGACTGGGCCATTTTCAATGTCGCTATTTCCGTTTGACATAGCCAGGTTGGCTAATTCAAATCAAACAGAACAGCATCCCGCGACCGGCCGTAGGACACTTTTGACAAGTACAACGAGCAATTGACAGCTCCGAAGGTGGGCCAATTTTGTACCCATTTTGTACCTCTCAGAACTCAAACAAATCATGTTCTACAGAAAACTGATCACTGTCCTGAAACTGTTAGTCCAAACGAAACAGTGCCATTGACACTGAAACATGCAGTTTTTCAACGGAATTTTTGTGTGATGCCTTTTCCGGTTGATGTCTTCAGTCTGATGCAACAAAAAGGGCTCCATCATTGTAATTCCCCAAAGAGGTCTGGTTTCTTTTGTTTTTCAATGATTTTCAGATTTTGATTTTGAGTCATCAGAGTCATCAGATTTCGAGCAGGTAGAGTTCGTGGAGTTGGATTGGCTGGACCACTGCGAAGGTTCGGGAAGGAATTTGCCGGTTCTGGAGTGATCAAACACTGCTGGTTGGTGGTTTGGAAATGTTTGGAACCTGGCTTTTTTTTCCATATCTTGGGAATAATAAGCAAAACTGACTTTCATATTTTTCAGAGGGGTCAGGCTACCACCAACCAGCTGTGTATCGTAACTGTCGTAACTGCTGCCAGAACGAATCCGGGAAAAGTGCCAACTCACCGTGAAAGATTTACCGCGCTGGGTTGCGTTACTTGGCGGCGCGGGAAAGTTTTTTCGAGGACTCGAGGACTCGGCGACAGGGCCAAAGTTGAGGATTCTGATTCGGCAAGGAGCATCATGTGAGGATGGGTAGTCAAAACCACTGTCCCCATATTTTGGGGAATAAGCATCTATTACTGGTGTTTTGGAACATGACTGGATTGTTTATGATTATTTTCCATTTCATATATGGGATAATTAATCCTTCCCATTGACGAACTCATATTTTTCAAGATGGATAAAAACCACCAACCAGATTAACTAATGATAGGAATGTTTCTGAATTGAGGGCATGTTTCTGAGGTTCTTCCACTTCGCCGGCGCGCTGTTGATGGTGGCAGACCCTTGCCTGAGAATTTTTCCGTTTGTGACAGACCCTGGTTCGGGTTCGGCAGTAGGGAAGCCCTGCTTTGTCCTGTACTGTATTGGTATTTTCTGAATGATAGGCACAGTGAACAGCAAAAATCAGCAAAGGGGCAATTGGGATCACTGATGATCACTGATATCCCCATCACTTCGGAGCAACTTGCAGTCTTGAGCCATTTTCAAGTGCGCTTAACCGCTTACATGTGAAGATCTTGAAGGGCCGCAGATGTGGGATGGTCTATGATGGTCTCGTCCGATACGGATCTGTTTGGATCCGTGGCATTTTGTGGCACTGTCACAATGGGCCAATATGATCAAGATGGGCCAATGATGGCCAATGGCTTTTGGATGGTTTTGGTCTGACAGACTTCAATCAAGCTATAGAAACTCCAGGCAGTTGGGGATTAGGGCCTTCGGCTGAATGGGATGCCCCAGACACCCGACGATCCCGACAGGTTGCGCAGTTCTTCTTTTGGCGTGCAGACAACTGTTTTGGCAACTTCAAGGCCTGCCTGTCCTTGTGGCACTGAGTGGAACAGATTGACCAAGATACCCAAGGTATTTCGATGGGTTCAGAATCGAATTCAACGGAATTCATCCATTATTCATATAGATCTCTTTCTCTCTCTCTCTCTCTATATATATATACCTAGATCCTGAACCATCCAGAAGTTTCTGGTCGAAGACCATTTCAGTTTCAGTTTTGGTCGTTTCGAAAAAATACGGTCGTTTCAAAAAATCACACTTTTACTGGGTTGCACAAAATCAGAATAAACCTTGATCACGCGCATATTTTCTTTGCGATTTCTTCACAGCGTCCCCCGCTCGCAGCTTCTGGCAAACTGCAACGCAATAGCGGTTGTATATTTTGTGGCCATGCCTCCTGGCATTGACGCGCCTGCTTAATCTTGAGACGTGGCCAACAAAATCCTCGCTCATGAATGTGGCTTCTGCCACTGGGTTTGTTGTGCAGCCAGTGTCACATCGAAATTGTTGCAGCATCCTAAAAACGATATGGGCAAACATATGCAGTTTTGGTTTGAGCTTGAACAAGCATAGCTTCTGATGATAGCAAGCCTGTGCCAATCCAGCAAAAGCTGACAAAAATTCCTGCCCCGCAAAGATGGCCTGCCAAGCTTCAGACTCACATAGCCAATAGGGAGCAGAAAGCAACACACGCATAAAGTGGTTTATAGCGCTGCTTCCCTGCACTATGAGCTGCATAACAGGATCTCCAGGATCCAAATTGTTGGCTGCCACGTGCTCCACAAACTTGATCATTACAGCAGTATCCAAATTTTTGGACCAGTGTCCCATAGGGTATGTTCTGCTGCTTTCGTAGCCCAAGAGTTCAAATGTGATGTTGCTAAAATTGACACGTTCTTTTTCTGTGGCAAGAAAATTTCGGAAAAGGAGATTGACATGATCCAACGCCAAACCAATTCGGGACGACTTGAACGTCTTAGCACAGAAATAGATGATGCAACTGGCAGCAAAATCCTTGCCGACACCAGCATGCAAAATGTGAAACAAGTCAGGCCTGTAGAAGGAAGCTAGATCTTCTTGATCCACTGGTAAGTATGCCAAAAGCGGCCCTGGACGATCCCACGGTAAAGGGTTGTTAGGCCCAATAGTTTCCAACCACTGGGCATCAGTAACCCGCACATCTTCAAATGGTGGTCCATTTGATATGCCAGCAGCGCACAGCCAGCAAACCCCCTTGCACAGGGATTTGGAAGAATGAGACTTTTTGACATTGGAAAAACTCCGGTTGTGGAATCCAGTTTCACGAAGGAAAGGAGCATCACCAGTCAAGCCCAATATAGCCACTTTCCATGTGTGGCCATTGAGCTCCAAGCCCGAAGTGTACAAGTTAGCGAGATGCTGTCCCCAAAAGTCAATCAAGGTTTCAAATCGGTGATTTTTTTTCTTGTAGAATTCAGCCTTCATAGCAGTGTAAAGAAAACGGTGTGTATACGAATGGCCAAGAAGGTTGACACCACATTCGATGCCCTCTTCTGCGGAAGAATCATCGTCGTGCTTTCGCTTCGCATGGCGACCAAGCTGCGTTGAGGCCGGTCTTTTTGCCGTTCCTCTTCCCAATGCACTGTACATGCTCAGCACTAAAATAGGATACTTTTTGTAGGTTCTACCACCATCACCATGAAGGTAAAAAGGTAGAAGTCTGGACCAATTTTGATCTGTTTCTCCAAGCTGACTCAAATCGTGGGTTGGATTTGCAAGCCTAAATCTTCTCCAGAAATCAGCTAAGCTTTTCTCTACACTTTCAAGTGGCCCCTCCACCCCTAATATCCGGTGAGTAAACCCTGCATTGGCAAAAGCAAACAGAAGGTCCCGTGGGTGAAGGCATGGGTATTCAAAGGTGTTGTCCAGCTTCAAAGTTGTAACTGGCACATCAAGGGCGTGCCCGCAATCTTTCAAGGCTTTGAACAAAGGTTCATCAGGATCTGCCACCCTTGCACTGGCGATGCGACGCAGGACTGGGCAATCATCCTTCACTGAAGCGGACTGTGCTTCCTCAACACAATCAGCTGCAGGAGCCTTGGATCAACAAGTTTGCAGATTTGTGAGTGATTGATCTGGGAGGGAAGGCATAAGTAAATGACATGTCGTCAATTGTTTTCAAGGAACGCCTTTTCCATAGATCTTTGCAATGTGCACGACCGTCTGGCTTAACTCAAAGCCTAGCGCAACTTGAAATAAAAGGAACATATTTCAGCTGAGATGTATGTGCATATATGGGTTTCTTTGCAAAGCAATCACGACGTTGAAAGAATTTTCCACACACATCATGTGTGAAGAACAGCTACCATCATCCACAATATGCAAGCTGGCTGCATGCAATTTTTTCGATGGCTGCACGTGTGTTATCCTGAATGAATCCCCAACAGACACAGGTTCTAAGGGGCTGGCTGCCTGGCTGTGTTTTTGCAGGCAGATGCATGTGCACAGCACCCACCCGGACTGTTCTCAACCCCTGACAAGAAGTTGCCCTGGACAACTCCAGAAACTATAGCGCTGCATAAATGCAGACAAGAACAGGGAAACAAATCCCCATCGCTACCATTCACTTTTCGGTCTTCACTGAACGCTTAGCCTTGCTGACGAAATGCCTCAAACAAACAGGCAAGCCACGGGTTAGTGTTTGCTAGCATGGAATCATTTGCTGGATCCAGAACTCAGCTAGGAAGTGTTTTGGGGAACCCGCTTTGCAGCAGCTTCGGCTGCAGTCGCTTTGGACATCCTTAGATAGCTCACTAATGTAAATTGCTCTAAGGTGGACCAGGGGAGGACGGGGCCAACTGATTTTTGGCACAATAAGAAACAACAAAATGTGCAGCTTTGCTTCGCTCGCGTCATCTTGAGGAACTCAGCATCGATCTTCTCGCTCAACCTGTGCAAAGCGATTTGATGGCTTTTCCCACCGGGCGCTGTGTGACTGAGAAAGCAATAGCGTTCGGATATTCAAAATTTTCCCACTAGGTATTGTTTGATTGAGAAAGCAGTAGTATTTCGATATTCAGGCTGTCTCCTACACTCCTTCACTGTTTGATTTTCAGAAGAGTACCATTAAGTTGCACACTCTTTGTTGAAGCCGGTGGTTTCTCCTTCAGCCTGGTATTCCGCCAACTGTTCATAGATCTGTTCGATGGTCTTTGCGTTGTCATCTAGCTTCGCAACTGTCCTGAAGTGATGTGCATAATATGGTCATATCTTTGCTGAGGTAAAACTTGCAGTGGAATCTCAACTTTTGCAGCTCTGAACTGATGGGCGGGAAGTTAGCAGCCAAGCTTCGCCTTGCAAGATTGGTCTTCCAATGCCAAGGCTCGGATCTTGTCAGCCACGGTGCTGACTGAATTTTTGGCCTTCAACCCATTCTTCAAGTACATCGCAAGCTTTTGTTTCACCTTATTGGGGGATGCGGCATGTAGACATGTACTTGAATGCTAAAACAGTCAGTTGCCAAATTCAAGATTATCAGGTTGCCACTTAGTGACCCCTAGGCTCTTGTCCCCTTCCGTGGCAAGAGCAGGCTCAGCACCACCCAAATCGGGAAACCCACCAACACTCAAATCCACTTGCTCATGTGCAAAAGCATCTGCAGTGGTCTCTTGTTCATGGGTACGAGACTTCGACAACGTGAGCAAATCTTCACGGGATAGGGTGCCAGATGTTCTCACATTCACCCAATACTCCAAAGTATCTTCATCATATTCGCAAAGCCTGCCAGAACATGATTTTGGAACACAACAGGGAGATACACCATTGCTTGTGCAGGCAACAGCTGGCCTCACAAGCTGCTTTGCAATGGCCCACTTTTTGATCTTCTCGATGCGGTCCCTTGGATGAAAGGGAACATGGGAGACAAGGTCGGAAAAACCAGAAGGAGACAGGAGGGCCTGCATGTCATAGGATGCCTAAGTGCTGCTAGAAAACTCCGAATACCCAAGCTCAGACTTCATATCCTCTTCTGAGTAAAAGCCACCCTGGACTTCAATCTTCTTGCTTTTCGTTGTCACACTTAAGATTTCCACCCGTTCGAGAAAGATAGCCTTGGCTAGCCATCATATGCCACAGGGATTCACAATAGATGGGCCCCGGTGGAGATTTTCAGCATGGGACCAGGCGAAGAACAAAAAACAGCGCCACTATGGCTGTCAAAGCGGGCTACATGTATTTTTATAGAAAGCCAAGTTGCAATTATATAATACAGATCTATATTACATATACTATAGATATGGCATTTAAATTGATCACCATAGGTGTTTGACATCCCAAAAATTGTTTTGTGCGACCAATAAGCCTTAACTCCGCCACTCTTGCACCAAAGCGAGAACAACTTTTCTTTCCCTTGTGGTGTGTTCCACAGCTGGTGCACATCATCCGGTACCTCCAGCCTACCAGTATTTTGTTTGGGGCAAGCAATGCGCCTGACCTTCTCCTTTTCATAGCGGGAAAGGGTTGCCACATGAAGCACTGCTGGCTCTTCCCCATTGACATCCGCTTCCTCCGCCTCAGGTGCCTTTGCGTCTGGCTGAGTATTTCCAGCCTGCAGCGCCTCGGCATGATCACCAGCAGGAGTGGCCTTAAAGCAGGGCTTGGCTTGGGAAGGGACAGCATATGGTTTGGAAAGTAAGAACAAGTGCATTTACCATTGCGTATACATGCATACAACATAGGTTGATTCAAGTGGCATTTTTCATCTCTGGGGATTTTTCATTGGGAGGAGAACGTTCAGGCTGTTCCCCTTGAAGTGTCAACAACTGCTGTTTCAACACCTCAATCTGATGTCCTTGCTGGTCTACAAGAGCTTGAAGGTATGCTGCATTCTTGTCCTTAGCAAGAGGTATGCATGGGGAAACCAATGCACCCATGAAGGAACAGATGCACCAACAATCAAAAAACTAGTGGAAACTGCACGTCTTGCTTTTCTCATGTTTTTGCTGATGTTGCCAACACATCATGCCAACAAGTTTCAACCTGT